ATTTAGAGAAGTTTCCCATGTTCGACTCCCCTTTGAAGCAGATATCAAGGTAGATATTTAGGAAAACAAGGGTTCAGACATAAGGATTAGCCTTGCATAAGTAATTGTCCAAGTGTGTTTAGGAAAGATGTTTAAGGCAGTTAAGGTTCTTTAAGGCTATTACTTATTCTTCTCTACTGTAATTTTTAATACGACCATGACAGTGAAGCCATCTCCTGCTCCTGTTGTAGGAAACTGGCACGGTAGCACTGGTTGCTGCTCCCTAGTGTGTATGAGGTTGCAGGAAGCTAACAAGTTCTGTGTGAGACTCTACAGAAGGGGAGTGTGCTATTTACTTTGACAGATCTGATGTTCATTTACCCCTTTGTGCTGATCTCACAGGGATTTCCCTGCTGTCTCTCCCTCACCTACCCAGGAGCAGCAGCACATTTCTGTGCACAGATGGCTCCTGGGTGCATCATGGGGGTCACCAATGGCCCCTGCTCATCATGCCCTGATGTCCCTGTAGTGACAAGATAATTCATAGGTATAGCATTCAAACACTTTGGGAGTCAACAGTTGTTTGAGGGCACTCCTTTGCCTCAGACTCTGGCTTACTTAAGCTTCCATAAATCTTAAGTGAATTTTAATGCTACTTTGTTTTTTTCCTGGTGTGGAGTGTCTGTTGCCCCATAGCTACAGCATGTATTCCTGTTGGGTTAACATGAAAAAGATTGACAGAGGTGCTGTGCTGTCACCCTCTTATCATTCTCTAAGCACATGCTCTTATGCTGGCTGCTCTGCTGTGGTCTTAACAGAGTGAAGGTGTCCTGGTCTCGACTGCTAGACAGTCCTCTGTTTTATTGCTGCAAGAAACACCTTTGTTTGACAGTGAAAGCTGTTCTAACCTTTGCTCTGCTGTTTTTGCTGATTTATATATGTGTGTTTCTATTCTTTCTTTGTTCATACCAATCTTAATCTGTTACATTTCTCAACAGTGTTCATAATGTTATAAAAGAAGTCTTAACTCTATCTGATTTTAGTAATATTTATAAAAGAAATATTTATAAAAGATATAAAAGGCAAGTAAACAGCACTGGGTGTGCGGGGAGTCTACGCTCCACCAACACACACACACAAATATCAAACATTCTAAATATACAGAACATTGCTTTACGTACTAAACTCAAGTACACCTATACATATGTACAATCAGAAAAGGTAACAAACAATCCTTTAAGTTCCATGACTTAAAAGTTTCCATTTTCCATTACTTTTGAACAATATGTCTCACTTCAAGTGAGAACACTTTTCAAGGCCAATAGGGCCTGGGCCAAAAGGCACGTCCAGGTCACCAGGGGGCGTAACAGCAAAGGCCTGTGATGGCAGTAGCGGCAGGGGGGCCGATGGTGTAGCAGAAGGATCAGTAAAGGAGCCCGCAGCTCCCTCACTGCCTGGCCAACCACACGTTTCTGACTGTGGTCCTTGAAAAGGAGATGGATATGTTTACCTTCGATCTGGGAAGAACGGGATGCATAAGGCCTGAAGATAGAGTTGCTTGACAACTTGAAGTGAGACATACTGTTCCCACGACTAGCCCTGGAATTCTCCGGTGTTTGTAATCAAGAAAAGGAATGGAAAATGGAGACTGTTATATGATCTGAGAGAAATTAATGATATGGGAGCACTTCAACCAGGATTACCAACTTCAACTATGCTCCCCTAGTCATGGACTTTAATAGTAATAGACCTAAAGGATTGTTTGTTAAACACTTGCCAGAATTTGGAAAAGTTTGCCATGTTTATATTTCAATTGATACCTTTTCTGGTCGTACATATATATAGGCATAATCTGGTTTCTTATATGTAAAAGCAATGTTCTATATATTTAGAAAGTTCAATGTTAGTGTGTGCGTGTTGGTAGAGTGTAGACTCCCTGCGCACCCAGCGCTGTTTACTTGCCTTTTATAAATATTACTGAATTCAGATTGAGCTGTATCTTCATTTATACCACTGCTGATATCCAGTCCAGCTAAAAACTGATGGAGCTGGAGGTATCAAAGATGATAACGTTTCTGAAAGTTATGAAAAATCTAGATAGAGTGTGTACATGCATGGCAAGGAAGAGACTGAAATCAGTGCCCAGCTGAGAGAAAAGCTGCAGTGTGAGCTGAGTGTTTGCTCCTTGCTGGACACCTGGCATTGTGGCTGGGATGCAGCTCTTGTGCTTCACGTGCTGAGCCTTTTTTGGCTGGCAGAAGGGGAACAGAAAGGGTGCGGGGAGCAAGGTGTCCAAAAACACCAAGAGAAACAGGGCTTGTAAAATGTGCAGGGCATGGGGAAGGTGAACAAAGGGATAAAGACATACCAGCTTGCTTGATGCTTGTCCTATAGACCTTTTTTTTTTCTCCTACTTCCTTGGTTAACTAGTGAAGTTTGCTTTAACTGAAGAGCTTCTACATTTTAGGAAATGTTCAACATAGTAAGACTCCTCTTTCTCCCCAGGGAACTGGCTGCTCGTGGCGTGGACTGGCGTACGCTTTGTTGGGTTAAAAACTGGCTGGATAGCCGGGCCCAAAGAGTCGTGGTGAACAGAGTTAAATCCAGTTTGAGGCCAGTCACTAGTGGCGTTCCCCAGGGCTCAGTACTGGGGCCAGTACTCTTTAATATCTTTATCAATGATCTGGATGAGGGCATTGAGTGCACCCTCAGTAAGTTTGCAGATGACACCAAGTTAGGTGCATGTGTCGATCTGCTCAAGGGTAGGAAAGCTCTGCAGGAGGATCTGGATAGGCTGCACCGATGGGCTGAGGTCAACTGCATGAAGTTCAACAAGGCCACGTGCCGGGTCCTGCACCTGGGGCGCAATAACCCCAAGCAGAGCTACAGGCTGGGAGATGAGTGGTTGGAGAGCTGCCTGGCAGAGAAGGACCTGGGAGTGATGGTGGACAGTCAGCTGAATATGAGCCAGCAGTGTGCTCAGGTGGCCAAGAAGGCCAACGGCATCCTGGCTTGTATCAGAAACAGCGTGGCCAGCAGGGCTAAGGAGGCGATGGTCCCCCTGTACTCTGCTCTGGTGAGGCTGCACCTTGAGTATTGTGTTCAGTTCTGGGCCCCTCGCTACAAGAAGGACATCGAGGTGCTCAAGTGAGTCCAGAGAAGGGCGACGAAGCTGATGAGGGGCCTGGAGAACAAGTCCTACGAGGAGCAGCTGAGGGAGCTGGGCTTGTTCAGCCTGGAGAAGAGGAGACTCAGAGGTGACCTTGTTGCTCTCTTCAGGTACCTTAAAGGAAGGAGGCTGTAGCGAGGTGGGGGTTAGCCTGTTCTCCCATGTGCCTGGTGACAGGACGAGAGGGAATGGGCTAAAGTTGCACCAGGAGTGTTTTAGGTTGGATATTAGGAAGAATTTCTTTACCAAAAGGGCTGTTAGGCATTGGAACAGGCTGCCCAGGGAAGTGGTGGAGTCACCATCCCTGGAGGTCTTTAAAAGACGTTTAGATGTAGAGCTTAGGGATATGGTTTAGTGGGGACTATTAGTGTTAGATCAGAGGTTGGACTCAGTGATGTTGAGGTCTCTTCCAACCTAGACAATTCTGTGATTCTGTAATTCAATTTTATTGTTTGAACAGTAATTAGGAACTTTACAGTAGCTGAGAGAACTAAACAATGTGTGATATAATTTCTTAATTTTAGAAGTATTGGGAGGCAGTAGGTTCTTGAAATTTGACTTAGGCTAATTAGTAAGAACTGCAGGTCTCGTTGTGTAAGCACCTGCACATCTATGTGCTGATTCAGATAGATTAATGTGTTTTCGGGTTGGTTGTTTCATATATGATTAAGCTATAGGATTTTTTTCTGTATTTTTTTTAAATGGTCAAATATTAATAAAATATTTTTAATAAGTGTAATCTGCAGGCTTAGAAAAGAAAATAAGCTTTAATGTGCTTTTGCTGTATGTGCTTACTGTGTGACTTCAAATGTAAGTTAATTATCACCTTCAGTAATTGCATTTGTACCGTGTGCGGTGTTATTTCTCCATGTGGAAATAGCAGTTGTCCTGTAAATGCCAACTCCTTTAGGCTGTTTGGGATGTCTGTATTGGTCTAGACACTTTATTCAACTGCTTTCTTAAAGTGTAAAGGTTACTTAGCAAGTTTTGGTAGAACAGGATCAGCCTTAAGAATTGTCTTCTAAAATCTTGTACATTTGGATAACTTTCAAAAACATTAAAAACTTTTCACTCAAGCTGAGTTTAGATTTGTGTGATTCGCATCTGGAATCTGGTAAAGATGTGTTGATATTCAAATCCAGACTCCTTTCTCAATCTCCATGTCGCATGGCATGCAGGTGATAAAGCCTGCACTTGTGGGTTAGACTGCTTGTGGCATTCCCATTGGGGAAATCCACATGTGTTGCCCTTTGTACTCCAGATAAAGACAGCAGCATCTTAAGCTAGCTTGATCCTTTAATTTCTGACAACAGCACTGTGCACTGCAAATGACTGGTCCATGATGGTTGCTGGGCTGAGGGATTCAGGTTGGGTGGCAGACCAGAGACATGCCCAGCACCTGGGAGACTCAAAGGCACCGAGATGGGTAGGCTGTACACGTGGGTCAGTGTCTCTGGCTGCAGGGGGCAGTGAAGACCTGGTGCCGAGGGGGGAGGGATATGACAAGGGAGGGGGTGCAGGAGGAAGTCTGGAAGTCATGTTCAGCTGGTAATTTGGAATCTTCACTAACCCTTTTATTTTCCAGTGGGTAAGTAAGCTATAAAGGACTTACAGCTAGACCCTCCCCTTCGTCCCCCCCCTTTTCTGACAAGGACAGGAGTGTTTACAGATCATGTTATGGCAGAGACAAAGCCCTTTGTGAACCATATTTGGTACTTCAGGGAAATGGAAAGAGAAGAGAAAATAAGAGTTCCAGTTTTGTTTGCAGCATTAATGTATCTACATGTCAAAAAATAGATAATTTAATTTTTGAGTTTCCAGTGATTTAAATGTTTACATTCTCTTTATCCAGATTCAAGATCCAGCCCTTATTATGGCTGGCACTGGATCCAAATCAGGATCATCTAGTGGATTTTCCATGAAATCACAGCTTCAAGTCACTGGTAAGTCATTTGAAATTATATATCCTTTCTGGTTAAAAATGTAAAAGTAAAAAGCGTTTTTCCCATAATGAAAAAGTAATTACTAGTATGTTGCATTTCAGCAAGTTTTTAGTAGTTCAAAGCCAAGAGAAATAGCAGAATAAAACTAATAGTTTAATGCAATCATGAATTGGCAGAAAATCTTCTGTTTTATTCAGAATTTTATCTAAAATGCATTTCGAAATTATACATTTTCATGTAAGGAAGGAAGAAATTATTTTTGGATACTGTTAAGTCAATTGTACAGAACAGTTTTCTTTGAAATGTAAAAATGTAATACGATACTGCTTTCTGTTGCTAACACTTCACGTAACATCAAACCTAACAAGTTCACATAATTTTTTTACATCTCAAGCTAATTTGAACTACTGTTCATTAAATTTGACTTGCTACTTCTTTGTTAAATGTTTTCATGGCCACCATTATAAAAGTGTTTTTAGTAAGTATTGATGACAGTATTACTGTAATTGAGGACCTGTAGATTCCATGTGAATGGATTTACATGCCGTGCTTTTGCTTTTTGTAGTGTCCTACCAACAGAGCATCTGCTGAAACTTATTCATCAAGTTTTCTTCACTTTCTAACTGACAAATTTTACTGAAGTGTCAAAGCTGAAGCCTGAGAATGCAATATCTGTGGATATATGCAGGTCTATGTTTAGAAGCATTGAGGGTAAACTTTATGCAGTAGCTCTGCATATACCCACAGTTTCCACACTGAGGGTGCAAAGTTGATATTGCGGGGATGAGAAGAATTGACAAAAATACATGGGGAAACTTTAGTCGAAACAGAAGTTTGGAAATGAACAAATTATGTTGCCCTTAACTGTCACATTGAGGTCACAAGCTTGCTTTTTTTTTTTTCTTAGTGGACTATGAGACTTTAAGAAAACCCTTGTCTATACAGACTGATGTTGGTGAGAAGACTTGTAGAGGTTTCAAAGGAGGTACATACTCTGCATAGCTAAGGATTAAAGTGGTGATGCCTGTCTAAGGTTTGCTCCTTTAAAGGCTTTAAAGGCTCCTATAACTCTCATAAAGAAAGCAGAGTTAAAGAAATGTCTCATGTTCAAATGGAGACTTTTATGATGGTTGATTTTTAATTTCTACAAAAGTTCAACCACAGTCTTCTAGAAAACCATTTCCCTTGCAGGCAGGCTTTATCTTTTTGTAGAAAGTTCTGTAACCAACAGTCCTCACCTGCCCTATTCTTACTTCTCCGCTCTGCTGTCTTTGTTAGGTTTAAATGAACTTCCAGATTGTCTGTGTAAGTAAAACCTTGAAAATAGGTACACAGCTGCTGATGTGTGGTGCCTCAAACTGGATCTTGGTGTCTTTGAGGTAGATAGTGATGTTGAGGCATGAAATGCTGCAATACTGAAGTAGTGGAGACGTTGGGGAAGGGAATTCATTAAATTAATTCTAGATAACTGAAGCTAATTTCTGAGTGCTCATATAAATAAAGAGTTCCATTGGGAACAGGTTCACAGCACTTTATACTAAGCTATTTCTCTAAATCTCTAAAGGAGCATAGACTATAAAAGGAATCTAGGTAGATTAGCCATATGGACTTGAATTAGTTATCTTTTTTTAAGCATGTAGAATAGCTGAGATGGGTGATGAAAATACAAGAGACCAGGTTGACATTTGTAGCAACAGAGCAGAGTTACTTGGCTGATTAGAAATATCATTTATTTGTTGTAAGTTTTGTTTTATGAGCTTAGTGCTGTCAACGAATCTAAGAACACTTCTCATCAAAGCGTCAAACAGATGTTGGGGTAACGTCTGTTTCTTTGTCTAAATGGACGCAACACACAGTGTTTGGCAAGACGGGACCATTGCAGTAAATTATGTTGAATGTTAGAAAAAAGTAATTACAAAAAATCCAGATTTCTGTTACTGTCCAGCCATTAATACAAAGAGTATATTTACTAACACGAGAAACGCTCTAGAGCTGCAAGTCCTATCCAGGTGTTGTTGTAGAACAGCAGGTAGTTATTGGAACTCCAAATTATGCCTTTAGTTAGCTTTTCTATAATTTTACTTTGTTACAGAAAGCTTAACACAAAGTTCTTTCTGTTAAAGATCTTTTCATCAGAAGTTGTGGCAGTTGTCCAAGATTGCTTAATGAGAAAGATGGATTGAATTTTGAGCTTTTAACAAGCAACTGCAATAAATTCCAGGCATTTTTCTGGCTGCTGATAAGGAGGAGGAGGTTCTAGAGGATATTTTGTACTTTCAACACCAAAGTGCTTTTGTAATCTTACACTGATAATTATCAACGATAGTGTTTAATGGAGTAGAAGTACTGTTGCATGTTTTAGGCTTTTGTTTGAGCTATAGCATTGGACAAAATGGTCTGAAATGCAAGAACATATTTGGAAAAAAAATGTGTTTTTCTCATGAGCATTACTGTCAGGTGTCAATGACCTGGTGCTTGAATACTGAAGTACCCAGTTGAAAAATACTATTAGCTGTTGAAATATGTAGTCTGCGTAGTCAATTGTGTTTTTTCTCTTTCTTAACAGTTATTTCAGCAAAACTGAAAGAAAAAAATAAATGGTTTGGACCTAGCCCTTATGTGGAAGTCTTGGTAGATGGACAGTCAAAGAAGACCGAAAAATGCAACAACACAAGTAGTCCGAAGTGGAAACAGCATCTTACAGTGTATGTTTGGTGGTTTTGTTTTCCAGTTTGAGCTAAATTAATGCTATGATAGATTTGATGATAAAACTGGCAGTGCCGTGCACATTTTTGTTGCCACATTTAAGGTTACTTTTTCAAGTAAAATTGTTGCTGTTCCTTGTGCAGCACTGTGCGGTCTAACCTTCGTCTTCGTCTTCCCCCATAAATTTGTTTCTCTGTCATAAGGCTTCTGAAAACTCGAGGGAATATGAGGGGCAGGTGAATATTTTACCTCTTAAAGTGACTTTCTAAAAGCAGTTTTGAGAGTCTGTTCTTAATTGTAATATCAGCTATTTCATAATGCTCATCTTTCCGCTGTTGTCAGAATACTTCAGAGAAAGAAAAAGAAAAATCCCCAGGCTTTTAGGTTTTTCTTAGTACCAGGAGAGTTGCTTTATTCTCCAAGGTTTGCTGGCTTGCATATACCATCTCAGATGCAGTCATCTTCCTGCACAATACCTAGTAAGATTTAGCAGTTTTGAAATGAGTGTGGGTTTGTTCAGTTTGTTTTGGGGGTAGAGGAAAAGGAGTAACTGCTCTGGTAAAAGTTACTTCTGTTAGCCTATGTTTTTTCTCCAGTGAGGGGCTCTCCCTGTACATAACTGCTGACAAGAGTTTAGGAGTGGAGGGCCTCACAGCATGGGTCATTGAGAGCTTTCAAGTTTAGAGAGCAGCTCAGCTGACAGCTTCTCTAGGAACAGGTCTGCACCATCTCTGCTACAGGCTGACAAATTTGAACAGCTTATGTTTGGCAGAGGTTCCAATATTGTGGTCTATCACCTAGTCAGATAAAAAGATTCTTCAGAGAGAACTTTGTTGTTTGGAATATTGGAATGTATAGGCTTACATTGCCACAGTTTGTACTGTGTCTATGCTGTGGAAGAGGTGGATTGGCAATTGGCTGGATGGCAGAGCTCAGAGGGTTGTGGTCAGCAGTGCAGTCTAGTTGGAGGCCTGTAAACTAGTGGTGTCCCGCTGGGGTCAGTACTGGGTCCAGTGTTGTTCAACATACTCATCAACAACCTGGACAATGGAACAGAGTGCACCCTCAGCAGGTTCGCTGATGACACAAAGCTGGGAGGAGTGGCTGATACCCCAGGCGGCTGTGCTGCCATGCAGAGGGACCTCGACAGGCTAGAGGGTTGGGCCGAGAGGAACATCATGAAGTTCAACAAGGGCAAACGCAGGGTCCTGCACCTAGGGAGGAATAACCCCCAAGCACCAGTACAGGCTGGGGGCTGACCAAATGGAGAGCAGCTCTGCAGAGAGGGACCTGGGAGTCCTGGTGGACAGCAGGCAGCCAGCAATGTGCCCTTGTGGCCTGCTTGGCCCCAATGGTCTCCTGGGATGCATTCAGAAGTGTGTTGTCAGCAGGTCAAGGGAGGTGACCCCACCCCTCTGCTCAGCCCTGGTGAGGCCACACCTGAAGCACTGTGTTCAGATCTGGGCTCCCCAGTACAAGAGGGACATGGAGCTCCTGGAGCGAGTTCAGAGGAGGGCTACAGAGATGATGAGAGGACTGGAGCACTTGTCGTATGAGGACAGGCTGAGAGAGCTGGGCCTGTTTAGCCTGGAAAAGAGAAGACTGAGGGGAGACCTCGTTAATGGGTACAAATATCTGGGGGGAGGGTTTTGAGAGGATGGAGACTGTCTCCCTTCAGTGGTGACCAGCGACAGGATGAGAGGCAGTGGGCACAAACTGAAGGACAGGAGGTTCCGGCTCAGTATGAGGGGGCAATTCTTGACTGGGAGGGTGACAGAGCACTGGGACAGGTTGCCCAGAGAGGTTGTGGAATCTCCTTTTCTGGAGATATTCAAACACTGCCTGGATGCCATCCTGTGTAAAGAGCTCTAGATGATCTTGCCTGGCAGGGGGGTTGGACCAGATGATCTTCAGAGGTCCCTTCCAAACTCAGCCATTCTAGGATTCTGTAATTTGTTAACTTGTGGAAGAATTTTGTCTATCTATATATGTTGTACAGCCAGAAATGTACTAGTAAAATGTTAGATCATTTTCTCTCTATATATTTTTTTCACATTATTCAAGTATATTGCAATTTATCAGGAGAACATTCATCTTTGCAAAATACTTGAAATAGTTTAGAACAGTTTTGAGTACTCTCCTTTTTACAGGATGTACTAAAATTTTCAGATAACCTTTTCAGAAGGAAAATTTTGCTGTATTCCCTCTGTGTAGAAAATTCTCATGACAAGGTGTACAGATGCTGAATATTCATGAAATGTGAACCTGCAAGAACCAGTCTTTTTTTCTACTCTCAGTTACACAAATGTTAATTACACTCTAGTAGTTTTTCTCTAAGTATTTCCCCTAATAATAAAAAACATAGTCTGTGAACAGTCTTGCAACACATTTGACTTATGTCTCTTTCCTATATGAAAAGAGAAGGTAACTGTGTACTAAAATGTCATAATTTAAAAGGGTTTAATGTTATCACCATAATTTCTTTGAAACTTAAATGTTATTTAAAAACAATTGCTGTAGGTTATTCAGTTCACCCAACAAGTGCCTTTACATAGTATTCAACCTTTTCTTTTCAGAATTGTCACTCCTGTAAGTAAATTAACCTTTCGAGTCTGGAGCCATCAAACATTAAAATCTGATGTCCTTCTGGGAAGTGCTGCTCTGGATATTCATGAGACTTTGAAATCAAACAGTATGAAACGTAAGTATAAGTTTGAGCGCAGTGTGCAGCTCTCTAAAGACTAAAGTTCTGTGATTGTCTTCTTAAATGAAATGTACTCTTTCGTTATGTAGTAAGATAAACTCCCACTTTTTTCTGTACTTTTTCAGTTGAACAGGTAGTGGTGACATTGCATCTTCTTGGTGACAGAGAACCAGCAGAAGTGGTAGGAGATTTGTCTGTCTGTCTAGATGGGATGCAGGTAGATCCTGAACTCCTAACCAATGGTGATGCCTCAAGTACAAGGAGTAAGTTCAAATGTACAATCTACATAGTGTCTGGTATACAAAGCTTTTTCTACTGGATGTTTTAACACAATATTATTGTAATGATGTTTTTTTTTCACTTCATATTTGTAGAGACCAGAACTCCTGTGTGCTTTATTTTGAGGTGGAGTCATAGTCCACAGCAAAGATTATCAGCATTACTGTAATGCAAATAAGATCAGAACGTTTCTTTTCTGGACTTCACTAACTTTATCTAGCAACTCCAAACTCTTTTTATGCCTTGCTTTAATGAAAACCTTTAGTTTCCTTCAATTTTTCATAACATTGTAAGCAGAAAAGCAATATAAAGAAGGTTAGTTTAGTCTCATAAGTATTCCAATGGCTAGGAAACAATATTTTATATTATCTTTAAACATCTCATTTAATTTAAGTAAATGCTTTCATAAATTTTGTTACCTCTGGAGTGCTGCAGGGGGATACTCAGAGGTGACCTTGTCGCTCTCTTCAGGTACCTTAAAGGAGGCTGTAGCGAGGTGGGGGTTGGTCTGTTCTCCCATGTGCCTGGTGACAGGAGAAGGGGGAATGGGCTTAAGTTGCGCCAGGGGAGTTTTAGGTTGGATGTTAGGAAGAGTTTCTTTACCGAAAGGGTTGTTAGACATTGTAACGGACTGCCCAGGGAAGTGGTGGAGTCACCATCCCTGGAGGTCTTTAAAAGACGTTTAGATGTAGAGCTTAGTGATATGGTTTAGTGGAGGACTTGTTGGTGTTAGGTCAGAGGTTGGACTCGATGATCATGAGGTCTCTTCCAACCTAGAAATTCTGTGATTCTGTAAGTTGGTATCTTCAGTCTCAGATAGCTAGTATGATAACTGAAAATCTTGAAGTAAAATGTGTAATTAGACTAAAATAAAAAGCAAGAGATTTCAGTTCCATTGGTGCAGGACAGGCAAAAGAGCATGTCTTGAGGGTAAATGTACAGTGCAGACTAGAAACATGTAAAGTGACTGTAGGTACAGCAGATAGCTTCTCCAATGCTGGAGGAATAAACTAGGCAGTTGAGTGGCTTCTTCAGGAAAGGCAGTTTTTTGAGCTTCTGTTTTTTTCTTAGGTTTGTTTGTTTTAAAGGACTAAATGAGGTTGATTTCTGAATTCATCCAAGTATCACAGGAACACCAAGTTAGCACACTAGACTTTTAACAGTTATTTCTTAAGACTTTTTTTTTCTGTAAAGAAAAGCCAAATACTTGGATTGCGTGGGACTTGTAGAGCAGTGCTGAGGTATGTTGACAGAAGCACCTGGTGAAAGTAACAAATTTTCCTCAGATGCAATATTGGAAGAAGTAAAAGCATGGATGAAAACCATTCCCTTATATTCATCTACTGAGAAAAACATGCTACAAAGAAGAAAAAGTCATGCAGTTAGTGGAACTGAGTACTATGTATAGTTTTGGGCTCTACAATACAAGGCAGATGTTGACATGCCAAGCAGAAAGAGTGAAATCTTAATCAAATGTAGTCTAACACATTCTTATTGTACAAAACTAAAGGTACTGATAGGCAGATACACTGTTTACTGACTAGCCTTTTAAGTTTTCTGTTTCTGTAATTAAAATCATCTCCTTGTACAGCACATTAACAGCATTATAAGCCTTCACATCATAGTCTTTATCTTAGATATGTAGTTAGTTCCCATCAGAACTGATAACTGATTCTCTTGTTAATTACATTCGTTTAATTCTGTGGAAATTCTGTGTTTGTTCTGTCTGTATGAATGAGTACTTCAGCGTTGTATATTCAAGCATTGTGAGTACTGGCACAAAAGGCAAATATTTGCAAGGTAGCTGAATAAGCAGTTGCAAAACATTTGCAGATCTAGGCTGAGCTGCTGTAATTCTGTTAGGACAGCAGCCAAATTCTCTACCTGCTTGAATGCCTTTATGCTAAACAATTTATAGAGAAAGGGAAGGGTCCAGGCTGGTAGTCCCAGATAGTAAAGTCCCTGCTGTTGTTTGTTAGCCAGTCAGAGAGAAGATTTTAAAGAAGTTGTTGCCCTAACTGCTCTACATATCAGCAAAACAGGGTAGAGAATATGAAAAGGAAGCTCCACTTGAAAAATTGAGAATGCTACTTGGTACAGGGACCTCTTTGCATTTAGCAATATTCATACAGTGGGATGAAGTAGTGTTTTAACTTCCAGAAAGTGGAAATATTGCTGCTTTCATGCTTCACAGCAGCAGTGCATCAAAAATCATATAAAGAGAGAGAGATGAAAAATATATACAGTCTTGAAATAAGACAGTAGATAAATAACACTTGTAGTGCATCACCTCCACATTTGAGAAAAATCTGAGCATTAAAGACTGTTTTGTTTTGTATTCTTGGAAATGATTTAAAGTGTTGCTTATGCTACTGTTGCCTTTTTCTTTCTGTTATTTAAGGTCCTATACAGAATGATAGCTCCAGAGCAAGGAGTGATACACGGTAAGATTTTTTTTTCCTATTTTTTGTACTGCCTTAGTGTTTGCATTTCTGAATGAGGAATTGTCTGTTTTACATACATGATGACTGAAGAATTTCTGAGTGTGGACTGCAACAGTATCTGTTAAGATCTGAGCATATCCTTAAATAAAAATACTATACAATTGTACATTCAAATATTTTTTTTTCTGTATGAACCACATCCAGCTTCAGTTTGCCTCCATACCTGACTGATCTTTTGTGCTTTTATCCCTTTGTGTTCCTCATCTCCTCAAAAAGCTTCGTTCCATGAAAAAGTGTGCTACAGGCATAACATATTCTTCAGCCTTAGAAAGTCCTTAAAAGAAATGCCTTATGGATTTATTTAGTGTTGTTAATATGTATGTTTATAAACAATATATTGTGAGATGCTGGCTTTGAGTTTGGCTGTTACTCTTTGAAGATCTTTTCTGTGTTTATCTGTTTCATTTAAAATATTGTAAAATTGCATGGACATCTTTGGCATCAGAACAAATGCTTTGCTTTGGTAGTGTCCACTAGCAAATCTAGATACCCTGTTTTTACGATTAATCCCAGTAATAGTTCATTTTCTGCTTACCCTGAGCCACACCAAAATTGCTGAAGGGGTATGTGCTGGCTTTAATTGTTCTTCACTAGGCACTTTGAGCTTTTACTGTAAGGTGCATGCATATCCTGTCTCTTTTGGGAGTGTGGCACCGTGAGTTAAGGGTGCTAACAGCTACAGGACCAGTGATGTTTTAGCTGCCACAGTGGCTTACTTTGTACATTTCTGCCTTAAAGAGGACTGAAGTACATCTGATGTTATACTGACTCTCATACATCAGTTTGCATTTGTAGTTCAAAAAATGTGAATCTTTTCACATACATTATTTTTGGATTTATAACTATATGTGAAACTATAATATAACTATAATATAAACTATATATAAACTATAATATAACTATAATATGTGAAAATTCTCGAGCTCAGTGCAATTTTTCAGTATCACAGGCAAATTCTGTTCTGTTTTGAGGACATGTGGTTGAGTGTCTGAGCTTGACTGGCCCCATTGTGAGGAACTAGTTTAGAGAGTATAGTAACAGTATACTTCAATTTTTTCAAGAAAAACTAGCAAGCTGCAGTTTAGAACTAGTCTAAAAAGGAGTTGTCTTACTCCAACGTCCAGATTATTTCTTATATATGAATGCTTATTTCTTATATATGAATGCTTAGTCATAAATTCTCTAGCCATTTCCAGAACTGAGTTAAGGGAGAAATCTGTGTATACGTAGTTAAGTCTTCTGAAATTATCAAGCATTCTTTGTATTCTGAGCATGTGCTCACCCTTTGGAACCAATGCACACAGGCTGTTCTCTGGTCTTAATCAGCTTCCTGTCTTAGAGATGAATGGCATTCATGGGAACAGTTGAGCAGCAAAATGTAGAAGGCCCAAAGGCAGTTGTATTGAGTTGGATAAGGAAAAAGGAGATTTCAGCAACAGATGTTAATACATCTGTTGCACTACCTTTTCATCTGCTGATACCTTTCTATCCATCAGAAGATAAACTATCAATATGTTTCTACAAATACATAGGTTTTTATAATCCTTATGAGTGTAAAAACCTCATCCGGTAGTAACTACTACATTCTTATTTCTTTTATAAAGCTTGGTGTAATCACAGACTATCAGTATAATTCTCCTTTCTGTCTTTTCCTGCAAAGGACCAACTCAAATGGCCTTGAAAACTCTGATGATGCTGCTCCCAATGAAAACAAGACTGTTAATGGCAGTGATTCTCCATTACTCACAAATGGAAGCTGTAAACCTTCTAGACCTCCCAGGCCTTCCAGACCACCTCCACCGACTCCGCGCAGGCCTACTTCAGTAGTTGGTAAGTATTCTAGGAGCAGGCATTCATTTCAAAGCTATCAATAAGCCACACAGTCTTAGAATGAACACAGTGATTGCTGAGGCATGTTTTTAACTACTACTTTATGTCATGGCAAAGTCTTCGGCAGTGAAGTTCTAAAGGATTATTTTTTCAGCTTGTATTCAATATATACTGTTTAGTCATTGTTTGTATTATTAGAAATTTCTTGTCTCCATGTGTGATAAACGATGATTGTAGTGATGCTTCTAAATGTAACAGAGATGGTGGCAAAAGAACACAAAGGAATGCTACTATTGCATTCCATTAAATTTAGTAAGTCTTGGAAAGCAATCTACTGAAAGACTCATTAAACTCCCTCCAGTAGATAATACTGGATTTTGAAAGACTAGTGACTTGTTTTTACAATTCTACTTAAGGTCTTTGAAATAGCAGCACTTAAAACATTGATTACTCTTTTGCACAGAAACAGATAAATGTGTTTTATTTTATCCGATCATTTAAAAATTACAAAACTTTGAGATGTGGTCCTGAGAAGTTAGTTGATAGATGTTTTCAGGTTAACTGTTCTACACCTGTACACTGCCATCTGTTTCAGTGATCCCATTATCACAGTTGATAAATACCTATTTGGGACTGGAAAATGGACTATAGTAATTACTTTAAAAGCTAAATCCAGTGTCGTTCAGTAATAAGGCCTGACTTACAGCTTTTAATATCACCCAGCAAATGGCATCCAGAAAAGAAAATAAAACAAAGAAAAGCTGAAAGCAGTTAAAGAATGCATGTATTCTCCATCCCACATCCTTAATTTTTCCACATCATGTTAAACTTTCCTTGAAAATATTAATGCTTATTATCCCTTATAATATTATTGCAAACAATAAATGCAAAATTAATCAATGCAAGCAAGTAGCTTTTTGTTTATAATCATTTAGTGTTTACAGAATGCAGACAACTTGCTTTAGTAAACGTATTTTAACAGTAATGTCAAAATTGTGCAGCTGATGGCCATTCTTGGATTAAAGCATTTTTACAAACTGAGATAAAGATGCGTTTTTAGTTCTTGTGTAAAGTGTGAAATGTGGCTATATGCAGACTCTTCAAAATACATGTTTTTGCATGTTTACTTTTGTGATTCAGAACTTCTGAAATAGGTTGCTGATAAGTAGAGAAATACCAATTAGTGGTTTTTTTTTTCCCCTTCCTGTCTTTTGATCTTTGACATTATAGCAAGTGTAAATGGTCCTTCATCCACATCTACAGAAAATGATGGGGCCAGTGCAGGATCACTGGCAGGTCCGGCTGCAAGTACATCTTCAGAACAGAGCCCTGAGGGGGCAACAGCTGCAACGACAGCTCCTGCAACTGCTGCACTCACCACGCCTCCAGTATCAAGACAAGTCCAGCCAGGAAATCCTCCAGCTCAGGCACTTACTACAGTCAGTCAAGGTCCTCTTCCACCTGGGTATGAGATTTTTTGTGCTGATTTTTCTCATTTTATTTTCTGGCAGTAGGTATACTGAAACATAACATCTACCTTTTACTGTGTAACAAAAATTCCCCAAAATGCTTGAAGTGGAAGTTCTCTGTTTGATCTAGTGTATCTTCAAGCATAGTTTATTCAAGAAAGAATTTGAACTTTCAAGTATTTCTGATGCTTTTCATATACTGCCGAGTCAGTGAAACATGGAAGTTTTAAATCGCAAGGCAGCTTGCTGTCTTCAAATTGAAATGAAGTCAGGTAGTAAAATACTGGAATGGATAAGTAAAAGAAAAGCTATTATCACTGGACATAATTTGCTGTCTTCCATATTTTGGAGGTTGCAGCTCCTGGGAGTAGTGCAGGCATAATGTGGTATTTTACGTGCATGTGGAATTTGCCAGGTGATTGGTCTGTTGCCTCAAAGCTCTGATTTAGATTCTTAATTTTTTCTTAAAAAAAATAAATGTTTCTGGACTCTTTGAGTGAGGGAAAGCAAAAGCTTCCTGATGTGAATGGTATAATTGGTGATCATAACTGCCTGCAAATTAAGTCAGGTAATAAGCAGTGAGAGAAATCTGAATAACCTTACAGGACAACTGTGAAATATAGAAGCACTCTTGAAAATACCAGTTTTTGCTTAACCACTTTGATTTTGTTAGAAATGACAAATTAGTATGCTTCCTTCCCATGTTATATTTGATACAAATACAAGAGTAAGTCAGTATCCCAGATGCTGCATATTCAGAAATCAGTGCTCTTATGATGAATTCCATGTATACGTGATCTGTGCAAAATTTACATAATTTGGGGATTTAAATTGAATGAAATTTATTCTAATGGGATTACGCTCCTCAAATGATACTGTTCAACACATAACTGAACACATATTTAATACTGAATACAAAGTATTACTTCATTGCTTAAGAAGACTGCATGCGTATATATGCATTTTAGCTTCAGTTTTCCAGAAACTGGAGGTGGTCATGTGGAAAGTTTTAAAAATATTTTTCATTTTTTATTTTTTTGTTCTAGTTAACATAGAATTACTGCTAATGTGGACATTGTACCACTGTATATTGTACAGCGTTTTGGTGCATACCATGTACCAAAATGGTCAGGTGTTTTACATAGAAGTAAGCATTTTATGAAAACAAACATTTCTCCTCTTTATACTGTATGCTTTATACTACAGATGAATGGTTGGAGTACATTCATCTTAAGAAAAATAAGCGTTGTTTTATTTTCAGTTGGGAGCAAAGAGTAGACCAACATGGTCGAATATACTATGTAGATCATGTTGAAAAGCGAACTACGTGGGATCGGCCAGAGCCTCTTCCTCCAAGGTGAGCCATGCAAAATCATCTCCTTGTCTAGGATATGTTTGGATTGGTTGTATCAGATATTGACTGACACTTTACTAAAGCTAAAGAGCAGGTTTGTAAATAGCATTGAGCTCAAACAATTGCTCCAGGTTGTCTCCAAATAGTTCAGGGATCTCCTGGAAAGAGTCCAGCAGAGGGCCACAAAGATGATACGGGGCCTGGAGCATCTTCCCTATGAGGAAAGGCTGAGAGACCTGGGTCTGTTCAGCCTGGAGAAAAGAATGACTGAGAGGGGATCTCATCAGTAGTGTTTAAATACCTGAGATGTGGGAGACAGAGGGATTTGGCAAATCTCTTTTCAGTGGTTTGCGGGGACAGGACAAGGGGTAATGGCCACAAGATAGAGCACAGGAAGTTCCGCACCAACATGTGAAAGAACTTCGTCATGGTGAGGGTGACGGAGCACTGGGACAGGCTGCCCAGGGAGGTTGTGGAGTCTCCTTCTCTGGAGGCTTCAAGGCCTGTCTGGATGCCTACCTGGGCAGCCTGCTCTGAGGAACCTGCTTTGGCAGGGGGTTGGACCCTATGATCTTTTGAGGTCCCTTCCAATCCCTTCAATTCTGTGATTCTGCAGTAATGCATAATATATAGTGTGGAAAAGAGTTGAATGTTAAAGATAACAGAATTGGAATTTCCTGTCAAAGCATAAGTGTGTGTGTGTATACTGAAAAATGGGTTAAAGCTAAAGACAGCAAACACCCATGACAGTAGAAGAGAACCAAAGCCACAGAAAGGTATTTTGGGATTCAGGTAACTATTAGCTTGAGCAAAAATGCCCTTGGTTACTTCTTTATCTTGAGGTTACTGTTTACAGTCTTTGATCCTGCCTCAGGGTTCCCAGCTGCTAATTTACTATGCTCTTATAAATTATCTTTGGTTATTAGGCTTTTCCAGCTCTTAGAACAGCCAGTAATGTTAATCTTTACATGGAAGTTGTATTCTTATTTGTTCTTTTTTTTATTTTCTCCTGAAGTGAAAGGAAAATCAATTGTTTTATTGCACTTCATTCGTACTCAGGTGGCTCAAATGTTATGCAGAATTACAAAGTAAAAACACGTGGGACCCTAAAGAGAACTTGATTTTAAAGAAGCAGCAAGCTGGCAGACTGTCTCATAAAAAGGAGCCTACCTGTTGTACTCAACTTGTTTTAAATTCTAAGATGATTTACTAATTTTGTAAATAGTATTGATTTTATATGAACTGAAAATAAATAAAAACACACACACACCACCACCAAAACTTCATTTTCTGCCCAAACCGACTGATCTTGTCAGAAAGAGAATGAGGAAATCTTGCATTGTACAGCCAAACTGTCTGAGCTTTTGTTATCTTTTTAGGACAAACCTGTAGACTTATGAATTGAGTGGGATAAATGCCATAATAACAGTACACCATTGACAGTGGTTCGTGTAGCATTTAAAAAAGGTTTAAACCTTTCAGTGTTAAAAGTGAAAGTACAGTAATAGAATGAGTTTGACTTCTGAGCCCTTAAAGTTGTCAGCTATTGAGAACTGATGCTTCTAATTTTATTTTTTTCATTCTTTTTAAAGCTGGGAGCGACGAGTTGACAACATGGGTAGAATTTACTATGTTGACCACTTCACCAGAACAACAACATGGCAGAGACCAACATTAGAGTCTGTCCGAAATTATGAGCAGTGGCAGCTTCAACGCAGTCAGCTTCAAGGAGCCATGCAGCAATTTAATCAGAGATTTATATATGGGGTAAGGAGTACAATGCTTACTAATGCTGATAAAGGATAAGAGAAGTATCTTTTCTACATATTGGAACTATATATGTATTTGTGTTTTGAGAATGCTTGTAGGTGACTTTTCCCAGCAAAGACACAAGTTTTTGTTACGGTTTATTCTTTGTGATATATAGTATCTTTACATTTGTTAGCATGGCATGAGCCTTGGTTCAGTAACCTTAATTCATGTCCTTGCAATGACTGCAGGCAGTGTGATACATTTTGTTCGTCAGCTGAATATATATGGTGTTCTTTGGTAAAATGTATGTATATTAACAAAAGCCAGTAGTTCAAAGCAAACTGCAGCATAGTAATAAGCTGTTTTATTTAAATTGTGCCTTCCAATGGCCTAAAAGGAAGGCAGGCTCATAGGACATGTTTCAGCTCTGGGTAAAATACATGCTGTGAAGGTAGAGGAAAATAACCCTTCCAGAATTTCAAATGTATTGTTTACCTCTGAATAATAGACTTCGAACAACTCCTTATAATGCTACTAGTTTGTTAAAAACAGCATAGGTGCTAGATTTACTGTATATATACAGAAAAAACACTTCATAAATGGTGGTAGGGAGAACAGTACTAAATGCAGGACTGAAGTGATTTACTTTCTGATTGTTTTGGGTACTGTGGTACTAATTTCCCTTCTGTGCAGGCAGGGGCACTTCACAAAGAATAATTATTTTCTTGGCACTGCAGTTAATTAAGTATGCCAAGGGCTATAAAATTAGCAAACAGAAGCTGTGAATCCTTAGTACAAGGAAGAAAGAGAGCTTAAATAAAAGACGAATTTGTAATACAACATGCCATCTCTGGAATAAAAAAAAAATGTTGGCCTCTGATATATGTAAAAATATATATGTAAAATTAACAAGAATACATTTACTTTAATAACTTGTGATGCCTATGTTAGAGCATTGGGAAGGCAAACGGATGGAGGCTAGTCATTAATGCACCATTTGTTTGTGTGACTTGCAGAACCAGGACTTTTCTTCCATGCAAAGCAAAGAGTTTGATCCTCTTGGCCCTCTGCCACCTGGATGGGGTAAGACTGACTTGAAACAGTGTTTTGTAATGCAGTGTAATTAGACATTAGAGCATATTTCTGCCAAATTATCTTGTCAGCTGTTCTAGGCTAGTTTTATTTAAGAGAAAATCTAGATTATTTTAAAAATAAATTAAATCTAATCAAATGTGCTGTTAAAGCATCAAATCCTGACAAGGATGTGTAGTTCCAAAGTAGATTGGGAACAAAACAGAATAGTTTGTAGTTTCCAGTAATTGTCATGTCATAATAGCTTCTTTCACACTATCATCCCATTTTTCACCGCTTTCATTAGGCAGGATTTACCCCTTACCCTTCTGGGTGTGTAGCCAATTCTTGGAGAACTCTGTAGCACTGAAAAGCTTTTATGACAACAACTAATAATTCCTTAACTTGTTCTCTCTCTCTCTGGAGTGAATTTGTTTGGTTTTGTAATTCGCAGGGCTAACCTTTTACAATAAATAGATTTTTGTGTGTGCCTCTATGTACAAAAATGTAAGTGTAGAACTTTATTTCTGCTGTGACTACGAAGCTGCTGTAAGAATTCAGGGTTCATGATACATAGGCAGTGTTCTCAGAGTTGTTTAGTCTTAAAGTGAGTGACTATACATGTCAGAATTAGAGCTGGGTTTGTATTTTGCTTTTCAAATATAACTGTCAGGATTTTTAGTTCTGGTATTGATTTGATATCATGCTGTAAGATCGTTGTGCCCACATTTGTGCGTTGTTGCACTACATATGTAGCATTTCAAGTAATGTTTTTGAGGCTGACTTTGCCCAGGAAGCAACAAAACTGAATTTCAACGTCATGTTGAATTCTTCTCTAGTATAACGCCTATAGACAAGTGTCTGCTTCCAGACTTTCCTTCTTAACTGGAGCTTTTTACTTGTGATAGTCAGAACATAGCCTGTTTTTGTAATTTGTATTCTACATTTTGCGTGCTTCTTAGAACACTCTAAATAAAAAAATGCATGAAGGACTGCAGATTGATCTAGAAGACCAAATCCTGGCATTTATCATAAACATTTTTCAGTTGTAGGTATAGGTTTATTTGATTGAAAATACATTTTTTGGAAACCATGTTGTTATATTTATTTATTTATTTATTCCCTGCTGATAATACAAATATGAAAGATTTTACTACTGTTCACATACCTTTTAGTACTTTCTTGATATTTTTGTATACCTCTGTAACATATCTTACGTTTGTTGTCTATATTGTTTGTAAAGCACATAGCAGAAATTGAAGCTAGCTGGGATTTCCTTTGGGGAAAACTGTTTATGTTTTTGCTTTCTTCCAATTATTTGTTTCCTATAATAGGGGAAAAAAAAAGCAGAGTAAAGGATCTTTAGATGGAAATTTCAATTTCATCTGTATTTTAATCCATATGCATTTTAACTTCCAAAAAACACCAGAAAAAGCTTTTTAAAAAGTACAACCTGTAGGCCAATATACTTAGTGAAGGTAAATTTCCTGTGATGAACAATTTCCTTCACAACTGTTTATATTTCTGCTATAATGCCCAGAATCTTGACTTATAGTTAAGATTTCGTCATTTTTATAAGCAGCATACATAGATATCTGAACTTTTCAGGGTAAGAATTGAGATACTAAGAAACAATGCAAAACCATCCTAAGTGCATCTTTTCACTGAGGATAGGTGATGATGCAGTTTCACATAATTGTTAGCAGTCAGTAGTATTAAAATAGATTCCTGTTGGTGAGTTGACTATTAAGGAGTAACGCCAATGAAAGTGAAAAGATGTTGAGTCAAAGGATGTACAGAGAATCTTGAAGACAGATGAAACTGTAGCAGGCACTGATTGCTTATATTAATTGAATTTGTAGTCTCAGCAACGCAGTAAGGAGGTATTGAAATTTGTTTTCATTTTGTATCTTTTCAGAAAAGAGAACTGACAGCAATGGCAGAGTGTATTTTGTCAATCACAACACACGCATCACTCAGTGGGAAGATCCCAGGAGTCAAGGGTAAGAAATCAGTTGCAGCTTCATGTAAATCTGAAATGAAAATATAACAAAGTAGTGAGATTGAGACTTTGGAGATGGTGCTTAGAGCTAAAACACAGGCTGTCCTATACATGCTATCAGGCAGTCCTGTAAAAGGTACCAGCTGAAACAGAAACTGTCAAAATAACACTTGATAATAATACAGTTATCAGGAAAGTCTTGTCAACAGCAGTAAGTTCATTCCCAGAACAGTTCATGCTCTTTTAATAGAATAATAGAAACTTGTATCGTTGCAGGAGGGAGGAGAGTGTTTGTTTCAACTGATGTGTTAGTGCAGAAGATCCTGCATAATTTGATTATTTATTAGACTGGCAATAGCTAAGAGACAGAAGAGAAACTCCAAAAGTTGCAGCACCTCTACTTTACCACTTTAAAACAAACAATAAAGAAGAAACAGAACTTGGGTACTCTACAAGTATTGGATTAATAGATTACTGTTTAGTTTGGAATCCAGTTACTTTGACTCTGAGGTAGGAAATGTAGGCAGGAAATTGAGGGTGAAGGGTGTGCTGTGTTTGAGATGAAAATTTCCACTTGGTGATGCAAATTCGTCTGTAATGAAATGGAGTAAGATGAGGGAGAGTGGAAGGGTTAATAGCCATAGCCAGAGATGACAGCCTTTCAACGGCTTTCAGTGACTTGAGAGTCACTGCAGCAGTTAACTGTATGGAAAGCACTGTTATTTTTAATAACCACCCAACAACCAAAAGTTCTGATTTAATAGCTTGGAAACATTTTCCTGAAGTATATTTCCATAGAGGGAAGTCACTTTGAGAGCACTTGGATGGAGTGGTAATACTCAGGTTTTCCAAACATACCAAGATACGCTTATATCGATACGAAAATTGAGTTGGAAGTTGTCAAAAAAAATTGCTTAAGATCAGTATTTTTATTTTCTTGATATTTTTGTCATTCTGAAACTCTTCAAGCTTTTGGCTATTGTGATTATATGTGAGGTACCAAAAGCTAGTTATTAGGGCAACATCATCTTGAGAGTAAAAATCTAACAAAAGATTTTAGTTGCTGTTGCTTAAGTGGATGAAACATAGAAACTTACAGAAAAATACAAGAATGTTTACCAATTTGCTGTTCTTCTTGATAGTGCAACTGAAGGTGCTATTGTTGAAATAAACATTCATTTTGGTTAAAATGAGAGGTGATGTGAAAATTGGAGGAAAAAAAGGCGGAATAAATGTTGAAATGAAAGCGTCTCCGTCTGTAGTTTTCTAGATCTGCTAAATTTTTTACTGTCTCAAGTACAGACTTCATGTATTAAGTTCATAATTTACTACGTATTTGCTTGTATCTGTAGTCAATTAAATGAGAAACCCTTACCTGAAGGCTGGGAAATGCGATTTACTGTGGAAGGTATTCCATATTTTGTGGATCACAACAGAAGAACCACTACATACATAGATCCCCGCACGGGCAAGTCTGCTCTGTAAGTGTTTTATTAAACCATTTCTAAGCTCCTAAAAGTGAAGTTGAACATTCATAAGTTGCTTTTTTTTCTTTTTCCTGTTTTGTGTGCAGAAAGTTTTACGTGTATTAAAGTCTCTGAATTTATTTATTTTTATCCATGGATAAGTGTCCCTGAAGATGACTGAATACTTGAGAATCTGACTCACCAAGTAGTAGATAAGATAGAGGGACCATCAACACTTCTGATGACCAGATCCCTTCCTTCCACTTACTGGTCTTCACTTTTACAAGTATACTCTTTCTTTCTTTGATTTTTAGGAACCAGAATGGAGTTAAAAGCAGAACTTAGCTGCATGTTTAAATTACCTGAATGTCATCCTACCTTATTGTTAGTATCTTTTTTACACCAAATCCCAGAATGGCTGAGTTTGGAAGGGACCTCTGAAGATCATCTGGTCCAACCCCCCTGCCAGGCAAGATCATCTAGAGCTCTTTACACAGGATGGCATCCAGGCAGTGTTTGAATATCTCCAGAAAAGGAGATTCCACAACCTCTCTGGGCAACCTGTCCCAGTGCTCTGTCACCTTCCCAGTCAAGAATTGCCCCCTCATACTGAGCCGGAACCTCCTGTCCTTCAGTTTGTGCCCACTGCCTCTCATCCTGTCGCTGGTCACCACTGAAGGGAGACAGTCTCCATCCTCTCAAAACCCTCCCCCCAGATATTTGTACCCATTAACGAGGTCTCCCCTCAGTCTTCTCTTTTCCAGGCTAAACAGGCCCAGCTCTCTCAGCCTGTCCTCATACGACAAGTGCTCCAGTCCTCTCATCATCTCTGTAGCCCTCCTCTGAACTCGCTCCAGGAGCTCCATGTCCCTCTTGTACTGGGGAGCCCAGATCTGAACACAGTGCTTCAGGTGTGGCCTCACCAGGGCTGAGCAGAGGGGTGGGGTCACCTCCCTTGACCTGCTGACAACACACTTCTGAATGCATCCCAGGAGACCATTGGGGCCAAGCAGGCCACAAGGGCACATTGCTGGCTGCCTGCTGTCCACCAGGACTCCCAGGTCCCTCTCTGCAGAGCTGCTCTCCATTTGGTCAGCCCCCAGCCTGTACTGGTGCTTGGGGGTTATTCCTCCCTAGGTGCAGGACCCTGCGTTTGCCCTTGTTGAACTTCATGATGTTCCTCTCGGCCCAACCCTCTAGCCTGTCGAGGTCCCTCTGCATGGCAGCACAGCCGCCTGGGGTATCAGCCACTCCTCCCAGCTTTGTGTCATCAGCGAACCTGCTGAGGGTGCACTCTGTTCCATTGTCCAGGTTGTTGATGAGTATGTTGAACAACACTGGACCCAGTACTGACCCCAGCGGGACACCACTAGTTTACAGGCCTCCAACTAGACTGCACTGCTGACCACAACCCTCTGAGCTCTGCCATCCAGCCAATTGCCAATCCACCTCAATGTTCACTCATCTAGGCTGCACTTCCTGAGCTTGTCTATGAGGAAGTTATGGGAGACAGTGTCAAAAGCCATGCTGAAGTCAAGGCAGACTACATCCACCACTCTCCCCTCATCTACCCAGCTAGTCATCTGACCATAGAAGGATGTGAGATTGGTTAAACATGATTTCCCCTTGGTGTACCCATGCTTAACTACTCCTGATCACCTTCTTATCCTCCACATGCTTGGAGATGACCTCCAGGATGAGCTGTTCTATCACCTGTCCAGGGATGGAGGTGAGGCTGACTGGCTTGTAGTTTCCTGGGTCCTCCTTCTTGCCCTTTTTGAAGACTGGCATGACATTGACTTTCTTCCAGTTCCCTCAGGCACCTCTCCTGTTCTCCATGACCTTTCAAAGATGATTGAGAGTGGTCTAGCAATAACATCAGCCAGCGCCTTCAGCATCCATGGGTACGTTTCCATTGAGGCCCATGGATTTGTGGGTGTCAAGTTCGCTTAGATGATCTCTGACCTGATCCTTTTCGATCAAGGGAAAGTCCTCCTTTCTCTGGACTTTTTCTCTCTTGTCTCCAGGGTCTGAGATTCCCAAGGGCTGGTCTTAACAGTAAAGACTGAAGCAAAAAAGGCATTCAGCAACTCTGCCTTCTCCATATCATTTGCCACAAGGGCACCCACCACATTCAGCAGTGGACTGACTGAAGAGGCCTAAGTTTTCTCTCCTGAAGTCCAGGGCTGCAATCCTACGTTTTGCCCTGCTTCCTCTTTGCAAGATCCTGAACTCCACCGTAATCATGGTCACTGCAGCCAAGGCTGCCCCCTACCCTCACATCTCCAACTAGTCCTTCCTCATTCATTAATACAAGGTTCAGCAGCACACCTCTCCTTGTTGGCTTCTCCACCACCTGTGTCAAAAAAGTGTCATCAGTGCACTGCAGGAACCTCCTGGACTGTTTGTGTAATCTGAGTGGTCTTCCCAGCAGATAATCAGTGTGGTTGAAGTCCCCCATGAGAACCTGGGCTGATGCCTGAGAGGCTACTTTGAGCTGTCTGAAGAAGGTTTCATCTACCTCCTCTTCCTGATAATTAATTAAATTACAGTGAATTAGATACTGTTGGGAAAAGTACTGGATGTGCACTCCACAATTTACAAGACAGATTTTTTTAGTTAAAAAACACAAACAGTTATACCCCAAAAGCAGACGAAGTGCATTTGAATTTTCCAGCCAGATAGCCTACTAAACCATGTAACTACACAACAAATAATTTTTCGTACTGTTTTTTAAATTACAAAAACGCTTTGGAAATTAATTTTTCTCCCTTTGGTTCCAGAGACAATGGGCCCCAGATAGCTTATGTACGCGATTTCAAGGCAAAGGTCCATTATTTCCGATTCTGGTGTCAGGTACAAATTTATTTCTTGAACATTTGTTTGCATTTTCATTTTCTGTTTACTTTCTGTAAATTAACTATTCAGTGCCCTGCAAGTAAAATTAATCAACCCACTTAAAGTGAGTATAACCAGGAGCTAGCAAATACAGGGTTTGTATAAGCTGATGCAAGTTGTAGGGTAACTTTAAAACTTCTTAGAGTAAAAGAAAACCTGAATTTCTTTACAGTTTATGTAAGAAAGTACTAGGTTTCAGAATGTTGTTCTTTTTCTGCTCTTAATAAGTGAATATATGAAAATTTAGTAGTTTTAAATATAATTAATATATAAGATCTAGTTTCTATACAAATAAATACTTCTGGAAGAAACTGCAGGGCATTTGACACAGACCATACGTGTCTAAACACTGAAAACTATATTGGGTTGTACTTTAGTACGTCCTAACATAATAGCATATTGCAATGTCACTCTTGGTCTTTTAAACTCTATGGATATCAAAAGAATATGTAACTTGGTATCTAGGAAAATGTACTGGGTTTAAATGTTCCAGTGTTCAAGTGTCAATGAATTATACTTTGAAAAATAGCAGAGAAGAGCCTGATTTTTGACTTTTACAGAATAACCTAAATTTTCTTTTTTTATTATTATTGAATGTTGGGGTAAAAGGCCTTACTGATTTAGAATGTTACTTATCTTATTTTTTTCCAGTGTTTTGTAAGAATACAGTATTTGAACCTGTTCAAATCAGGATATGGAGGCCTGTATACCTTTGCTGCAGATCTCAGTATCGGAATCGATTTTTTCTTGGAGTAAATTAAAATTCAAGTATCTCGATTACTGACTGTTTTATGTGCATTAGTGAAATTTACCTCTACCTCTTAAAACAACACATTCAACAAACAACAGTTAAAACAATATGAGAAATATTAAGTATTTTGTAGATCTTATCTCTGAAAAATTTCATTTCAGCAACTGGCAATGCCACAACACATAAAGATTACAGTGAGCAGAAAAACATTATTTGAAGACTCATTTCAACAGGTATTGTATTAAAACATATTAGTAGACATGAAAAGTTGGACCAAAGGAATTTGTCACTTGTCTTTCTTGATCCTGTGACATTTTAATAAGGTTATTTTACTAGAGACTAACAAAAACAAATAGTTAGGATACCGTCATGCTTATATATAAAAAGATCATGCTAAAATGTTAAGTTCTGTCTCTACTGGCTGATTAATTGTGGGGAGAGCAGTGGCAGAGCAATTCCCCATTCACAGGAAGTTAGCGTGTTTTGCTATGTTTGTTCGCATGTCCTCCCCTGCCAGTTTTGTTATATAAGCATGGTTATGTACCAAAATATATTAAGTTGCGCTTATTCTTACTGTAGATGTTACAGGTCTTTAAATAAGTAATTAAATAGTTACAAGAAAACAAAAACTAATAAGTATACTTAGGTTATTAGCAGTAAAATTCTTAAGAATGCTAAGAGACCTAAATCGTGCTTGAAATTTATTTCTATATGCTATTTTTAAGTGTTTTCATATTCTACCTTTTTTTTTAATGTTCACTGTGGCAATAAATTATTCCCCTTGCCAGTTAAATAGAAGGTGAGTGCTACAGGGAACAATATGAAATTTGTGTTGGCCACTTCTGTGTTTTTCTGATTTGAAAGAAATTAAGATGCAAGCCTTATTCAAGAAGATAGGAACTTCTACCTTCCTCTGTCCCTTGCTGATCTTTATGTTCCTGTATATCTTCTGGTTTCATTTCTCATAGGAGTTATCAGTTTGTCAAGCCAAGAAGTTAGTACATGTTGAATAAGATGTTTTGAGACAAGAATATATATTCTTAAATAAGGTTTAATGCTTACTTATTCAAGTTACTGTAAACTGTCTTAACAGAAGCTGCAAATAAATGCTAGTGCAGCTGGCTACTCTTTTGGAACACTCTTGTCTTCAAATAGAGTGGGTTAGAAGTAGATGAAATAAGTCCTGGAACTGAAAATTGGTTCCACCATTATTTCTAAAATTGTACTTTGTCCTTTCACAGTAATGACAAAGGTAACAATATTATATTATAGTAGAAAGAGTTGAGAGATTATGTAATCATGTAAATGTCAACTAACCGAGGTGTATTTAGGAAAGTATGGCACTTTGTCAATAATTTAGGCTATAACTCAATCGCACATATCTGACTTCTTTTTTTTTTTAATACTGATTCTTTGGTCATTTGTAGATATCTATGTTGGAGATACAAAATCTATTGTGATGATAACTTCAGACATCTAGCACAGATTTAAAAATTTTTGATCCAAATTCTGTGCCTGTTATTACAGACAAAAACTTAATGATCTCACACATACATGTTCTGTGAAATTTCTTTAAGTAAATGTCTGACATTTGAACAAAACGGCATTACTAAAATTCCTTAGCTTCTAAAAAAGCTAGATTTTTATTATCCCCTTTAGGAGATGAAGCTGTAAAATGAAAATATTTTATATATAATTTTTATTTATTTATTTGAGATCTTAGTCATGTCTCTTCATTGCCTGTAACTTGGGTATCTTTCAGATATCATTCACTACAGTATTTTAGAAATCCTGAATTTACATACTTTGAGCCCCTGTTATTTATTGACTTGATTTTTGTCATAAACTTTTATATAGGCTGCTGGCATAATTATAGGTCTTAAATTTTAAAATTATTATTTATTTTTCTTTTACATCTTTTACTTGTTAACCTGTGGAAATAGGTTGCCACTAACCCCTCAAATTCCATGAAAGTTATGTAAGCGGGTACTTCGTGTACTTATAGCACATTTTATGTTCTGATTGCAAATGCTATATGGCTTGATACTGGAAATAGTTTTATATGATTTTCTTGAAATAAATTGTCTGTTTTTCTTTCACTTAGATAATGAGCTTCAGTTCTCAGGATCTACGGAGACGTTTATGGGTTATTTTCCCTGGTGAAGAAGGCTTAGATTATGGAGGTGTTGCAAGGTAAACTATAGTAAAATGGCAAATGATTTTTTTCCTGTTTTTTGTTGTGAAAATTTCCCCAAGGTAGATAATTGAACTTCAGTGATTTCAGAATACTAGTGAAGTGTATTCCTCGTTTTTCCTTAGAACATCAGCGCATGTTTTAGAACTGTATAGAAGTATTTTCAGTACACTTTAGGAATTACTTTAATCTGTCTTAGTGATTAGTGAAAACACATGCACAGTTTATTGACTTCAGCATGACCATTACCACCAAAGTAGAGGTTTCCTGAAAATGAACAAAAACGTAATTTCATGTCAGAAGTCCGTACGTGAATGTAACTAGGAAAGGCATATATATTTATTAGTGTTCCCTAAAAGTCTAATGTTTAAATCAATGGTAGTTTTTTAATTACCTCCGTAAGATAAGGGATCTTTTTCCAAATCACTGACAGCTGTATAACATTTTTAACCTTGCAGACTAAATCCTAATTTACATTAGTTTCAGTTTGATGTAACCATACTTTCTAGAAAAGTCAGGTTGACTAGCTATGTGCCAACAAGTTCCTAAGTGGATTTTCAGCATATCAGTTAGCTGAAGTCATTTTTAATGTTTTGAAATGTTTTTTGTTGTTGTTGCTTGTGTAATTTCAGGGAATGGTTCTTTCTATTGTCACATGAAGTTCTGAACCCAATGTATTGCCTGTTTGAATATGCAGGGAAAGATAACTACTGCTTACAAATAAACCCAGCCTCCTATATTAACCCAGATCATCTGAAATACTTCCGTTTTATTGGAAGATTCATTGCCATGGTAAGTTAAAAATAGAAAAAAGTTACCTCCTGTAATTTTTCGTGTAAATAAATACAGTACTATAGAATCATAGAATATCAAGAGTTGAAGGGGACCCACAAGGATAATTGAGTCCAACTCCCGGGTCCCCAAAGACCACCCATATATCAGACCATGTGTCAGAGAGTGTTGTCTAAATGGTTGTTGAACTCTGGCAGGTTCAGTGCCCTGGGGAGCCTGTTCCACTGCCCAGCCACCCTCTCGGTGAAGAACCTTTTCCTGATACCCAGCCTGAACCTCCCCTGTTGTAGCTCCATTCGGTTTTATTGGTTCCTGTCGCTAATTACCAGAGAGCAGAGATTAGCGCCTGCCCCTCTGCTCCCCTTGTGAGGAAGCTGTGGACTGTGCTGAGGCTTCCCATCAGTCTCCTCTTCTCCAGGCTCAACAAACTGCTGACTTCAGCTGCTTTTCATACATATTCCCCTCCAGACCCCTCACCATCTGCGTAGCCCTTCGTACCATCAAATGGATTACTAAATACTTCATCTTTGAGCTGAAATTTTCATCAGCATACATAGTTATTATGTATAAATAGAATAAAGCATATTTACAGTTCTGATATTCTAGCTTACTTTAATTCTTTGGGCATCAAGCTCCATTGGTACGCTGTACAGAATGTTGTCATATTGAGTAATCAATCATCCTTTGCATTATTTTTTGTCTATTTTCATGTTCTTCAGGCTTTATTCCATGGGAAATTCATTGACACTGGTTTCTCTCTGCCGTTCTATAAGCGTATCCTAAACAAGCCAGTAGGACTCAAGGATTTAGAATCTGTTGACCCAGAGTTTTACAACTCTCTCATCTGGGTAAAGTGAGTTCATCTTGATTTTGTTCTTGAAATAGCAATAAAATGTTTTTGTTTTTCACTTGTGCCAGAAAGTAAGTGTAAAACTACTACTACTAACAAACTGACCAGTAGAGTATGTCAATAACAAAGTAGTATTGGAATTTTAATGGAATATTAGATACACAAATGATTTGATAATGCAAAAATTAATTGCATTTTTAGGTCACTGAATATTCTGCGCAGTATCGTGCATTCCATTTTTACTATTTTTTGAATAAATCTTGCTAGACGTTATACAAATGTGGTACTCATGCACAACATTACAAATAAAATGGCTCAAGTAAATTCCACTGAAACTTTTTAAATAACCAATTAAAAAAATTAACAATAAATCCTTTCAATATCTGGTTTAATTAGAAAACACAATATAGTGCTACAATAATTTGGAGTTAGCAAATGTAACTTATATACTGTCACATAACTCTTCTGTCAGTCATACTTGAAATTTATCTAAGGAGTTAAAGTAAAAGATTTAAAGTTAATTCTCATACATTTTCATAGCTGCTATTGTTTTTTTTGCTCCAACCTGGATGATTTAGGACCATTTATTTCTACATAGGGCCTTCCATGTATGCATTGTCAGTCATCTGTAAGCTCTACATTCATAATCCTGTTGAGTCCTCCTTCTCCACTCCTTTGCAGATTCCTCTCTAGAGAGCAGCAAGTAAATAGGTTCTGGAGTTTATAGACCAGAAATTTAATTATTTTAGAAATGCATTAAAACTATTTTAAGTTATAATTAAAAACAAAACAAACCAAAAAAAAAAAACCAACACTTTCCATTCAAGGTAATTTGGTACTTATTTTATAATAGCAAGATTCCAAGACATTGTAATCTATGGTGGTTGTGCACCATTTGTTTCAGTAACTGGTTATTTTCTTTTCCCGAGAGTATTTAAAAAAAAAAAAAGTGTGTGTGTGGGGGGGGGTGCTTAGAAGAGATGGATAGTCAATTCAAACTTTTTGTTTGTTTGTTTGTTTCTGCTATAAGGAAATTTAGCAGAAAATTTAGTCTGCGTTACGTGTCTAGAGAGATACAGCATACATTAGTCAAGAATCATACACAAAGTAGATTAAAAAAGCCTTGAGGACTTCATAAAGATGGGGATAGTTTGTTTTTAAAAGCTGAAATAAATATAAAAGACAAGAATGTCATTTCCTGTAGTGGTGAATCTTGGAAGCATTATCTTGGATAATGAGGAGGTGATGAGACGTTTCAGATGTTTACAACGTGAGATAAGCATTTTGATGAGTCTTTGATGAGTAGTATGTTCTGTACTGAATGATTTGCTCCTAAAGGTGTAGTAAACATTCCAGTAGGAAATGTCAGTAGTGGATATCTGAGTAAACATACTGTGAATTTGAGACTTGAAAGTTGTAGGGCTGGATACCTGTACTTACATTACATGAATCTTGTAATCTGTTTTGTAGTCAGAAGGTGCGTGTTTATTTTTTTCTTTAGAAGAAGTGTTTTTTGTCATCATGTGATTTACTGACTTCTAGAAAACAAGTAAATGTGATAGTGAAAAGAGCGAGTTACAGGAAAGAAATTTGCGTTAACTGGTCTTTAATCATGGGCGAAGCTATTACTGGTGAATGATCTTGTGCAACTCATTACAATTCAGTCACATGTAACATTTACCTTGTGAATAGTATCAGCCCGTTAATTTTGTGTGGAAAGTCTAGAGTAGAAGGGTATTGTTTTTAAGCCATTATCTGCAGACGCAGACACATCTTTGCATTTGACAGCACGTAAGCTGGGCACTTACTCAGCACTATCCTTTGTACATCACAAAGGAGTGTGGTTTTTTACACCTGATATTTGAAAGGTCTTTCAATACTGCAGAGGCGTGTTATATTTGTTCTTCACACGGTTCTTTAGGTGCGTGTGTTACACTTACAGTGGTCCATAAGAGAGCACAGAAGCTTCTGAATATTAATATTAGGCTTCTCTGTGGCAGTATAAGGGCACTTGCAGACACTGCAGACTAGTTTTTTCCCCTTCATCTTTACTTCAAAGTGTGCCAGATACCGTTAAGTTGATTGCTCTTGTGAGCTTTCCAAGCAGGATAAGTTTTGGGTACCAGCAGTCCCTAACAAGGCAATTTTGTCAAAGACAGGAAACTTACATATGAAGTAAAGAACTAGAACACTCAAAACTTAGTGACAAGAACAACCATTACATCTCACTCTGTAAGTGAGGGTTTCAGATGGCTTCTTTGCGGTGGCTACCTATGCTTTTATTAAATTTAACTTTGTAATTTGAGGGGTTTGTTGAGTTGGTTATTCATGTATGCACATCAGTGAAATGAAGTCAGTAAGTCTTGCAAAATCACAATTTATTATGTAAGTAACATTTCCTTAGCTTGATTCTTGAGCTCCAAACAATTAAAAAAAAATGCTTAAGGTTCTTCATACCCATCCCCTCTCCTGAGTACATAGTTCTTACCCAGTTATTTAAAATTACATTTTCTTTCATACAGAGAGAATGATATTGAAGAATGTGGCTTGGAAATGTTTTTCTCAGTTGATAAAGAAATCCTAGGTGAAATCAAAAGCCATGATTTGAAGCCAAATGGTAGTAACATTCTAGTGACAGAAGAAAATAAAGAAGAATATATTAGGTAAGAATAAATGAAAATTTTAAAATAGTCTTATGTCATTTTCTTTCTTCAGTTCTAGCAATACCATCAAACTAGGTAATCAGAAGCACTATTGAAATTCTATCTATGAATAATTGCTGATGTTGGCAACAAGTGGCAATTGTTTGGATTTCATATTTGAAAGAAAACTACCGATAGAAATAATTTTTTAAAATCCACTTTTCAAAAAGGTTACACTTAGTAGAAGCTTTACTTTTTTACCTCCTAGAGATGATTAAATTTATCAGAACATCATGACAAGAAATGTGAACTTCGGGTATTTTACCAGATTACTGCATGCATTTATTATTTGAATTGTGTGGCTTCATAATAATTCTCTGCTGATAATTCTTCCCAGTCATTTGTTTGCTTGTTTTAAACAGAAGAAACTTTTTGGAATCTTTTGTGATGAACCTTAGTTTTTAAAGATACATAGGATTGCTACTAGTTTCATCTGAACTGGCCTTATAGTATAATTAGGTCTTAGCATTCCTATCCAGATTGTTATGAATTATGACAGTACATCTCATTGCATCGGTGAAGGATTATGACTGCAGTACCAGAACGTTTTAAAGCAATAGATTGAGAGGGAAGGAACCTAAAAGAGTTAAAAAAAAAAAAAAAAAAAAAAAAAAAAAAAGAGCTGATTTGTCTCAAAATACCCCTTTCTTGTCTCAAAATATCCTCATTGTGTAGCAGTATATAAGCTCTGCTTTGAGGCTTCAAAAAAAAACAACAACAACACAAAACAATACCATCTCGCATCACAGGTAGAAAATAAATTGAATCATAGAATTTTCCTATTTCTTTTAATATGTTCTGCGAACACTTTTTTGGGGGTGGGGGAAGGAATAAAGCAGTAGAATTTGTTTTTGTCACGTGACTAATCTGAAAGCATTTCACAGAAATGATAATATTTGCAGAAAAAACATAATGGCATTTTGCAGTTTCCCAAAATGCTAATATTGGGGTACAAAATAGGGAGTATCTGCAGAAAACCATTCTCTCCTAATTTCCAGGAACCCAGGGAGATCTCAGATTCCAGCTTAAATCATATTCTTCTGTCTTACTCTGGGTCCTGCTTTAAGTCCCCCCAAAGTTTTCATCTCCTTTAGGTTCCAGTTCTCCTGACAGGTTAGGCTTGAATTCAGCATAATATCTGCTTCTCCCTGGGTTCAGGTTCTTCGGGTCTCCTGCCTGCTTTTCACCCTTTTATTAATGGAGAGTGGAGTTTCTGCCACAGAGCAAAGTTTCATGATTAACAGAAACAAATATGGAAAACTTTCCAAATGGACATAGTCGTTTCTTGGTAAGCTAGCAGTCCTACTTATCTTCACCAGTACAACATAACCTAGTTTTTACCTTTTCATTGATAATGACTGAGATTTCTGGGGAGAATATTAGATGTACACAGTTCTGCATTTTTTTCTTTCTTCAAATACTTAGGGACTGCTGTGCTCCCATTAATATAATCAGTGAATAGATACTGCCTCCTCTTTGAGCCTAAAGCACTTTCCATAGCAGAGTGGTTGGAATTGTAGGGTTTTAATTAAAAAACAAACAAACAACAACAACAAACTGCGCAGTGAAGGTTGCAAATAAAATTATAGAATGCTCTATCCCCAGAACTTTCCAGATGTTACTTTTTTTTTTTTTTTAACATAGCTTACAGTTCATTTCAGTAGGCTAAAAAAGATGTAAACTTGGGTTGGCATAGGCCAGATCAAGTTATCTTTCTGTATCCTATTTTACAGGCTAGTAGCAGAATGGCGACTTTCCCGGGGTGTTGAAGAACAGACACAGGCTTTCTTTGAAGGCTTCAATGAAATTTTGCCACAACAGTATTTGCAGTATTTTGATGCTAAGGAACTGGAGGTAAAGAATTGTTTGGGTATTGCTAGATCTAGTTTTTTACACATAATACCAGAATGTTAGTCATTGTCTAAAGAACAAGGTTCACTAAGGCTGACAGTTCTGTTTTATAGGATGTTTGAAGGAAACTTTATGGAGTAATATTTGGTTAGTGTGTTCTCCTTCACTTTCATCTTTGCAGCTTTCTTACACATTTCTAAAGGCTAAGATTCTGCCTGTAGAATTTTTTTTGACTAAGTGCTTTTGTAATTCTCAAAAATTTGATTTGCCTGTGTATGAAGAATGAGTAACTTAACAGAAATGGTAATAGAACCAGATATGTAATGGATGATAGAGTGCATCAGGCTTTAGATGCTTTGGTCTCTCAAAATTATACCTTATTATAGTTTTTGAAGGAAAACATCCTATTTCTAGTGCAGAATCATATTGTTGGGCAGTGATCAAGTATGTGTTCCTGGTTTGAACATCTAAATGCAAACAGCTATTCCATTTTTCATGAATGTATTGATTTCTATCTTGTGGCCTCTCCAAATGTTCTTTGTGAGCAGTCATTATGTGCTGTGGAAGTTTAAAAATGGTTTAAAATTGAGTATACTGTCATTGCAGATGCTTTTAAGTACAATGGAGTTGATCTCTTTTGCTGTAGATGCAAATGATAGCTTGTAGTTTAATGTTTATTTCCCTTTTTCTCCCCTGAAGGTGCTTCTATGTGGAATGCAAGAAATTGATCTGAATGACTGGCAGAGGCATACTATCTACCGGCATTATACCAGGACCAGCAGACAGATATTATGGTTCTGGCAGGTCCGTAGACTTTTCAGAATAATAAAACACAGCAGAGCACAGCAACAGCTTAGTGAGCAATAGTCAGAATTACTGAACAGATTTGTCGTGTGTAAATATAAATTTACCGCTAATCTACGTATTTGTAACATTTGTGCAATTTGCTAAACTATGGATGATGATGTGAATATATGAATACTAAATAATACATCAATGTTTATTTCAATTATTTTTCAGTTTGTGAAAGAAATAGATAATGAGAAGAGAATGAGACTCCTGCAGTTTGTTACCGGAACATGCAGATTACCAGTGGGAGGATTTGCTGACCTCATGGGTATGCATAATAACACACACAAAGCATTTTTGAAAAGGATCAAGCTACGTGTTTAAGGATGTTCTTTATGAATTTTATATTGAATATATGTTGAATACTGTTTTTTAAGTCCTGAATATACTAGACTATGAGAGAAAAATGTATGGAAGGAAAATTAATATCTATTGTATAATTGATATTGATATGATACATGATCTGGACATGGTCCTGAGCAACCTACTTCTAGGACTACCTGCTTGAGCAGAGGAGTTCGACCAGATGGCTTCCAACCTCATCCATTCTGTGATTCTGATTGTGTCTCTTTCAGCATCACTTCAAATTTATTCATTTCACCAGATGCATGCTTTAATCTGGACAGAGTTGTATAGTGAAAGACAGACGTCTTTTTTCGGTTTAAATAATGGTATCTTGCCTTCGAGTCTTTCATGCTGTGTTGTCATCTGTTACCTACTGATGATGCAAAGGCAGCTAGACCTATGGCAGTTTTATTTCAATTTGTTACAGGGAGCAATGGACCCCAAAAATTTTGTATTGAAAAAGTTGGAAAGGAAAACTGGTTACCTAGAAGTCATACCTGGTAAGTACATAAAACAAAATGCTACTATGGCTCTGTGTCTGCTGATGGCAATCTTATTTTGAGATTTTAGTAAATAGGTAATATACTTAAATGGACTGTATGACCGCAAACACCAAGTTATACCAATAAGCTTTGTTGTTGGATAATAGTTAAGCTTCGGAAAAACAGATTTGTGTCATGGACTAGATTCCATTGTAAATTCCATGGATTTGCACACTACTGAAAACCTAAAGTAGTAAACATTACTTTCTAAAGAAGTTGGGACTAATCTTCTATTATCACCACACTCAATCTTGATAATGAAATAAATAGCCGCATTCAGACTCCCTCTTCCCTAAAGAAAACATAGCTTCTACTCAGTTCCATTAGTGCTTGGTAAAAATATACAAACGTAACATTTCAAATATAAAACTCACTGAGATTTCTTACCAATTACGGTGCATTTCTGGAAAGCTATTACTGTTGAACACAGGTGCTTGTATGTTAACTTTCACTCTAATAAATAGATAAATTTGTGTCAGAAGTCAGCTTAGCACTGGGTATAAATCCAGGTATCCATCTACACAGGAAAGTTAACACGTCCATAATGGATTTTTTGGTGATGTTTAAATTATTTTCAAGTACTTAAGGTTTTTCTTTATTTTCAGTTTCAATCGCTTAGACCTTCCACCCTATAAGAATTATGAGCAGTTGAAGGAAAAGCTGTTGTTTGCAATTGAAGAAACAGAAGGATTTGGGCAGGAATAGCTAAGATTTGCACCTTGAAGAACGTGAACTTGATGTATGTTCTTCACTTCTTCTGCTTGTTGCACACTTCATTGTAAAGTAGACTTGACTTGGATTTATTTAATGATACTAGTGTATAAGTAAATGGGTGTTATCCTGAGGTTTTATCCATGTTAACTCTGGATTTCTGCTGAGCACTTTCAGAGATCAAAAGAGCAATGAGATACAGCTACAAATTAATTACGACCTAAGTAGAAATTTAATACAGCTTTGGGCGCTCATTCATTCCTTAGAATGTGTCCTTAATGACTGACAGATTTTTTTAAAATAGTTTTGTCTTTCCTTTTTAGTAGCATATTTTGCTACTGATGCACTGGGAAGTTCATTGGTAGCTGCAATGCTGCAGCAGCATCGTAACCTCTTTACAGCAATGTTACCAGAGCCAACTCTTAACCATCCTCTGCCTACTGTGAGCAAATTTATTGCTTAAGCTCTTTTTTGTAACTCAAGTGGCTGGACTGTTTTTTTCCCTGCCTGGAGTCTGCTCACATGCCAGTTGGACTCAGACTGCTGTTAAGGGAATTTCAAACTGTGGCACAGATCTGAGGCATAGCTTTGCTTTTTTTTTTTTGTTTGTTTGTTTGTTTGTTCACAATCCTGCTAATTTCAGCAAAATAGTTGCCTGCCCAAAGTTGCTGTAATGTTTTTGTGTGCCCTCAGAAGAATTCTGACTTTTTTCTGTGTAAAACAACTAACTTTTAAAACTGTATTAACACTGTGGTACTTCACTTGTTTTGCAAAAGACAAGACCACCTGGGATTGCACTGATTCCATTTAGATTCCTGTTTGCAGACTAATATTTCTTGTCAAAAGTGTTAATGGACATTATACTCAGTGTTATTCTTACATGTTGCAAGCATTTTTCTCTGAAGACTTCATTGGGTTCTCGGGAAGAGGTACAAAGGAACTGGATTTAAAGAATGATAATACCTATCATTTTTGGTGATGAACTAATGCAATATTGGCTAAGACTAAGAGGACTAGAAAGTTCATATGTGGATTACAGATTTTTGAAAAGTTGGAGCATCAGAAAACAATTCAATTAGAATTGAAGTTTCTGGGGGAGGTTTTTAAGCTAGGTCACCCTAAGATGCTTACATAGCTAGTAGCTTTTGTAGCAAGTTCTTACTGGATTAATAATATATTTTTCTTCCTTTTAGAATCTGTCAATGTTCAATTCTCTTCTGGTTTACAAAAACATTTTACTGCTCCTTTAGACTGAATGCACTTTTTGGGTATGGTTGGCTCTTTCCTTATCTGAAGTGAGGAAAGCAAACTTCAGTGAGACAAGCTGTTAGCCATAGTAAGAAACATGACACTCGAAATACCATGTAGCACAAGTTAAAGCATAACCGTAGCTCAAAGCGTTGGGACAGCAGCTGTTTTTAAGATGCTTCTATATACTGGAGCTGAAACAGGGCAATGGGGAACAGTAAAATTGAACTTCCAGTCTCAGAAAGAGTATTTCTTCCCTGCTGTCCCTTCTGTATAAACTACAAGATGGAAAAAATGATTCAGGCGTAAGAAAACCTAAGATACTACTGACTCAAGATTTTCAGGTCAAAGTGATACAACCTGCTTGGAAAGCAGAATTAGACCTTAGAGTGAATTTTGTTATGCATATTCTAACAAAAGCAACAGAAAAGAGTTTCTGATGGTACAGGAATCACCCACTTTTACGTTTTCACTGATGGAGAGAACTAACCTGGCTCTGTGGTTTTACTAGCAGGAAAATCTGCCAACTTCAAAACATTTGATGGATATTTTACAGCATACAGCTCATAAGGAGAAAAAAGCCTTATAAATATTCTGTTTATGTTAATTCTTACAGTGAAATCTAGTTATCTAACGTATTTACAAGAGAGATTAAATTAAGCAAGATAATACAAGATTAAGCTATGAAAAATAGTTTTTGTTCTGCATAACACTTCATGATTTGTGTAGGAAACCTAGAAATGCTGTTAATGTATAAATATCACCCAAAAGGCTTTCAGCCCTATATTTTTAAAATAAAGAATAGTTATAATTGAAATAGCCTTAGCCCTAGTTCTATAGGGTATGGCTGTTTAATATTTTTATGGTTGAAATGTTTAGTTCAGGAAAAAGGTAAATGCTTGTATATATTTTTGCAGTCCAGGATTCCACTTGCTCCATTTTTCTTTCTTTAATTTAAATGGCATGTTTATATGTCTTTTCTGCTGTATTAGGGAGGGGGGAAAGGGGGCTGGATATCCCAAGCACCAGAAATTATTTTAAAATACTGCAAAGAAAGAATCAGCTGGTGAAAAAAAAAAATATCTGTGAAACATTGGATTTAGCCAAAGTTTAAAGTAAGTCTACTACTGTGTTTAATTGGCAGTATTTCTGAAGCTGGAAGTAGAGACTACTTAGACATTTTTATTTGTAAGCATTGTAAATGCTAACAAGTCTGTTAATTTTTTTTTCACAGCATGTTGTGTAGAAATAAAAAGCTGTTAATATGAACTGCTGGTGCACTTCTCTGTTTTTTATGGGAATTTGGTGGAAACATGTGGATAAGCCCACAGTGTCTGGTATCCCAGATAATGGATGATTATAAATTGGACTTTCAGCAGAGATTAATGAATTTGTCTCTCATTACTCCAACTGCTTGAGCAGCCTGAGCTGCATAAATTCATAGTATATAACAAATGTATATTCATATGCAACTGCCAATTGATCCCAATTATGAAGTATTAAAACAGCTTCCGTTTACAATTTTGCCTTATAATAATGATATGAGAAAGGTAATTAAATGCTGACTGGCTGATCTAAAAATTAACAAAGCCTCATTGTTCTGGGTAGCTCAAGAAATGTTAGTATACTGAAGTACACAGTAGATGTGTCATGTCTTCATCTGACCTAGTATGGAAGATTATTTTTTAATCTGTTTGCTTGTGGTTTTTTTTGTTTTTTTCCGTTTTGTTTTAAATAAATTACTCAAAGTAAAACAAAAAAAAAGCCTAAATTTTTGGTTTGCGCTTCTATTACATGCTGCACTGAATTTGCAATCTCAGCTCATTGTTGTCTTGGCATCTCCAGCCTCCTTTTTTTGTGGTGTCTTTTAATTTTCTCCAAAAATCATTGTTTGTGTATATGTGCTCTAGTGAACTAGTAAATAAACTGGAATCAGCAGCACTGGATTGTAAAATACTGTACTGAAAGTCATTGTTGAAATTTCCTTGCATTGTAATTTCAAATACTCAGGTAACTGTAACAGTATCTCAGTAAGTCAAATACTTTTATAAACTACTTAAAAGAGCTGGTAGTCTTGTTATTCCTTCTGTGTTACGAAGCACCTGTGTGGAAATAAACTTGTCTGTCTGCTCTTGGGGGGCAGGAGTGGGTGTGTAGGCTGGCTTTGTGTGTTCAGAGATCTCTGTCTTCTGCCTGTTTCTCCAGCCTCTCAAGGTTCCTTAGAATGACTGCATAGTCATGTAGTCACCTGGTATATCAGCCCCTTCTCACGGTTTTACATCTGCAGAGCTGCTGAGGGCACACTCTGCCCCATTTCCTGCTCACTGGTGAAGGGATTAAACAGTCCCTCACCGGTATTGCCCTTGGAGCATCCCACTAGTGACTGGCTTCCAGCTGTGCCACTGGTCACAGCACTTCCCAGCCCACCTCCCAACCCTCTCTCTAATTTAGTTGATATTTCATCAGCTTGCACACAAGGCTGTTACATGAGACAGTGCTGAAAGCCTTACTTAAGTAGAGAGAAACAACATTCACTGCTCTTTCCTTCCCCCACCGAGCTGGTCACCTCATTGTTGAAGGCTATCGCATCAGTAAGGAGTGATTTCCTCTTTGCAAATCCACGCTGACTGTTCCCAATCATCACATTTTCCTTAATGTTTTTGGAAATGGCTTCTATGAGGAGGTGTTCCCTGATCTTCCAGGGACTGCAGTGAGACAGGCAAGCCTCTCCTTCCCTGGATCCCTCCTCTTGAAGGCAGAAGTGACAGTTGCATTCTTCCTGTCCTCGGGAGCCCTTCCTGATCACCATGCAGATTATCTGCATGGCAGGTAATGGAGATTTGCCTTGCAGCAACTGGTGCTTTTAGGTACATCCTCTCAGATCCCATGAACTTGTTTATGTCCAATTTGTTCAAATGTTCCTCAACTGATACTCCAACACTGGAGGTAACCTGCCTCGCTGTGTGGTCTTTTCCACTGGGTTTTCACTCTGCCTGTGACTTGTGGAAAACGGACTCCACAATCGGTAAGACTGTAAAGTAGGTATGTTTATTCAGTGCTGGGCAGCACAGGGGGTAGTCCCACCAAAACTGTAGGCACGCGACACGGCAACTTGCCATGGTTGTATGCAGTAAAGAGTTACATGTGCATAAAGTTTCACAATGCACCTATACATATGCCTAACCTGTCCCTGCTTCAGATTAAAATCAGTTCAGTAAGTCATTTCCATAAGCTCCTCCTATCTGCACTTGCGCAGTGTTACCTGGTGGTCATTGGGCGTCGTGGGGATGAAGGTTGGTGACTCTTCCTTGTCACTGCTAGTTGACCAGATTCAGTCACTCCTTGGCTCTTGTCCATCTGCAGGACCAGTTTCTTAAGATAGGCTCACACTCTTATCAAGAGACTAACCTTGGTAAGGGGCCAGGGCTTCTTACTTTAAGTAATTTGCACCATAGTCAGCAAAGACACTAAGTAGTATTCACTAGTTTAAAATTGTCAGTGCTCTATTTGAAGAGCACTCTCACTTGCTTTCCCACATCTTCATACAGCCTTAATAAATAAAACTTTGTTAGCAGCAATATGTCCCTGTTATGTTTTTCTGTGCCTGGTAAATGTTTACAATAGGAAGTGCCATTTTTTGTACAGTAGGGACAGTCTGAAGTTGTTTTCCTTGTGCTCTGGATATGATCGCTTAAAAACATACCAACAAATTGCATCAACCCAAACTTCGGTAGTGCTATGGGGGAGGTTAAGTTAGTACAGCTGTGACGTTATTTTCACTATTTCATGATTTATTTGTTTGTTGATTTTTGGAGTGGAGAAAAGCCACCGTTCAACGTTGCTAGAACCACACAACTTGGTCGTGGCGTTCGGCCACTTCCCAGCTCCGTGACCCTCTGAGGGTCGCTGGCGCTGGCTCCAGGTCGGGGCAGGGGGCAGGGGTCGCGCTGAGGGGCCCTGCGGCGGGAGGAGCTTTACGACGCCTGCCGCCCGGCCTGCTGAAGGGCCGGCCTTCTGCTGCGCCAACCCCCGCCGCGTTTTTGTTTTGTTTTTTTTGCTGTTGGTTTTTCCTCAGAGTGCCGGGGGTGGCGGCGCCTCCCCGAGGCCACTTCCCGGTGGTGCCGTCACCGCCGCACCGGCCTAGGGGGCGCGCACGCGCGTGGCCCGGCCCTGCCGCCGCTGAAGTGCCGCGGATTGGGCGAGCGGGGCGCGCATGCGCGCAAGGCCGTGACTGGCGACGGGGCGGTGGCGGCGGCTCGCGATGGTGGGTGAGGCCGCGGGGGGGGCGCGCTTAGGCCGGGCCGCGGCTGGGGAGCCCGGGGAGCATCCTGGGGCTTCCGCTGGGCCGGGCCGGGCCGGGCCGGCCGGTGGGGCTCGGGGCTCAGGGCCCGGGGCCGTGCGGTCCCGAGGCTGGGGCGGCTGGGGAGGGTGAATCGGCCTGCGTGAAGGCCGCCGGCTTCTTCGGTCTCATGGTCCACAGAACCCGGAGCTTGTTTGTTTTGCTGTAACCGCACAAAAGGCTGCTTCCTGGTGAAACGTGTGGCCAGGTAGCTGACGGTAATAAAACCCCACACCATGCGTGGGAAACTTTTAAAGGAACAAATACTGGCCTCGATGGTAGATAGAAAACTGGCGTGTGCTGTTAAGACGCCTTTGTTAGGTGAGCGTGGGAGTTCAGGCCTCCTGGACAGAGCCGGGGGAATGAAGGCTGCCACTGTACAGACAGCTGAGCGTTTGTATGAGCTGGTTGCTGGCAGGTTTTATTCTCCTTCTTCCCAGTGCATCTCTGCTTTCCCATGTAGTCTCTTGTAGTTTTTCGGTCCTTTATTAAGATGAAGTTTTTGTTTAGTTAACAAGTTCAACAATTATTTTTTTTTTTCTGTGTAGTGCCTCTGTAGCTGTGGTGAGTGGAGCTGGGTGAGCCCCGAGGCTCCTGTGTGTCACCAGGGCTCCCATGTGTTGGGCAGTAAGAGCACTTGGTCAGCATCGAGCTGCTAGAGCAGTTCACCCCTCAGTGAGTTAGGTTATCTGCTGGTTGTTAGAAGAATTTCAACATGGCGTAGTAGGTTTATGTGGCAAGGTTTTGGTAGCAGGGGGCCATAGAGGTGGCTTCTGTGAGAAGGATCTAGAAGCTGTTTGGTAAGGGTCCCACTGCTGACCAGAGCTGAGACAATAAGCGATGTTGTTTTGTGCCTCTGTGAGAGCATATTTAAGACAGGAAAAAAAAACGCTGTGCCACACAGCAGCTGGGAGAATGAGGGGTGAGAAACAGCCTTGCAGGTGCCAAAATCAGGGAAGGAGGAGGGGGAGAGGTGCCAGAGCAGAAGTCCTCTGCTGTGAGGACCATGGTGAAGCAGGATGTCCCCCTGCAGCCCATGGAGTACCACAGTGGAGCAGGGTTCCACGCTGCAGCCCGTGGAGGAGACCACGGTGGAGCAGGTGGACCTGCACCAATAGAGGCTGCGGCCTGTGGAAGATTCCTGCTGGAGTAGATTCTGGGCTGGACCTGTAGCCTGTGGAGAGGAGCCCCCGCAGGAGCAGGTGACCTGGCAGGAGCTGCTGCCCATAGGGGACCCAGGTTGGAGCAGTTTTCTCCTGAGGGATGGACCCCATGGTACGGACCCATATCTGGAGCAGTTCTGGAAGAGCTGCTGCCTGTGGGAAGCCCACGCCGGATCAGTTCAGCAAGGACTGCATCCCATGGGAGGGACCCCACAGCACAGTGGAAGAGAATGACTGAGAAGGAGTGGTGGAGAAGAAGCACTATGGACTGACCATAACCCCCGTTCTTATGCGCTGCTTGGGGTGGTGGTGGGGGGAAGAGGTGGAAGAGGGTGGTTGGGGCGAAAGGTGCTTTTGGTTTCTTTCCTTTGTTTCTCGCTTCTCTAGCTTGCTAGTAATAAGCAATAAATCTTACTATCTCTATGTGCTGAGTCTGTTTTGCCCGTCACGATAATTACTGTGCAATCTCCTTGTCCTTATCTCAACCCTTGAGCCCTTTTCATTGTATTTTCTCCCTGTTCCTCTTTGAGGAGGGGGAGTGAGAGAGCAGGTGCGGTGGAGCTTGGTCGCCTGCCCAAGTAAAACCACCACACGTGGGTACAGTTCTGTCGGGATGCTTGTTTCCATCCAGATAGGCATGTTAAGGCCTGATGAAGTATTTGATTAATTAGGACTTGGAATCCAGCTAAATCAGGAAATTATTTCAAACTGAGCAGTGTGCCACCATATATCGCTCAGCATTTGTGCACATCGTAGTTTTTTTTTCCTCTTTCATTGTCTTCTACGTGGAAACAGTCTGGCATTCAAAAATTACCAAGGGCTTTGTCAAAGTGATTAAACTCAAATGTTTCTTTCAAGTATGTGACAAAAAACCTTTGTGAAGACACATTCCAGTGGTACCACGCTTGTAGCAGGGGGTTATCTTAACTACATATGCTAGTAGACCCTGCAGAAAGGTTGCCAAGAGCTCCGAAGCAGAAGCTGTCTTGTGATTGAATAAGTAGTTGGTTTGACAGAGGGTGAAGGTGGAGAGAGGGTTCCTTGCAGTGCCTAACAAATGTGGCATCTTGGCCAAGTGTCCTGTGTAGATCTCACCTTTACCCTGAGCTTAGATTACCCTTTTCTTCTGATCTGAATTGCTTCTTTCAGGATCTGAAAGATGCTGCATGCCTCTGTTTCCTTTAGTGAGAATCAGATATAACAAATGCCTTTTGAAGGGGATTTACCCAGCTGTGAAATGCTATGGCCGTCAGATCTTAGGGTTGTGCTGGAGAGCCCACAGACAGGTTTGGATTGATGGCTTATAGCAGTGTAAGATGTGCAGAAGGGGCTGAAAGCTCTCCTGAAGTTGATGGTGATTTTTACAGAGAAGGCAGTGGAATTAATGCCTTGCCTTTTTTTTTTTTCTTTTTATTAAGTTGGTTTTCCAAAGTAGTAAATCGGTGATAGCTATACCAGCACGAATCATAATTGCAAATGCATAGCATTGTTCTTTTTCCTTTCACTTTTCTGATTTTCAATTGCTCTTAGCATTCATATAATAAATGCGAAGGTAGTCTTTTACTTAGGATATGTATTTTTGTGGTTTGTTCATACGTTCCATGTGTGTTTTCATACATGGTTTTTGCTTGGCACCTAAACTGTCACAGACTGACTGAGCCGACTTCCAGCTACGAGGTTGAGGAGGGAGAGAAAGATTAGAAGGGAGTTCAAGTTTATATAAACACTATCATAATCACAAATGAGTGAAGACAGATGGAAAGCAACTGATAAGGTCATGCAGAAAAGGTAGTACCAAAGCACACTTTGCTTTATAGAGGGGTGTAGGTAGTGCCTGTTTGAATTATATTTGGGCAGTTTTACTTTCAGACTCGTTATTACAAAGCATTACTTTAAGCCAAACGGAAGCTGTGATCTTTTGATTTGTGCTTTGTTTTTGCAGGCTGAGGTGGAAGAAACACTGAAGCGAATTCAGAGCCAAAAAGGCGTGCAAGGAATCATCGTTGTTAATTCTGAAGGTATTGTGTCAGTCTGCTTCCTGAGGTTTTAACTTAGTCTGAGCATGTAGTTTAAGGACCACTGGTTGTACTACTTGCAGTTAAAGTCTCACCTTTGCACTTTACTGTAGTCAAAGTAGATAGATAATTGGCTACAAGAGAAAATGAATTTCCTTTTCTGGTTTTCTGCAAGCTCACTTTATTATTTCAGGAAATAAATGAAGCTGAAATCACAAAAGCTTGTACATGCCATGCCAGTGTTTGGGACTGGTCTGTCAGAGCCTCACCTTTTTGAGATGCTTTTATGGGTAGCACTGCAAGTTCTCATGACATCTGAAATGTTGCTGCTGTCCATGTCCAGAATGCCTTGGCAGACATGAGGACCACAGCTGCTGTCTCCTGCTGATGGCCTCATGGGACTCATAAGCTAGTTGCCTCTTTTTGGAGCCACTGAAGGGGTCGAATGCAGCAGACTTGTTCAGAGCACTCCAAATACACTGTGGGCAGCCCAGCTTGTTAAAATCATGCGATTACCAATTTAAAATTAATATTTCTTAGAAGTAATCCTTAGAAAAAATGATGAGTAGCAGCTATATGTGAATACACCGAAGATTGGACCGGTGCATACTTAGCCCTTGGTTATACAGTTTGTGTTTCTGCTTGCTGCTTTTTCATGATGGTTAATAATGGTTTGTGCTCTTCAGGCTGAAGTATGCTTACTTGAACATACGCCTGCTGTGGTTTTTCTGCCATGATAGTATTTGGTAGTAGGCTATTGCATCAACCTTTTGATATTTGAGCTGGATTTTTGGCTGGCTTTTTATGAGGAAATGCATCTGATGGGTGGCAGTAGCATAAAGGAGGGAAGGCTCTGGCCAAACAGTGTGCATTGTGTCTGCATTCTTGGCTGGTGCACAGTAGTTGAACCTTGCAGGACTGCATGAGCTGTTACAGTTGTGCCTAAAAGCTTCAGCTTTGTATCTGTGGGATGCAGCTACTCATGTTCTCTAGAATCAATGCCTATCCCAGCCTAGCTTATGTGACTGTAGTTTAGCTGTGATATTCAGGAATCTGTCTGAAAAGATGAGCTGTCCCCCATCAGGAAACAAACTTGAAATGTTGATATTTCCACTCTCCCCCTAAAATACTTGGTTTTGTTTTTATTTATTTCTAATTTTACACCTCAAGTGAATAACTGAAAAAGCAAAAGTAAATCACTGATACAACTAGAGGTAAACAGTACTTTTCATCTGCAGCCGTGGTTACAGAATGTAGCGTCTGCACATCTTATTTCTGTTCACGTTCTTTTAAGCCTTAAAAAGAACACTCCTAATCCCGTTGCCTTGTTACAGCTGTAACACATGCATAGGGTCAATGGCCACAACAATTGGACATGGTGATACCCAAAGGAGAGGTAATTCTGGAGTTTTGTTACTGACCATTGCTGTCCCCATGGTGGCTTCTTGCAGGTATTCCTATAAAAAGTACTATGGACAACTCCACAACGATTCAATATGCAGGCCTAATGCACAGTTTTATCATGAAGGCAAGGAGCACTGTGCGAGACATTGATCCCCAAAATGACCTCACATTCCTGCGGATTCGCTCCAAGAAAAATGAAATTATGGTTGCACCAGGTAAGAGTGAGTGGGGTGAACTCAGGCATCAGAGAATCCAGCAGAATGCTTTTCTTGTGGGATTTGCCATAGTTCGGTGTTGCATGTTTTGTGGTGTAGAGACTGAGCCTGAGAAATGAGTTCTGCATGCTGCTGTTCTTTATAATATATACTCTACTCTATTCCAAAGGGTTTGTTTACTTTCTTCAGTTGAAGACTTTTATCATTGACCCTAAGTTTGCTTTTTAATATTTTAACGTGGGAAATAAGTTTTCATTTCATTTTCATAACAGTAGAAAGGATTAAATAGCGTTTCGGAGCATGCAAAAGAGCTTGGAGCTTCTCATGCTTTGTGTTTTTCAATATGAAACCATGAGAACCAGAAAGGAATATTTTTTTAAATTTGAGAGCAATTTCAGTTCAGCAGTGACTGAGCAATAAAACAAACCAGTCTAATAGATATTCTGATCAAGAATTCTGATTTAGATTTGTTCAGTTGGAAGGTATCTACAAAGATCTTTGAATCCAACTGCCTGACTTCTTCAGGGCTATCCAAAAGCTAAAGCATGTTATCGAGGGCATTATCCAAATGCCTCTTGAACACTGACAGGCACTGGACATCAACAACCTTGCTAGAAAGCCTCTTCCAACCTTTGACCACCCTCACAGTCCAGAATATTTTCCCGATGCCAGGTCGGACCCTCCCCTGGCACAGCTCTGTGCCCTTCCAGCACATCCTGCCGTCGGTCCCCAGGGGGCAGAGATCGGCACCTCCTTGGGAAGCTGCAGAGAGCACCTCTTGGCCTACTTTCTTCCAGACTGGACCACCAAGGTGCACTCAGCCTCTCCTCACAGGACAGGCCTTCCAGCCCTTTTTCCAGCTTTGTTGCCCTCCTCTGGACACTTTTAAGGACCTTAACATCTTCTTCACACTGTGGGACCCAGAACTGCACACAGTATTCCAGGCAAGGCCCCACCAACAGAAAACAGTCAATCACCTCATTTGTCCGGCTGGCTGTGCTGTGTTTAATGCACCCCAAAATGCATTTTTTTCCCCCTTGGCTGCCAGGCCTCCTGCTAAGCTGCTGTCCCCAGCACCCCCAGGCCCCATCCTGCTGAGCTGCTCTCCAGCCATGCATCTCCCAGGCTGTGCCCGTGTCCGGCACTGCTCCGCCCCAGGGGCAGCACCTGGCCTTTCCCTTTGTTGACTGCCCAGTGCTCCCATCTATCCAGATCCCTGTGCAAGGCGTCTGCAGGGAGTCAGCAGCACCTCCCAGTTCAGTGCCATCACCAAACTTGCTGAGAATGTGTCCCACTCCTGCCTGTTTATCACTGATAAAGATGCTGAACAGGCCTAGCCCTAGAAATGAGCCCTGGGGACCACCAGTTACACTGACAGGCTGTTGCTTCCTGGGTCTTCTCTCATGCCCTTGTAGATGTGTGTGACATTGGCTACCTTCCAGTCAGCAGGGATCTCCTCTGGTTCCCACAGCCTTTGGTAAATTGTTGGAAGGGGTCCAGCTATAATGTCGACTAATTCCTTCAGCACTGTGGGGTGAATCCTGTCAAGCCCCATGGACTCGAGTACTGAAATTGTAAGGGACCAGTTGTATCAGCTGGTGAGTCTAAGGTGTATCATTACTATCAAAGACAGAGGCAAAAAAGGCATTAGATGCCTCCACCTTTTCCATCATTCTTATTAGTTTAGGTGATCATCATCATCAAGTATTAGTACAATGTTTTCCTTAGATTCCTCTTGCTGTTGATGTTCTTAAAAAAGCCTATTTTGTTGTCTCACACCATGCTGTCCAGCATCAACTCAGGCAGAGCTTTGGCTTTTCTCCTTTTTCTCCCTGTAGTTTTGAACTGCAGCTTTGTCATCTCACTGTGAAGCCTAACTATGCTACCAGTGGTCATGTATTTTCTTTTTCTGCCCAACTTCCAAGAGGAGTTCCCTGTTCAGCCAAGTCTTCTGCCCCCCTTACTTGACTTGTGACACAATGGGATTGCCTGCTCCTGGGCTTTTAAAAGGTGGTTCTTAAAAAGCGACCAGCTCTCATGGACACCTAACCCCACTGAAGCACATTCCTGGGGAATGTGCTACTAACAGGCGTTACTAACTAGTGCCTGGAGGAACTTCAAGTCTGCTCTCTTAAAGTCCGGGCTGGCAACTCTGCCGACCTTTTACTTCATTACAGCAAAAATTTTGGATTCACCTAATTCATGAACACTATGGCAAAGACAGCCCACATACTGTCACAGTTCCCATAAGGCCTTCCCTGTTGTCCTTTCCCACTTGGCTCACACAGTACTTGGGGCAGGAAGTTATCTTTAACATGCTTTAGGAATGTCCCAGACTTGCTTCTCAGTTTGTATGGGAAGTTGAAGTCTCCCATAAGGACAAGGTCAACTGATCGCAAGATTTCCCCCTATTGCCTATAGGGCTCATCCATGCCTGGATGGACAGTCAGTAGTAGAACCCCCTGATGACATCTGCTTTGCCATTCATCCCCTTAATTCTCAACCAGACGTTCTGTGCCGTGTTATCCCCAGCAGCAAGGGTTGGGTCTCATCCCTGCTGCATATACGGTGCAACACCCCTGCCCTGCCTGTCACTCCCAAACAGCCGAGCACACCCATCCCGGCATGCTGGCTGTGGGACACATCCCGCCACTTTGGCTTAAAAGAGGGAAGGTAACATGGGACAGGTGTACTCCTGAGTCATGGAGTATAGCTGCCTTTTCTTCAGGAGGTGCCCTCAGTATTTAATTAAATTATGAAATCAGTAAATCAGTGCTCTCAGTATTTCATCAAATTATGAAACGGGAAGCAATGAAATGAGTGTGGTTCGTTAATGTGGCAAGAATGCAGCTTTGTTCCTTTCATACTGCATCTGCTCTGTCGTGGGATTGTGCTGATGGGAGGGCAAAGAAGAGGACTGCAGCTCCGTCAGGCTGCTCCGTGGGGAGAAGGCAGCACTTGAGAATGAGAGGCTGTGGGGTTTATGCTGGTGCAGCTTCCAATATGTAGCTTTCCATATGGAAGAAGATCAGAGGAATAACCATTGCTCCAGAACAAATACATCTATAACTGCTTCAGCCTAGCAGTCTGCCTGTGAGATATGGAAAATCATTAGCTTGCAACACCTATTTTAGCTAAATTATTTTATTTGCTAGTTATGGTTATTCCTTAGGCACACGTTAAGTTACCTTCAAATGGCTTGTGAACATGAAGTTTCTGAAGTTGAGACTTCTCCTTTCTAAAAGTTGAAATAAGTGCTCTGACATGTCAAACATGTTCTGCTCATTGACGATAAATGTCAGAACTCAGTAGTTCCAACTGCATATTGGTGGGATATGGAAAAATGCTGAAAGTTACTTTTGCTAAATGCAGGAATGTTTTTCTTTGGCTGTGAACAAATACCAGCAATGAAAGAATATTCTTTTTCTTTTCTGTTCCAGATAAGGACTACTTCCTGATTGTCATCCAGAATCCTACTGAATGATTACACTAACTTGATATGGTTTTTCCCCCCTTTGCCCAACTATTTTTTAATTTAATGGTAAAGAGTAGAACATTAGTGTTAACTTGGCTGTGCCACTTCTGTAATATCTGAAAAAAAAACAAAAGCAAATGTATCTGTTGTTTACAAATAGAAAAAAAGTGGTTTCTTCTGTTATCACAAGTCATTTTGAGAAGGAGTTGGTGAATTAGGATCAGGTGACTTAAACAGTAAAAAATGCAACAGATTCTTTTGAATAGTTAAGAAGATAATATAAAAAAATCTAATAAGGTTCTAAAAATTATTCTTTGTACATTTCCATGTTCCTGTTACAACTATTTGAGTTAAACTTTTACACTTATTACTTTTGAATTACTGTAAATATGAAACCTGCCTATCCTCTTGTTCTCTCTGTTGGTTTTGCAAGTTACTTTGGAAAAGTAACTGGTCGTATTAAATTAAAAAGTGTCATCAGTGATTGTTTTTGTCTTGTTTCCCTTTTCTTGTAAGGATTGTAATTGTCGTGATTGACTGAGATTTTTCTTCAAGAAGTAGAACTTTCATAGGACTATTTTTACCAATCTGTTGCTTTCTCTGAGTGATTTATTTTAAGTCCATGTGCTATGTATTTATAATTGCCTCATATGTTGGAGCATTTTCCTGTCAATTCCTTTTTTGTCTCAGAACAGAGATGTGCGGTGACTGAGTGAGGCCATTAATGCTGCCTGTGGGTGCTCTTGGGTTATCACATTTCAGTAGCTGATTCAATCTGATATCTCGCTTTGGTATTTTTTTTTGTTAATGGCTGTTAAAAACAAAAATGCTCATCTGGTTCCTCCAAAATAATAAAGGGGTTATTTTTCGTAGCCTTGAAAAAGTTTTGAATTTGCATGCAGAGCTCAAGGATTTGTGCAAAACGTGTACATTGAAGATGTATGCCACGTGTGACAGACACAACTCTGCCTTGTACTGAAATTGTCTTAACGATGTGCAGAACATCATAGCCCAGATTAAAAAATCATGCATATTGCATTGTGCTGCTTTTTTTTTTTTTTCCCTGTGTCCCCGAGTAGCTCAATACTGGGAACTGCTTCAGCAGGGAGCAGTGCCCAGGCAGCCCCCTCATTCCCAAGGCTCCTTCGTCCCATGGGAGCAGGAGGGGCTTTCTGCTCTTCTGCCTGCTTGGGCAGCAGCCTCCTCGCACACATGGCCGCAACTAGAAGTGATGAGATGGGAGGTTTTATCAGCATGAAAAGTAATTTCCCCTAAGGTGCACCTGAGCAAAGAGGGACAGCCTACGTGTGTGAAACATGCTGTATAATTACGGAGAAAACCTAAACTGAGTAACTGCAGTTTTATTAGGGAATGCTGTTTCTTGTGCTGGTGAGGGATCACTCCTGATTGATGTATCTGTATTAGCAAAAGTGTGTATCCTGGGTTTACCCCTGCATTCTGAAAATTGTGAGCAGTACTTGGGAATGTGTGATAACTGTCCAATTCTACACAAAGAAACAAACTTGGAATTTATGGCTGATCTCAGCAGATTGGGGAATATTCCAGGTGATTGGTTGCGGTGTGATTTTGGAGACTAGTAAAAATGTTGGTGTTGACCTGTATGTTTTTCTGGATTTCAGAGCACAAAGTATGGTGTGTGTATGTGGTGACTCAAACAGCTAAGGTAACCTGAGTGTTCTGCATTTTTCAGTGTGTTTTCAGACTTGGCCATTAATTTTAAACTGCTCCTATTTTTTTTTCAGTTAATGTTTATGACCATGATGTCTAGAAATGCTTTTTGGAAGAGAACCACATTTTTAACTTCTAATTATGTAAAGTGGTCAGTCTTGCAGCACCCAGTTGTGGGCACTTGTCAGTATTTTGGGCATCTCAGCTGTCATCATGATGATTCAGTGTCGACTGTTGCACTCTGTTTATGAACCATTTCTCCCATCAGCAGATGTCTGACCACACTAAATTGGTGTAGACCTGCAATCGCATTTTATGCCAAGAAGTGACTAATGTAAATGACTATCTCCTAGTCTTAGAAATCTGACAAATAACTCACATAGCACATATTTACTGGCACTTCTATTACTGAATCATGGTTTGAGCCATATCATCTAATCAGTGAATAGAGTCTGAAATCACACTCTGTATTTGGAGTAGTTCCTGATATACAACAGCTTGTTTAAAGCATGTTATCTGCTATGATTTAATTGAATGTTGTCTCTCAAAAAAATGATCTCCAGCAAGCTGAAACCTTTGGATAATAATTGAATAGTGAAGCAGTGCAGAATAAAAATGTGGCTTCGGTTGTCTCCTTTATCTTCTGTTGATCATAGCCAGATAAATGTTTCCCTGGAGGTAGTGACCTGCTGATGTGCTTTGACTTCCCCTAGCAGGTGGCAATGTTGCTCTTTTCAAAATGGGAGAATTTCTGCAGTGTCCTGCATTCTTTTGGACATTTCCTTAAGGGTAGCTATCCTCCTAATGGTTCCATATCACATCTGAGTTAAGGATAGAGTGTTGAGTTTTTGTCCTTCCCCTCCCCCCTTTTAACAATCTGTAATAAATAACCTTATTACAAAACAAAGATGCACACTTTCTGCATTGCATTGAGATCATAAACTTCTAGTGAAATCACAGAGTTCCTGCCATATGCTGATTTTTTTTCCTCTCCAAGGACTGGTAGCAATCTGACTAAAATATACTCAGGGACTTGAGTAAAAGGGTCTTGAAGCTTGTTTTGGACTCTCTGGAGGTGTGTCATATCCAACTGGTGAGAGCAGGGCCTTGCTAATGCTGTGCTTGTGCCACCTGTCATTACAAGTTCATTCATTTTATTTCATTATTTTAAAGGAAAGGTTGTGGATCAAGTTGAAGAGTAACTACCCCCATTTAGGTAGTCATTACGGAGAAAAAGTGTCTTACTTGGATCAGGAACATCAAAGACAAAACGGTCTGGCTGGAAGCAGTTCCTCTACAAGCAAATTAGAGGTGGACTTCGCTTTTCCTAAGTTACCTTAATGAGATCAAAGAAGGAGATTGGGTGACATTTTGCTTGTCCTGTGTTTGCTGAGTTTGGGCCTAGTCATTCATATGGTAAAAGTACTGACAAGAGCAAATTGAGGACAAACAGAGGGATAAGCTGTTCTAGTCTTTTTTTCCTAGCCAGAAGTGGTGATTCAGAGGAGGGCTTGAATAACTTTTGTGCTCTGTGCTTTTGAGCTGCTTTGTGTTAATGGTTGGAGACTGGCCTAGTTTGCTGTCTTTGAGAAGTGAATTTTCATGGGTCCCTATCTGAAGGCAGAGGAAGCACCTGCTGTGAAGACAGAAGAAGAAAAAAAATAAAACTGATGCATTAACAAGTCAATGAAAAGTTTGGGAAGCTTGAGGTATGGCTCTGGGCTGTGAGCAGCAGCACTTACTGCCTCCATTCCTCTACTAGAGCCTCAACATTTTAGGACCACAAAAGCTAGACTTGCAGAAATTTATCTTCTGTGGATCTTCAGACAAGTTGTGTGCAAGATTTTTCAGGAAAGCTGAGGCTGGAGGGAATAAAAACCCTCCTTCAACCATGTCCCACTTATGTAAGTACAATAACATGCTGAGAAGCTCCAGAGCTTCCGTGCATGTGTCTTCTCCCATTCAAGGTGTATAAATAATGTTTTGTGGAATTATGGCCCTAGTCCTGTAAGCTGGTCTGCATGGATAAAATCAGAGATCGAATCGCTAAAATAGAAAGTGTTCCTTGTGCCTTCAAAAAGGGGTTAGCACTTTATAACAACAGTAATAAATCCTTCACCTGAGCGTGCAGTCTGTAAAGTTAATCAGCTTGCCCTAAGTCAACATCACTACTTCTGCTTATATATTTTCTGGTTAGACTTGGGTGTATTTTGGAAATGAACGTCTTTGCCTGTGTCTTTCTTACAGCGGTGAACTGAAGACTTTACATTTGTTCATCAATACCAATTTTGTGTGAGCAGGAAGTACCCATTGCTTTAGCCCTGAAAATAATTTGTTTCCTTTGTCGGGTAAACCCTACAAGGAGAAAGTACTTTGTTAGGTTTTAGTTTAATATTTTTTGTGTAAATAGGTGACAGTGATCAGCATTAAAAATAAAATTTAAAAATAAAAAACATGCTTCTGTGTCCTTCTTATAACTGATGGTGTCTCTCCTTCACCGTTCTGTGCCTGCCCTGTGAGCAGCGCACAGCTTGCGTCGCAGCGCGCGTTGAGGAGGCCGGCGCAGCGCCGTTCCCCCGCGGCGCACTGCCGCCCCGCTCGCTGCCGGCGTTGATTTGCTCGCGGCAGCTCCGCGCGGAGGCTGCGGTGGCTGCAGCCGCCCCGCGCCCTGCAGCCGCCCCGCGCCCTGCAGCCGCCCCGCGCCCTGCAGCCGCCCCGCGCCCTGCAGCCGCCCCGCGCCCTGCAGCCGCCCCGCGCCCTGCAGCCGCCCCGCGCCCTGCAGCCGCCCCGCGCCCTGCAGCCGCCCCGCGCCCTGCAGCCGCCCCGCGCCCTGCAGCCGCCCCGCGCCCTGCAGCCGCCCCGCGCCCTGCAGCCGCCCCGCGCCCTGCAGCCGCCCCGCGCCCTGCAGCCGCCCCGCCCTCCGGTAGCAGAGGCCCCGCCCCTCAGGCGTGCCGCGGTGACGTCACCGCCCCGCTCCGCCGCAGCGCCCGCCGCACGGAGCCGCCGCCGGCAGCCGCGCTCCGGCCCAGCCCCGCCATGCCCTCGGACCGGCCCTTCAAGCAGCGCCGCGCCTTCGGTGAGCCCCGCCCGGGCCCTGAGCCGTGGGGACGGCTCCGCGGGGGGCGGCCGGGCGGCGCCTGGCCGCGGTGCCCGGTCACGCGTGGTGGGAGCGGGGCAGGGGTTGGGGCTGAGCTCGGGGGACCCACGGCCACCGGGCCTCCCGGCTGGCCCCGGGGGGCGAGCAGGGCGGGGAGGGCCTGGCCTGGGGCTCGGGGACGAAGGGAAGGGAAGGGAAGGGAAGGGAAGGGAAGGGAAGGGAAGGGAAGGGAAGGGAAGGGAGACCTGCGCCGCACCGTGCCCCGCAGCCCCCCGGGGAGCTGCTTTTCGCCCCGGCCGCCCGGCGCGGGGGCGGCTCCCCGGAGCTCTGAGCCCTGCGGGTTCCTCCCTCACCTCCCGGGCGCGGCGTTGTGCAGGGGCAGGCGGCGCCTGCCGTGGAAGGCGCCGGGCCTGGTTGCCGAACCGATGGTGAAACCGGGTGGAACGCCAGCTGCTGCTTCTCCTGACCTCTGCCAGCTGACGCTGGGGAACAGGCGTGTTTCTGGCGGTCACGTCCCGAGCAGGGAGGGATCATCTGGGCGTTACTGCCAGGTGATGCCCAAACGAGGGCTACTGGTGCCAAACAGGAACTTGGGTGTCAGGTGCTGGTTAGGGCATGTTTCCTACACGAGGCTTTAAAACCGGAGCTTTTTCCTCCCAAAGTGCTGAGCCAGCCACTCACTGCTTTTCTCTTGCAAACTGTAACTATTTGGCAACTTATTGTCACAACCCTTCCAGCCTTGAGCAGTTACCCAGCCTCCTCAGGCTGCAGCGACCCATCCAAGTAAACATGCACTAACAAAAATCAGGTCTGCTGCCTAGGGGATGCTTGCTTTGCTCACTGCTGTCTTATACTCTATTCTCCTAAGCTCTTTGTTAAAAGCAATAAAGTCCTAAATCAAACCCTTATTAAGTACCTATTGCCAAACTGGTGAGAATCAGCTTATCACAGTCAGGAGGAGTCTGGCTTGTGCCTTTCCACATTGCTCAGACTTCACGCAAACCTGAAGGAAAACAAAATCCAAGTCTCAGAGCAGTTAAAAGAAAGCAGGATTAAAATAGCCTGACAGGGAAAGAGGGGGATGAGGGAGTTTGGTGCTGGTAACTGCCTGTGCTGCCTGTTTCTGTGTATTTTCCTCTGCCCTTTTGCTCCCTCAGCTGACTGTTTTGCAGAGCTTGGCCAGGAGGAGGGGAAGGAGGAGGAGGCCTGGCAGCCCACGCAGTTGCTTTGGGTCAGGGCTGGAATTGCTCGGTTGGAGAAAGTAAATACAGCTTGTTTTCATCGTCAAATCATTACACAACAGGAGCAGGAAGTGATTGTTTACAATGCAGTTGGAGAGGGCTGATGGAAAATATTTCCAGGGACACTGTACCCTCAGAATGGCTTAATCTTTAAGGCTTCAAAACTTTAGAGAACTGGAACAGTTCCAAAAAAACAGAAAATGGAGAGTCAGGAATATGGTTGTTTACAAAAGCTGCCCAGGCTCTGGCTTGCTTGCTTTCACAGCAAGTGGCTTGCTTAGGTCTTGGACTGCCACTTCTTAGTGAGGATCCTGCTTTTCTCCGTGCCCATTTTCCCCTTGTAGTTTTGATAGCGAGATTTATTTTTCCATTGAGTTTCTTCTGTTTGTTCATCTGCTTTATCTTGTGTCTATTCTGAATAAATTATCCGGATTCCTGCCCATTGTGGTTGAGGACTTGAAAAAGGAACTGTATGAGAAACACCAAAGGTTGGAGATGAGGCATGCTGAGGGCACAGAGTCTGGCTTTCCCTGTGATCCAAAGTACAGTGAGAGAGTGAGGTGCCTTGAGCTTCTTCAGCCCTTGGCATATCTGCAGCAGGGAATCTTTGGTCTAGATGCATGGGGGTAAAATCTGGTGATGACCCTCAGCTCCCCCACGCTAATCCTTTCTGGGGATGCTGAGGCTGCCGTGTTCTGCTTAGTCAGGCCCATTGCAGGAGTCCAAAACAGTTTCCAGAACAAAGCTGTGGTCTGTGGCAAAGGAACAGGGTGTGTCCTGGCTGCAGCTGCACGTGCACTGCCCGATGACACCATCACACATCCTGTGAGGAGCATGAGTCCTCCAGCGGGTTAGGTGGCAATGATGCCTCCCACTGCTCTCAGAGGGATTGTTTTGCAGTGTCAGTCCTGCTGTTGAGAGACTGCCAGCAAGCTTCAGGCTTTGTTTTCGCTGCGGTGTGTAACTGGTGTGAGTATGGACATGAACCTTCCACCTCACCAGCCGGTCAGCCGAGCTCAGGTCTCGTAGTGAGCCAGCCTTGTGCCCTGGTGTCCTGCTGAAATTGAGGCACTTTGTGAGGAGACATGTACGTGTGTGTCCTGGAGCCCCTGGCTGGGTGACAGACTGAGGTTTGACCTCAGCCTCTACACACTGAATATTCCCATTCTGGATTCAGTTCCCTGGGAGACTTGCCTTCAGGTCTGAGAATGCACATCTCTTTACAGAAAAGGCAGCAATAGGTGAGAGCAGCATGTAGAACTGAATTCCCTCTCCTCTTGGCTCCAGGGAAAAATAAAGCATTGCCTTCTCCGGGGACTTGCCTAGTATAAGCTGGCCAAGCTTGTATCAGTTGAAAGACCACCAGTGGACAAACTGTCTCTGCCATGTGCCATCCTGTGCTTGTCATACCTGTTTTGCGTAATGGTCACTTGGAAAACATCCTGGTCTTGTTCTGAGGTTGATTGCAGGGTCAGCTTGTCCTCACGCGCTGTGCTTTGAGCGCTCACGCTCTTGCAGCTGTGCTTTAACAGACGGGGCTCCTTGAAGTGAGGTTTGCTGTTTCACCTTGATGCCTGGTGGCATCTACCTGCTTGTATTAATCGCTGAGGATGTTCTGTGACGTGATTTGATGTGGGGTTGATTAACAGCATTGACAAAAATATTTGTACAAGAGGAGTTATGTTGAAAACAAATGCCAGTGAGATGTACAGACTGCAAATATTTATTTTAAATAGTGTGTGTATATATATATATATATATATATATATATATATATATATATATATATATATATATATATATATATACAATGAAAGCTCCCAACTGGCAGATGGGAATAATAAGGCCTGTGTGTCTCTCGGTCCTTACTTGATACTTTTTTCACTACAAAAAATGAAGATAACCCCTCCAACCAGAAGGGCAGAGGTTCCAATGAGTCCTGGACTGGTGAATTCACCTCTGCCACTGCTGAGCTGTGGCCACAGCCTGGTCATTGCCCTTGGCCTCACCCTGCCTTCTGCTGCCAGTCGTGGGGGGACCGCTGCCACCAGAGCCCTGCAGGAGGTCTCCCAGGACATCACCCTGCTTGTGCCACCACCTGTGGCCGACCACTGTGTGTACACACCACTAACTGGTTGGGCCCTGCAAATCTCTGCGTGTTCAAGCATGCTTGTGTGCAAACAGCAATGACCCAACCTCTGTACATGTGCAGATGTGTTCTGCCTTGTGGTTGTCAGGAGCGCCAGTCCTTTGAGCAACTTGAAGCATCCTGAGTGGTTCTGAGAAATGTGAGTACATTCCTGCTATCCTGGAGGCTCGGGAGTGCGGAGAACAAACAAAAGGCAGAGGGAAGCCCTTGCAGAGGACAGACTTCTGGCTGTTCATAAGAAAGGAACTTGTTCTTTTTCCAGGGTTAGTGAAACTGTGACTAAACATTGAGCAAAAAAAGACGGTTCTTTATCTGGAGCTCTGATGTAAACACAGTGTGTACAATCCAGACATGGCACAGAAGGTATGACTTGTTTGTCCCCCATGCTCAGGGGAGGAGCTTTCAACATCTGCTTTCTCCTTCTCTGTTTCTTGTCCTTTTTACACGGTCCCTGTCCTTGGAAGCAGAGCTATTGGCTCCTCAGTGCCATTTTGTAGCAATGGTGCACTAAAGCTGGTTGAGAAACAACAGCCATTACTTGGTTAACTTCATCTGAGGGGAAGAGAAAACATCTGGTCTGATGTAACAAGACAGTGATTTCTTCTCCTGACTGAGTACATTACATCCATCCTCTCTGTGGCATCCAGGCTAATGCTTCCAGCTGCCCTTGGGCTGTAAGTGAAGAGGGGAGGTCGAGGATCCAAACCCCTGCAGTGCCGTTCAGTGTAGCAGGGCCCCTTCTCTTGGCCTGCATGCAGCTTCTCAAGGGTGGGCTCAACAAGGAAGTACAGGAGCATCTTCCACTGGTCCCCTGTGCCAGGTCCGCTGCAAAGCTGTCTGTGTGTGTGGAGCAGAGCTGTATCTTCCTCATAACGCCCCCCGTCACGTCACAATGATGTGACTCCAGACTTCTCCATCTCTCTTCATTTCGCTGTGTGTGCTGGAGCATACAGCGCCTGCACTGCTGCGTTGGGGATGTCCCTGGGCAGGTGCAGAGAGGAGAAGCCCTGAATTGCCCCATCTGAACGATGGAGGCCTGGTGTTCCCCTTGTGTGTTCCATGGCAGGGGGACACAGAGCTGTGTGACCAGGAATCAAGTCTCTTGGCGTGAGTTTAGACTTAGCAGCAGCTGCTGCATGGCTCTGCTTGGCGACGAGCTGAGCCCTTACCACAGATGTGACAGACACAAAATCCTCCCTGGAGGTAGGCTCGAAATCGTGCTCACATTGTGAAACCACTAAGAAAATGGAGCGTGATTCCTGTTTAATCTATTTGTAAGCTCTACCTCTGCTACCTTTCTGTGACAGCAGACCATAACCCTCTACCTGTACCACGTCGCAGAGATGCACTTTGTGTTGGACAGCAAGTTCAAAACAGTGGGTTTTGTCCTGAGTCCTCCCACCCATCCAGAGGCCCCCAGCTTTGCAGACAAAAGAAGAAGTCTAGGAACAGTGATCACAATCTTTGCCAAGTTGCAGTAATGCTGCTGTCCCATGTGGCTTGGGACAATGGCCCTTTCTCAGCAGCAAGGACTGCCTTCCTGGGGCAGGGCTGGCCTCACCAGCTTCATCCTCCTGTCCTGGATGTGGGAGTCTCCTCTTGCACCTCCTGCAGTGCCACGGGCCTGAGACTGAGCTTTCCAGCACCAGACAGGGACAGGCGGGTTAGCTGTGGTGTGAGCAGATAAACAGGGATGTATTTCCTGGTAGACAGAGGTGTCAGGCCTTAGGGCAGCATGTTACATAAATATTTATTGACATTCATCTGGAATGACCTGCATAACTTGCCCATGTCTTTGGCAGGTGCCAGCTCATCCCAGATGCATCCTTATTTCAGACTATCCAATTCCTCCTTCCTTGCAGAAGATCTCTTGGCGGGAGGACCATGCTCCAGCAACATTCTGCCATGGGACTGAGCACAGCAGCTTCTTGGGGAAACGTGTTGGTTTTCTGCAGCTGCTTTGGATGTGAGGCAGACTCAGCCTCATGCTGGCTGGCAGAGCACCTAGCAGGTGGCAGAGACAGCTCCAGGGCTTCCTGAGTGCTCTTGCTCAGCTTGGGTGCTGTTGACCTTGCAGCATGTTGATAGCATGTGCAGGTGGTGTTTTCGAATGCAAGTTGCAGCATTGCTGTTGGTCACAGGCAGTAGAGCTGGTCACTGAGTCCATCTGCTGCCCCAGGGCAGTACCAGTGCCTGACCAGCATTTGTCTGCTGTCCCCTGAAAAATGCTTCCCCTTGTGCAACTGCTGTTGGAGAATTTGCCGTGTTTGCCTTATGTTCCACCATCTGTATCTTTTGTCCAGTTAAGCTCTTGTGCACCCAGGGCTGTCCTTTCATCCTGTGTCTGCATGGTGTTCAGCACAGCCAAGCCCTGTGTCCCATAGCCAGAGTTCCTGGGCGCTTCTGACAAACAGGTTCATGCTCTGAAAGTTGTAAAATTTTTCACTGTTGTCCTTAACTGGCATAATGATATCATCCTATATTGCCATGGGAGATATTGTATGTCCACATTTTTGGGAGAACAGCTCGGGAAGGACCTCAGTCAAGAAAACAGCAGAGATTCCTGTGCTTGGGACAATTTGCAAGCTTTGCTGTTCGTGCTTAACCGCTGAAACAGCAGTTGGAGGAGAGAGAGGCAATTTTCTTGGCATATGCACTGCTACAAAAATACTCCCGTCTTTCAATAGGCCCTAGCAGTGAAGTGGTTTTTTTTTTTTGTTTTTTTTCAGGAACAGCCAATAAAAAAACATGGTTTTTATCTTACTGCCATTTTGAGCTTTTGCATCCTGGCAGTAGAAGCCTGGCTCCCCTCGTGGCTGATGAATGGTGCCCACACCTGGGAGCAGAGGCAGTGCTTCTCCCTCTGGTGTGTGTTTGCAGTTTATTCACCTTTGCTCAGCCCTTTTGAAATAATGGCCTTATTTCCATTGTCGTCATCCCCCCCAGCTGGAGTCCCTGAGCTGCCAAAGTGCAGGGAGGTGTTTGGCTTGTCCTTGTGGTGGGGAGAGACCAGAGGAAAAATGAGTGTATGGGCTGGGTCCCGTAAACAGCTCTCGTTCACCGATCAGCCAAGACTTGACTGTAGCCAGGTGCTGCAGCAACGGGGAAAGTCTTAACCTCAACTAGCACAACTATAATTCAGGAGAAGAACAAGGCTTGTAAGATCGGATCTGCAGCATGTGAAGCATGACTGCAGACACTGCTGGCAGAAGGGGAGGGAAGCTGCCTTCTGGCAGTGCCCTGCATGGCCTGGGGCTGGGCTGTCCCCTATCAACTGTGATATCAACGGCCACTGCACGCTCCTGATCCCTGTTCCATCCCTTCTTACTGTTTTCTCTTTATTCCTGTGATTTACTTAATTAGACCACATGTGAGCTAAATTAAAGATAGTAGTATATAGCTATTCTTTGCTGCAGGGTGTTGAGGATGCTTTCTTGAGGCAGAGGATTCACATCCACCTCTGTTGTGCACATAGAAATGACCCTGTTGTGCAGGGCTTGGTGCTGGATGGCTTCTCCCGATTCCCAGCCCTGCTTGGGCAGGAGATAGTCATGGAAGTAATTGGTGCACTAAGACTAAGAGGGGACTGCATGTGCTCCTTAGGGGATCTTTGCATGTCCTGGAGACTTCTGCCTGCATCTTCAGGCACCTGGACAGCTTAGGTCAGGTTGCCGTGAACTGCTTTCCTGAAGGTAGACTCTGAAATGGACAGCCCTTGGAGCCAAAGCAGCAGCACATTCTGCCGTTGCATTGTGATAATGCCAAGCTGCTGAGTCCCACAGGGTCCTATGGGATGAGAGAGGCTGAAAAAGCTCCAACCCCTGTGAGCAGAAGGACCAGATTCTGGGTGTGTGGCAGGTCTCAGAGGGTGTGAATAGGCAGCTGTTGCTCTGACTAGTGAGAACTTCAGAGCTGATGGCTCATGCCCTGAATTCCTGCTGGCTTTGAGGAGGCTCATCCACATGGCAACATCTCTATAGAGATGGCAGAGAGATGCAGGACAGCGTGGATACTGAAGCTGGAAAAATACAAAGCACTCTGCAGGTTATGTTAGTCCCCAGCAGATCTGAGTCAACAGCAGTCAGGTTGTCTAAGTATGTGTGCCAATATGCTGTCTGCTCCTGCTTTGGGCTTGTAGGCTTTGGGATGTGCTGTGGAGGGCATCGAGCAGTAGGAGCAGGGCTCTGCAGGGAGGCAGGCATATGCTGCAGGCTGGCTGCTCCTTCTTGGTGCCCTACACTCCCAATGGGTTGCCATCGTACCAGCATCACCTGTGCTGATTTCTGTGTAACTCCTCAGTGACTGAGACCTTGGGAAAGTTGGCTCCTTCATGGGATAACTCTGTATGCCCCAGATCATTGGATAGGGTGAAATGGAAGCATGAAGAAACACATATCCAGTCATGAGAGCCGAAACAAGTATGCTCAAATTTTTCATTCAGTCCAAATAATCTTGCTGTCTTGCTAGCCCATGAAGCCCTATAGAAGGAAGGTCTGGCTGTTCCTAGTAGAGGGATGTTTTCCTCTCAGGGGAGGCAAAAATAATGCTCAAAACTTCTGTGATATGGTGATTTTGTAGCCTTGTTGCCTCTAAAGAGTTCCAGGCTGTTCCCAAAGTAGTATCTGCAAGCAACAAGGTTTTATTGAGTAGTTAGAGGAGAAATGCTCAAAACTTATGGGTAGAAAATACATGTACAATACAGTCACCTGCACTTGCCCTTACCTCAGGTAAGAGGCACTTGGAGGCAGGTCAGGAGGCACTTGGGCTGCCTGAGGCAGGCAGCCAGGCTTGGGGCAGGTGCTGTGGGCGGCAGGGTAATCTAGGACAGGTCCTATGATATCAAGATCTTCTACGAGATGTCTGCATGTCTGGGCAGCCTGTAGTTATCGGCCATAACCCATGGCTCACACACTGTTATCCATGACACTGATTCCCCAGTGCACTTCAGACAAAGTCTCTGCAGGCTGCGCGGTGCCTCCCAGGTCTGCAGTGTCCCAGGAGGAGGCCGAGGGCCGCCGTGTCCCTGTGCAGGACACACAGCCTGCTGGCACCCTGCTCGGCTTCCCCACCCTCCAGTTTTGAATTGGGGCAGAAAGCAGAGATTCCTCTGGCAGATCAGCGTGGGGGGGGGGAATTGAAATTCTCCTGTCAGCTCAAAAAGCATGCACACTTTCATGTGCTGCCTGCTGTATGTATCAGTGAGTGTGAACTCTGGAGGAAGATGTGTTAGAATGTCTGGGAGTAACTGCAGGAAAAAACCCAACAGCGTATGGGTCCTTCTCCTTGCTTAACTTTGTTCCCCTGTTTCCACTGCAGGTCTAGAAATACTATCTCTCAGGCCAAGAGTGGTTTTAGCTGCAGATCTGTGATGGTGAAGGAGTCCTAGTTGACAAGGTGTATCTCTTTAGGACTGAGGCACTCTGCCAAGTAGTGCTTGCAAGTACACAGCAGGCAGAAGAAAATGGCTAAAACCTAGTCCCAGATGGAGAATCATCTGGGGAAGCAGCCAGGAGACATGAGGAGCCTGAGCTTCCAGAGCTCAGACCCTAAAGCTGCTGCTGCTACCTGGCACTGATGGTTACGAACTCTGCTCACATGGATTTAGGAATGCAGATTTATAATCCTTACAGTCTTATTTCAGTCACTTTGTTTCCACATGTTTTGGCCAGTTTTACCAGGCAGGGTGGCACTTCCCATCTTTGGGGGGCGATTTGGGTGGTGAGAAGCCATAAGGGTCTGCTCACTGAAGCTGAGATTGTGCTGACAATCTCACTGCTGCAAGATATGAAGCAGTGGCCCAGAGAACAGAATTTGTATTACTTTTGCCATATCCCTCCTGTCAGTTTGTAGCTTGTAGGTTGGCTGCTTCGTTTTGACTTGAATTATCACAGCCAGATGTTCCTAACTTCCTTGTTTTACTTTTTTCCTTCCAGTGGATCGTTGTAAAGAAGTACAGCAGATCCGAGAGCAGCATCCAAACAAAATCCCAGTAAGTGCTGATTCTTGCTCTTCTCGTAATTAACTGTTAAAGTAACTTCACTTGTGTTGCTGGGGCTTCCTATGCATTGGAATAAGCAAAAGGGTTTGAGCCTGCAGCTCTATGAGATTGGGAGAAGATGGCCCAGATGGAGAGGGCTCACGTCACATCCTTCCTGCTGGCAGGACTCGCAGCAAGCTGTGTTGCAGCTGCTGCCCTCTTCCTGCATCTCTGGTTTCTACTCTAGGCCTTTGGGTGAGTCCCCTTTTGCTTTTACAGAGGGCCTGGAGGATTTGCAGCGTTTGTGGCTTGACTTTGTGCCCAGGGAAAGACAAATCTCTCCATGAGAGTGCTTCCTGAGGGGGTGAGGAAGGGGTGCAGGTGTGGGGGACTGCATGGGAAGAGCACTGTTGGTGTGTTTGTCTCTGCCCAATAGAGACAGAGGAGTAGATAACCTGAACTCTACCTGAAGGAAGGAGTTTTCTGTTTGTGTTTGAAGGAAAATCACATTGTAGAATGATGCCTGTCTGTGCTTAAGATTTTCTAACACATCTCATAAGGAGATAGGCAGGAGCTGGGGGCTGTCCTGTGTTTTCCTATCCACCTTATGCCAGGGGCTAGCTTTCTGTCTCCGCATTTCCTGAAGCTGGCTACATTTCCATGGCAAGAAATGCTGACTGCAGGAACACACAGCTCCTACTGAGGAGGCTGTGGGTGTGTGTCAAGGGGTGCTGCTTCCACTTAGTTCTGCTGGGAAGGAACCTCCAGCTGAGGCTGGCAGGCAGCTGTGGGGTAACTCCGCCTCAGCTTCATGCCTCCTTGCTGGGAGCTCTAGCTAGAGCCTGCAGCAGATGCTTTAGAAACCCATCCTCTGCCCCATTAGAGGATGGGCTGAGCTTATGCCTGCCCATTGCCCTCACCAGCTATTGGCTCCAGCACTCTCCTTCTGGAGCCCATTGAAGTTGGGCCTTTGAAGAGCAGCTGCAAGCTTCAAACCAGCTTTTTTGAGTTGAAGGGTCTAAAATCAAAGAGGAACAATCCTGTTCAACCCAGCTTGCACTGGGGGTAGCAACAGGAGCAAGCCCAGAGCACTTTAATTCTCAGCTAAATGAGATCTGGTGACTCATGGACAGCGGTGCTGCAGAGGGAAAGCCAAGGCTGTGTTTGTGCTGTGAAAAGAAATATCTGCCAGGTTATAGGGTTAAACAAACAAACACATCTGCACACTCACAGAGGAGCACAGAGATGCAGTGTCAGTTAGGGGACCCAAAATAATACCCGGTCTCAGGACAGCAGTAGATGGAAACTTTAGTTATGTACTCAGAGGAAGGGACAGCCTTCCCTGGGCTCCTGCCAGGGCTGTGCCAGGGACCCTCAGCTCCAGTGTCCAAGGCCAACAGACATTGATATGAGTAAATGCCGGAGTGCCTTTGGGACTGAGGGGACACTGTACCTATTCCCACTGAGGGACTTCCACCCCACTCTGCTGGACAGGGGGAGGCTGTTGATGATGGTAGCATTCACAGGAGCGTTGATCTGTGTGGCTGGCTGTGTATGGAGATCTGTATGTGTTATATACGTGCATTGCTGTGTGTGCACATGGCTCCTGGGAATACATCCTTAGCCTTGCTACACGGAGCCACAGCAGCCTTGCCTATGTCAGGTTGTAACATCTGTTCCCATTCCCTAACAAAATCCCTTCCATCTCTTCAGTCTGGGCCCCACAACAAGAGTTGAATTTGTGAATGCTGCTCAGGCCCCTGCTGCAGTGAGACTGTGTCTCCCCAGGCTCTGCCCTAAGCCTTCCCACCTGTGCCGAGCTCGCTTTATGTCTGAGGAGGGGTCCTACCACGAGAGGGGGTTGTCCCGTGTTGAGGAACCCCTGGGCTGGGGCAGCAGCTTGGGAGAGGTGGTTCTGTATACAAGCCCAGTGGTTTCAGGGATATAATATTAGCATTTGATCATGCATTTATCTCCAGAGCTACACAAGAACTTGTTATCCATTGGCCACGTGTTCCTTAGCTGTTACCCAAATAGCAGCTCATGCTCTGGCAATAGAAACTCTTGGAGCTGTTCTACATGATGGACCCTGTGTTTGCTCAAGGCACAATGCAGCTGTTGCTTTACCAGCTGGGACATCCTCCTCAGCCCGTTCTTGGATTAATTCAAAGGCTTTTCTTGGTGGGATGGAACTGTCTGGTAATTAAAGATAGCTACCTGTCTTTGTTACACACGAGTGAGAAATGAGGCACAACCCAGGTGTACAGGGCAGGGCCCTCTACAGCTGAAGGTGTACGTGCAAGCAGTTGCTGCGTTGCTGTCCCTTTGTGCACACTCCTGTTAAAATTCTGAGCTCCAGGTGTTGCCTCTGTGTCTCCCAGCGGCCCAAGCTTTATCCCTGTATGTGGCTGTTGTGAGAGTCCAGCCCCTTGAGACTGTTCCAAAGTACTGGACCATTCCAAACCTGTAGCCAAAATATTCATTTGTGAAAGTGAAACTCAAATTGAACAGGATAGGATAACTTTGTTTGTGCTTGCCTCTCATCCTGCAGGGAGTAAGGGAAGTTAGGAGGTATGTAAATACATAAAATCATTCTTTTAGCAGGACCCTATATGGCAAAAGGGAGCAATATGTGTTTTTTCATGGTCTTTTGCTCTGGAAAAAGAGGAGACATATGGCCAGTGTGAGTACATGGGTGGATTGAGGGACCCTTCATATGTTGGTTGTCCTGTTCCTTTGGCTTCTGGGTTTACCTTTTGTGACCTTTGGGGATGGGCTCTTCGAGAGGTGTTTAGGTGCCTTGTGCCACTCCCTTGTCTGGGCACTGCTTGGGGTGCAGGCTCTGTGCTAGGGCATACTCCTGTGCTAGGGGACACTTCCTCCTGTTACGCCTGAGGAGGAAGCTCTGCAAGTGGTGAGCAGGCTGTGGAAGGAGCTGAGCCACCTCTCTGCTGTTTCCTGGGGGAACAAAGCTTGGCTTGAGTGCAATGTTCTGCAGTCCCCTGCCTTCTGCTGGCTGCTGTGACTGGCAAGGTGCCTCTCTCCAGCACTGTTACCAGCTGGGCTTCAATCTGTTCCAGGCCAACACCCTTGGTGATTCTTCTCTCCAGGGGAGAAATGAGTCTCAGTAGCCAGTGGTAAATAAAGGCTGCAGTGGTGTCACCCTGCAAGACAAAGCTGAGAGTGGTGTCTGGGAATACCACCTTGTTCTCACTCCAGACTTTTCCCTTGCTGCTTCTGCTTGTGTTTAGCTTCACCTCCGCAATCCTTCCGCCACAGCAGGGGCTGAGAGGCAGTGAAGGGCCACAGGCAAATCCCAGTTGGGATCCTTGCCCTTGGCCCCACTGTTCCCCACAGCTCTGCACGGGGCATATGGCATTGCATGCGCTGTGTATGTGGGGCTGCTCCTGATGAAGGTGCAGCCACACAAATGGTGTGTTGTCCTGTGATTCCTTCCTGTCTGGTAGGTGTTCAGGACTCTTCTGGCTGTCTGGGAACAGCTCTCCTTCCCAGCAAGACAAGCGCTGGTGAGGGGACCCTTCTCCAGGGCAGCCTCTGCTGCAGAGGGAGAGAGTAGGAGTGGGAATGGGGTGCGCAGGAGACCTTCTGCACTGGGAAGGGATCTGGGTGTTCTTCCACTGCACTTCTGACTGGGTCTGCAGGGACCCCAGAGATGCTCAGTGCTTTTATTTGTGGTCAGGCAGCAGGAGCTGCCTTGCTGCTGCTGACAGAAGCTGGTGTGCCGCCAAATAGTTAAGAGAAAGTCAAATCAAGCAGTATTCCCAAAGGCAAATCCCAGTGTTCCCTGTTCCTTCTGGATCCATGGAGCCATCTTTTGGGCAGCATGATTTATGCATGCTGCTCCGTGAGTGTAGGTGTGGTAAGAACTTTGCCAAGCAAAATCTCTTGAAAGTCAAGGAAGACAGGCTGGGCTGTTCCCTTGGTGGCACTGTGCTGAAGTGCCATGGAAGCCCCCTGCCACCAGACAAATGGCCATGGGTTCTGATGCATTTTGGAGTCAGTGTGACTGACTGTTATCATGAGGCAAGGAACTGGCAAAATCCAACCCCGCCTTTTAGAAGGATTGTGTTGGTGTGACTTTGCAGTTATTTATGACAACTTTGTTTATTTGGGAATACCCACAGCTTTTCCTAAACAAGCAGGGTAATGCTGAACTGCAGCAGCTCAGCTTCATGGCACAGAAGGGATGGAAAATGTCTCCTGTTATGCAGAGGCTGTCTGGTCAGGACTGATCAGGTTGAGCAAGCTCCTCTTTCTCTTCCCCCCATCCTCTCCGCCATGTGTATGGGGAGTTGGGCCCTTAGCTCAGTTTTTGGTAAGTCTGAAAGTGATGTTAAAATACATTTTGCTGCTATTACAGATCTCCTGCATGTTAGGGGAGGCATCAGTCCACTAGGGCATCCTGTTTCTCAGTCAGCCAGAGCAGTTGATATTTAGTTCACTTATCTTGGATGCTCTCCACTGTTTGGCTGTGGCAGACAGGCTTGGGAATGACTTCTTGCTGAAGAGCTGTCTGCAGCCAACCTGGTGGTCACTGCTTGGGTCCTTTTTTGTTTCTCTGCAGGGAGAAACAAGGAGGGCCTTACCTCAACTTCTCCACTTGTATGACCTTGAGGCTATGGCTTGGGGCACTGTAAACTGAGGCTAACCCTGCTGTTGACTTTCTCCCCAGGTCATCATTGAACGCTATAAAGGGGAGAAACAGCTGCCAGTGCTGGACAAGACCAAGTTCCTTGTCCCAGACCATGTCAACATGAGTGAATTGGTCAAAATAATCCGGTGAGTAGGGTGGCCCTGACTGACGTGCTGTGAACACAGAGAAGTGGGGTGAGGGTGAGGCAAAGGCAGCTGCTGAGGGTGAGGATAGAGGACAGAAAAAACACAGCAACATTTTGTTGTAGTATGGACAAGTTATGTGTGTGAGTGATACCCAGCACCTGATGAAGGACTATGACCTCTCCCTTACTTCATGAGCTGACAAAGGGGACTTTGGTTCCCTTCCTTTATCCTTCAGCTCCGATGGAAGAGTCCCCTCTGCTTTGCCCAACGCAGCAGCATTTGGAGAAAGGAGCTTTGCAGAGCCCCAACTCCTGACACCTTAGAACCCCTAGGAGCTCAGCATGGCTCACTAGCAGCATGTCCTGAGCGTATGGGAGGAGGTCCTGGTTGTGCTGGCCCAGTCCTATGTGAACAGCATCGTGGGGGGAGGCAGAACTTGCTCTCACAGTGAGTTGACCCAGGTCCTCCTGCCCTTGCCCCTCCAGGCGTCGCTTGCAGCTGAATCCCACCCAGGCTTTCTTCCTGCTGGTGAACCAGCACAGCATGGTGAGTGTGTCCACCCCCATCTCAGAGATCTATGAGCAGGAGAAGGATGAGGATGGCTTCCTCTACATGGTCTATGCTTCCCAGGAGACCTTTGGCTACTGAGGCCTGCCGAGAGGTGGCATGTGGAGACGGATGAACTGTGGTGCACAGGCCCCTGGCCTTGGGAAATGGCACAACCAGGGGCTCGCAAGAGGGGACCTGTGCTGACTTCCTTCCTCTCCCTCCCTCCCCTTCCTTTCACCCTCTCACCAAAGAGGCTCACTGCGTGTATTGGACTCACACAACCCTTCAGCTCTGTGTAGATAGTTCTGTTCCCTCCATGCGCATGCACATGTGTGCGTGTAGACCTATAGACACCCCGGCACACAAATTGGGCCTCAGCTTCCTGTCCCATCCCCTTAGCATAACCCCTGCTGCTCTCACTGTGTGTCTGTGTTTCTAGCCTACTGCCAGAATGGTTTGGCCAGTGGTGGAGAGAGGTGTCCTGGGACACTGAAGAGGACACTGTCACCTTTGCTTTCAGCACAGGGAGAGCTGCCTCCTTCTCCCAGACACTAATAAAGGGCAGGAAGTCTGCAAAAGCAGCAAACAAATGTTATCATTGCTCCTGAGTTTTAATTGATTTTAATTATACCCGTATCAGATTCTTGGTGCTACTGAGTAGATGTAAGTGTCTCTATAGGACTGTGGATAATGTATATTCTTTAGTTGTTTTTGTTTTGTTTTGTTTTGTTTTGTTTGAGGGAAAGGTTGGAATAGGGAGAGGGGGTAATTTTTCCTGTTTTCTGTAGGTAAATAAGGCTTTGTTGCACTTTAAGTCATAGTAGATGTCAGAGTGAAATTTACTTTTAATTTATACAGGTTTGCTATATATAGTGCTGCTCCTCTGTTGACAGTTGTACCTAGATTGTATTTGCTTCTTTTTTTTTTTTTAATAGAACTTATTTCCCTTCTCTATGTCTCCCCATTGCATGCAATTTTTCAGTCTCAATGTGGCAGAGTTTGTTCAAGGAATGTAATGATTTGTATTTGCTACATTCCCATTCCTGTTTTGTATGTATTATACCAAAAAATATATACGATAAAATTCCACCCAGTTTAATCTATACAAAGGTACATATATAAATATATATATATAATAAATATAAATTCAAGTTGTGTCTTGTAGGAATGTTCTGTTTCCATCTCATTTGTCTATGCTAACCTGTCCCTCCTATCAGGTAAGAGTGCATGCTCCCCATGTTTGCTACTGCGTTGTATGCCCAGTCCTTGGAGCTGATTAGTCCAAGCTATGGCAAGAGTTGCTGGCTTGGGTTGATGGACTAGGTTAAAGGTAGAAGCTTGGTCTGGAGGACAGAGCACTAGATAGTGATGTGGGAAACATGGTTATCTTTAACCTGTTTGTGACAAAGTGTTAGGTAAGTCTCTTGTGACTGAGTTTACTCATCTGGGGAAAAATGGAGATGGAGGGATTTGCATGGTCTCTGTGTTTTTAAAGGAAGCTGAGCAGTGCTGGAAACCTTCCTGAGTAGTCAGTCAAAAACATTTTCCAGCCAAAGGCAGGAACTGAAGGGCATTTAGCATTTCAGTGTGTTTTCCTTCCTTTGCACTGCCTAGCAGAGAAGAGTTTCCCTGAGTTGCAGCTGACAGTTTTGTTCATGTCCTTTGCCTACAGGGAACTTTCTGTCCAGGGAGGGTCCCAGTGTAAGGGACAGACTCAGAAGAGCTCACACAGGTGGGTAAATGCTGAAGAAAGACTGTGGGAAGCCAGCTTGAAGCACTGAACCCAGCAGAGTATAGATGAGAACAGTTGCCCACTGCTCCTGGCAGCTGGAGCAGCAATGGGAGCTTACCCCTTGTTAAGCGTCAAACTCAGGTCTTTAAACTCTGGTGCAGAAGCTGAAGCCCTCTCCCACCCATCTCCCTGTGGGATGCGCTCCTGCAGGTGAGGGGGCTGTACCTTGCTTCAGCATTCTCACAGCAGAGTAGTTTCAGGTGAGGTTTTTCCCTCAGGGAACTGGTAAAGGAGTAGCAGACATGGTTAAACACAGTGGGCTGGAGCCCTTGGTGGGGTGGAGCAGTGGAGCTCAGCTGTCTCACTGTGTCCACCACAGTCACCTGGAGATGTGCTGATTCCAATCACAGCTGTGGCTCTCTGCTGCAAGTGACAGGGAAAGTATGTTTTCAGAAGACAAAACTATGGAAGAAGTAAAACAGCACTGCCAGTGTCAGCAGGTCGTGAATGATTTTAGTGCACTTGACTGTCTTAAAAGGCGAAGAAAGGTTACTGTTGGGGCGGCTCCCCTTTAGGATAGCCTGGAGATGCTGCTACTCTCTTTCCCTTTTGCCTCCCACATAATATTGCCTTCAAGGTTCAACCACTTCCAGGGTCCCTCCTTTTTTTCAGGCAGTTCATTGCTATTGTCCTTTCCCCCACACTGCCCTTAATTCCTTGTGACTCTAAAATAATGGTAAGTAATAATTTGAGATCATCCTCATAGCTCTGGGAGCACAGGACAGCCCTGTTCTTTCATGCACTGGCGTTATCTTATGCACTTCGCTGGGATCAGTGCTGGCCTGTTCAGTTATTATTAGAATAACTTCAGCTTCTCATAGGTCTCTGGAAATGCCACTGCCTTCCCTATGTCCCACAGGGCAACCTCCTCCTTATGTGGGACATGAAAGCAGATCCTTGCCTTGCCCTGCCTTTCTGCAACCCTTTCACTAGTAAAATTCAGGAAAATCTGCATGTTTGATGCAAGCAACTGCTTGTGCGTGAGCTTTACATAGTCTGATGCCTTTTAGGCATAGTGAATAATGTTCCTCATGCAAGACTGGCTAAAGGGCTAACCAGAACAGGCCTAGCCAGCCAGCCTGACCCAGAGCTGAGTCAATGAGCCAAGGCAGAGCTTGCAGCACAGATCTGTGCAGGTGCTGGCTGACAACAAATTAGCAAAACATCAGGGTAGGAGGAAGGAGAATTTTCTCTGGAGGCAGTGTGAGGCTGGGGTAAGGCACCCAGCAAGCAAAGATACAAACACAATACTGGTTGTTTTGCTCACAATACAAAAGGGGGTGAAAACCCAGAGATGATCATGACAGTTCTAGAGGACACTTTTAGTCCCCTTTTATGTCATCTGCCTTATCATAGATGTGTGTCTTAATGTCTGTTCCACCTCTAGATTAACACGCTGGTGTGAGACTTTGCACTAGAACATCATTAGTACAATATTTTAAGATAAACCCTAGTGCTGCAATAGTACTGCAATTTTCTGAATATTACCTTTGACCCGTGAGCAAACCCACCCATAGGACTGGTATAGATGATGTGGTGACTGCTAACAATGTAGGCTGCAGCTGATGATTTGGTAGGCAACACACTGCCTTCTTGTACAATCACAACCTATAATGCTGAGAATTACAATCCAGGGAACCCCTGTTCTTGTTTAACAATACCCTGAGTTGATGGCCATATCAAGTAATGGAAAAATACAATTCACGTGATCTTAAAAAATAGGAAAACTCAGAAATTCATAAAGCTGTGAAAGTGGTAGCTGCCATATGGTTTAAAAAAAAAAGACAGGACACTATGCAATAGGGATGCTTCTTTGCCAAAAGGTGTGAGAGTACAAGGCAAAGGAGTCACAGGAAACAACGCGTGCAAGTAGAGTTCTGGGTGTCTCAAGCTCCACTAAACCAGTAGCATTCTGCCCAACTAGAGTGAGTTACGGATGTGAGAGTAGAACAGAAGGCTAGAAAGTGGAAATCTGAAGTGTTAATGTAACATCCAGAGCATGAGTTTGAAAATGGGAAAACAGAAAACATAATAGCTGGCATGGGTGCTGTGGGGACATTTGGAGTGATTCCATCACCATGAGACTTTGAGCTGTTGACCCACAACCAAAGTTGTAAAAATGCTGACAGCAGCAGGTCTTACGTGACCACTGACTCACAGGGGCAGGGAAGGAAGAAGAGCTGGAAGACAACAGCCTGAGAAACTCCTCCTTCTCCCCTGAGCGCAGTGAAAATGGCTTGGCTAATTTTCTAAATGGTTTAAATAAAGACAACCTCCAGTTAGGAGAAATGGAGAAATGAGCATAAATTAAAACCGCATGAGGTTCTTTTAAATCACGTTACTTAGAGAGCATGTTCACCACCCCCCTCCCCATCTGTATCTGCTGCTGTGACTTGTCCCACCTGCTCCAAGGATTCATGGGCCAGCTCAGAAACAGCCAGGCCCAGCTGCACAACAGCAGCTCCTATTGCTAACAAAAGCCCAGTGTTGTGAGGGAAGGTGTGATGAGGAGAAAGCCTGCAGAGAGCTAAGGGAGGCACACCTTGGGTGCCCTACCAGCAATGGTAGCCTCACAAACATGCACTCATAACACAGATGGTGTGTTGGCTAGCTGTCAGAAGCCCACCCAGCCAACCTGTCACTCCCCCTCCTCAGAAACACATGGAGAACACAAGGTGAAAAAAATCACAGGTCAAGATAAAGACAAAGAGATAAATGCCAGTTAACCTGACACACAACACAGCCTTAACCTGGGGAAAACTGACTTAAATTTATTGTCAATTAAAACAGCTTTGGATGGTGACAAACAAAGACAACCATTAAAACACTTTCCCCTTTGTCTTTTACCTGGGTACAAGTTCAGTCATAGAATCACAGAATGGTTTGGGCTGGAAGGGACCCCAAATCCCATCTAGTTCTAACTCCCTGCCATAGTGATGCCACCCACTAGATCAGGTTGCACAGGGCCTCATCCAACCTGGCCTTGAACTCCTCCAGGGATGGGGCATCCACATCTTTGGGCAGCCTGTGCCAGGGCCTCACCACCCTCTGAGCGAAGAATTTCCTTCTAACCTCTAGTCTAAATCTCACCTTTTTTAGCTTAAAACCATTCCCCCTTGTCCTAACATTATCTACATTAGTAGAGTCTGTCTCCATCCTTTTTTATAAGAACCCTTCAAGTATGAATGGCCGAAACGAAGTCTCCCCGGAGCCTTCTCCTCTCCAGGCTGAACAACCCCAGTTCTCAGCCTTTCTCCATAGGAGAGATGCTCTAACCCTCTGATCATCTTTGTAGCCCACCTCTGGACTTGCTGTAACTGATCAATGAATCTCTTTGGCACTCTTTGGATCACTATGGTCTTCTTTGGCCCTCTGTTACCCTCAAAGACTCTCCAGGACACAAGGACATTTAATGATTCTTGGACTTTCTAAGACACTCTATGAAAATCACTCTGTGATGCTCTAGGTTGCTCTGTGACACTTGATAACTCTTGAGGATGCTCAGTGACATGCCATGGTTCTCTGTGGCTCTCTGTGACAGTTTAAGAATCCCAAGGACACCGTAGAAGGCTCTGTGACACTGACACGGTGACTTCTTTTACTGTGTGACACTATTATCTTCTATCACACTGTGATGCGCTGTGAAAAATCTCTGACACTATGACACTATGAAACTTTGAATCCAAGAATCTTTGGCAGTATTCCTGTGAGACTCTGTGACATTCTATAACTTATGTGTCTGTGACGCTCGATAACTCTGTCACTCTGAGACACTTGAGGACACTGTGAGTCTCTACGACACATTGAGACTCTGACTGTGGTAGTCTGCGTCTATTACAATCGCTGACACTCTGCAATGGTTTGCCACTTTATCACACTGTGACTGACACACTAAGACACACTAAGACATATATGATTGACTCTCTGACATAAGAACCTATGACAACCCATATCATTGTGACACTCTATGTCTCTTTTTGGGCTCTCCAAGGCTTTCTATGACAATCTTCACAACTTTATGGCACTGTGACACTATGGGATGCTAATGAAACTCTGTGATACTGGCATTCTGTGGTTCCCTTTGACTCTTAATTAACCCCAAAGGTTAATTTCCTGCTTTCTTCCACCAGACTAGCAGTTGCTGCTACAGCTTTAATGCATTCAGGCTATCCTCTGGAAACTGGGCCCAGCAGTTTAAACAAATAAGCCCCTGGTTGCTGCTTATCCCCCAATCCTGGGTCAGTACTCCCAGTGCTGCTCCCCTATCCACACTAGTGAAGAGATAAAAGGCTTCTTTAATGTGGGAACAGCTAAGATTGGTGCTCTCATTAAGCTCTGCTTCAATTTTTCTGTTAACTCCTTTTCCTTTTCTGTCCATTCATGTATATAAGGCTCCCCCCCTAATAATTTAAGATACAGCCCTTTTGTTTTCTGAGCATATGCTTCTATCCATAATCGACAATACTACATTAACCCCCCAAAACTTTCTTAGTTCTTTCTTAGTTTTACAGTAGGGGTAGCTCAACAATTTCCTGAAACCTCTCTGGATTTATTCTTCGTTTTTCCTCAGACACTTAGAAGCTGTAAATACTTGTCTTCTTTTTCTACATATTGTGATTTATTTTTCAATACTTTCAAACTCTGTTTTCCCAGAAAGTGTAATGTTTTGTTATTGGCTTCTTTCACAACTGTTTTGTCCTGTTCTGACGATAAAAGCTCACCTGCATATTGTAACATATACACCCCCTCCAGAGGCTGGAATTGCTCCAAAATCTGTTCAGTGACTCTGTAAACCCTGGAGGTAAAACTGTCCATTGTATTGTTGCCTCCACCCCGTTTCAGTCTTTCCATTCAAAGGCAAATATAGCTTTTCTCTCAGGGTCTGAGCGCACCCCGTTAATAACACTGTTATTCCAGTCTAAAAACTTACTATTTGAATGCCCAATCTCGTAATCAAATCCCTTCCCAACAAGTTAGTCCCTGCCTTGGGTACATACAATAATAATGCCCTGTGATTGTTTAATCCCCTAGTCTCAGCATGGTGTCCCCCCAAAATAGCACTGTTATTCCAGTCCCTGCTACCCCCATCACCTTTAGAGTTTCATTAGTTAATTTAAGCCCTGATACTTTATGGGCCAGTGATGACCCAGCTACCCCAGGTTTATGTGGCAAGGGCCACAAGGGTGCCGCTATGTTGCTGGGCCACCAGGTGCAGGGTGGGTGTCAGGAAAAGGGTTTGGTGTTGGGCTGAAGGGGCTATGTGGGCTGATCCAGCTCTGATGGCTGCTACCTGTCCCTGTGTCACGGCTCCCCAGCTCCTCCATCTCTGTGACACTGTGCAATGGAGCCATCCTGGGACACAACCATGGCAGGTGTCAATGTCACAGGGCAGTCATGCTGCTGTACACATCTGGGAACATCAGTGTCCAGCAGAGAGCCCAGCTGGCTGTGAATGTGGCAATATGTTCACTATCATCCAGGTATCCCAAGAAGATGGGGGTGCCTATGCCTGCTGGGAATAAATCTGACCCCAGCAGGTTGGAACCAGGAGGTGTTTTTGGTTTGTTTTCTCTTTCTTACTTCCCTTGCTTGTTAGCAATAGGCAATAAATTTCTTTAATCTCCCTCTAATGAGTCTGTTTTGCCCGTGATTATAATTGTTGAGTGATCTCCCCATCCTTATCTCAACCCTTGAGTCTTTGTCATTGTATTTTCATCCCATTTTCCTTTGAGGAATGAGAGAACAGTTGTGGTGGAGCTCAGCTGCCCACCTGAGTAAAACCACCACATCCAGAGCATTCAGTTTTACTTCTGGAGAGACTGGGAGCTGGTAGGGGTTGTAGAGCCAGGAGGCAGTGTGGCCACCTTTGTGCCAGTCCACGTGATAAGGCAGCATAGAGGCACCTACCATCCCTGGCAAAGTCATACACCTCGGCACAGTCCAGCAGCATATGGCTGAGGGACAGCTCCACGTTCCTGGCATCTTCCTCGTCCTCAGTGCCAGGACACACTGGGTTGGATGGCAGGTCAGAAATTGTGAGTAGGAGGATTTCCCAGCAAGCAGGGGCATGGGAAGTGGAGGTAGATAGGAGCCCTTGGGGGTTCCCTTTGTTCCCTGTCATTTTTTTATCCCTCTTTAGCACAGGAGTTCCCCAGCACGTCCCAGTGTCCACATCTGTTTGCCCTGGGAGCCCCTTGTATATCCATTTTGTCCTCTTTGGTTCCCTGTTGCCTCCCTGGGAGTCCTTTGCTCTGGGAACTCCCTGGCTCCTCCCAGAGGCCCCCCTTTTTTCACTGGGACCCCAGTGCCAGTGCCTCCGTGCCCTTTAGCTTACACCCAGTACACATGGCTCTGGGAGATGCGGTCCTGATCATGCTGGGGCTGATTGTGACTGAGGCCATGCAAGGCCACAGGCACACCCCAGGACAGCTGCCCCCACCCCGGGGTGGGACACACTCCCCCTGAACCTCAAGGAGAGGCCACCTGGGGTGGAGGGGCCAGCGTGCACCCAGCACAGAGAGACCCCTTTAACTGGTGTCCTCCCAGCTAGGGCCAGTAACACTAGGATTGATACTAGGATTTTCCTTCAGGTTCTTTATGTTGAAGAAATAAATCAGCCCCTCCCCATTCCGCTGCCTCCCGTGGGATGGGCAGGGACCAGGGTGCCCCAATGGCAGGAGGTGGGGGAGTCCTGGGATGTGTCTTAATAAGCAGTCTCCAGCTGTGCTGACTTCAATTGCTCACATTCATTTATTATTTTAAAACACTGACAAAACACATCACATCACGATCTATATATATAAATTTATTTTTATATAGTTATAAATTTATATATATAAGACCTTTAAACTTCTGTGTACTCAGGACACAAAGTTTGGGATAGCTTCACTGGCTACAACGAAAGTATTTTTGTTATGAAAACACAAAAAGGGGAGGTGCAAATATCAAAAATGCTGAAAAATAAAAACGAGTGCAAAATGAATGAAAGTGCAAAAAGGCTTCATCGTAGTCACGCTCTTTCCAAAACATACCCCTCTTTTTCTCCTCCCAAGAAGGAAGGGGTGGATCGGAGGGACAGAGCTGTGCTGCAGCGCTTGGCTATTTCCCTCTCCTGTGCACCAAGGGGTCACCACAAAGAGGGTGAGGACTCAGGAACAGAAGAACAGAAGAGCAGAAGCATACAAGTTGTGTTTCTCTCAAGGCTCCCTCCTCTTCTCCAACTCCTTTCATTCCACTCGAGTCCCCTGACTGCCTCTGCAGGAGGCAGCTGTCCCAAGCCATACAAACTTGGTCTCTGGCAAGACAGAAAGCTGCCACCCTCCTTGCTGAGCTTCAGGCTGGCTGCTCTCAGAAATGGAGACCTCAGCCTCGCACCATCATGCTGCATGTTTCCACAAGGAAAATCCCTTCTCAAGAGGATCCAACCATCCCCACCCACCCAGAGCCACTTGTGGAACAGCCACCCCAGAAGATGCCTTGTGCCTGAGGCCAGTGTTTGGTGGGACATCCCACATGGCTCCAGCAGGAACAGGAATGATGGGAGCACAGGCGTGGGGAGCCTCATGAATAGATTTGACTTCAAAAACCCTTCATTGATTTAGAAGCTTTCGCTGTCATCACAGCTCTCAGGAAGGCCCCAGACCTGTGTTGACCCACTTCAGTCCCTGTGTTGACTCCATCTTCTCAGTGACAGGGCAGTGGATGTTCCTGCAAGGAGTCTCGTTGGACGAAAAGGAAAGGAAACTTTGGTCCTTCTGCCTTGGTCACAGCTGCCCTTGATGCTCCCTGAAGAGGGCCTCCTGGTCAATGCTCTGTGGAGACAGAGGTCTTGCAAGGCCAGGGGTGCAAGCGAACTTTCCTTCTCCTGGCTTCCTTCTTGGGACCAGAGACAACTTCTGCTCATGGAGAATGTGTTGTCTGAGACCCTGGGCTGGGGTCTGCCACCGCCATGGCTTCAGAGACCATCACAATAAAACAGCATCATACCAACAGTGGAGGACATGATATTGTGATTTTCCACACTGGTACCCACAAACACCCATCCACATGTACACACAATACTTTGGGTTTGGTTTCCTTTTTAAAGGAAACCTTATAAGAGTTAACAGCAAATAGCCCTTGACCATCTACAAACCCTATGACTCTTTCACCTAAAACAACCCAGAAGATTTGTACCCAAAGGGCTGAGAGGAGACAGCCTAAGAGGCTGAAGAACTGGTGTTCAAGCAGCAGACAAGTCTGTGCAGCAGACAAGTTTGTGCAGCCCCTTTCAAGTGGGGCTGGTTTTCCTGACAGCTACTCCCTGGGCAGAGCTCAGACCCCGCAGAGGCTGGGATCCAGCTCTGCAACCGAACCCCACAGCCAAGGGAAAGCCCTTCTGCAGACGAGCAAAGGGAAGGCACCTCTGCAGACCTGTCCGGTTTGGGGCTGCTTGCTTAGAGGGAGGTCAGAAGAGCCCAAGTGAGGCATTATGCCATTGGCATAGCTTCCTGCTGATGCTGAAGGCTGGCACAGTACAGAGCACACACCACCTGTTTGCCTGCTGCCCAGGCAGAGCATGGCTCAACCACATGCAACAGAGCAAGAGCTGATGGCATTGGTTGTGCCTGGTCTTGAAAGCTTTATGGCTCCTCTTCCCCTTCAGCAGGGATCTTCTGAACTCACCACTACCTCTGCTTCCCAGGGCAGCCCTGTGAGAAACAAGGCGCTCCATCATTCACACTGGTTTCAGATCTGACACTCCTCTCCTAGCACCCAGTGACAGTGCTTAGTCCCTTCTCCAGCAGGAGGAATGGCTTTGCCGGGGAAGGGAGTAGATGAGAACAGGATGTTCATAAGTTGTTTCCTTACAAGCCCAATAACCACATCCTATGCAAGAGTAACGAGCCAAGCAGGAACCATTCCAGATCACACCTGAAGATGTCTCAGCAGGGCTTGCATGAAGAGTCCAACAGCTGAAGGTCCTAGGCCTGCTCCTCCTCGCCCCTAGCACACGGTGGCCTAGGAAGACACCCCCCATTAGCTGAAGAGACCACCTTCAGGACCATTTTCTGTGAATCAAAGGTGACTAGGAGTAACTGTGAGACCCAGTTTTTCTTTCCTACTCACCCTCTCTCCACAGCTGGCCATACCACAATGCTTGAAAAGGTGAAAGAAAGTGAAAAGGGAAAGGAGAGGGAGAGCTAACTCAAACCCAAGCATTGACAAAATAAATACATGGACTAGTTTCAAGTCCTGCATAAAGAGCAAGCAGCAGACTTTTCAAGAGCAGGTCAAATGTGACCCCAAATATTCAGTAACGAAGAGTCAAAATGCTACATTTCCATGGGAATCCTAGAACAGATTGACCCACGTGTAACAGTGGCTTCCAAGGCAGTTCTGCTCCAAGAGACATTGCTAGGGCACTTACCAAGACCCTTAATCTCTGTCTTTGGACACTGGAAAAGAGGAAAAAATGTTTTGCTATGGCATGTTGTTCTTGGGAATGAGAAAGAAGTGGATGTGGGACTTGGATAACATCACTATACACTACGGAGAGCCCTCCAGCACTGCACTGCCACACCACTGCTCCAGCAGCACCCACAGGATAACAAAGTACAGTAAGTGCAGTGTGGGTGCTACAGGGCTCATCCCTGGTACCTGGGAACACACGGAATGTCTGACTGTGCCAGGAATCTCCTCCATTGCAAGGGAGAGTTACGTGGGCATTTCCAAAGTGCTTGCACCCTTGTTGGAAAGGTGCCATGTTACTAAAAGGACGGACAGAAGGACGGACGGACGGAGACAAGGAAGGAAAAAGAGTTAGCTGCTGGCTTTCTTTTGGTTTGAAGAGAAGGAATCTATAAGACAGCAGAGGACTCTGCTCTTCACACAGGAAAGCCTGGGGGCCTCTCAAGGGCAAAAAAGGGGGAGAAGGCAGCTTGACAGGATCAAGTCAATCAAGTGTTAGGTCAGAGGTTGGACTCGATGATCTTGAGGTCTCTTCTAACCTAGAAATTCTGTGATTCTGTGAAGTCAGGAATGCTTTAGGAACCAAGCCCTGATTCGGCTTACAGATACTTTTTGCCCTTGGCAGTGGTCTCAGCTCTAGGAAGGGCCTTGCTCCTAATCACAGAATCACAGAATGGCTCGGGTTGGAAGGGACCTTTAAAGATCATCTAACTCCATACCCCCTGCCATAGGCAGGGATGCCACCCACGAGATCAGGTTCACCAAGTCCCCAAGTGGGCCAAAGCAGGCCTGCCTCTCCTTCACAGAGGATTTTTTAATTGCTGCAGGAGGGAACAAATTAACCAAACATTGTTTCTCCCAGAGCCACATTGTCGAAGACAGCCTGAAGTGCAAGTGGAAATGGAGCTTGTTCTGCATCCACCCAGCCCTGACCCCATGGATTTGCTGCATTACAGTAAAGAGGAACAAAACACAGATGCTGGTCATGGGCAGAACTGCAGCCAGGAAACACTGCTCCCAGTGGGGGAAAGATGGGCCGCTGGTTCCCAGTGTGGTGAAGGGGCAAAGCAAAGTTATCATCTAGTCTCAAGTCACAAGATTTCAGATAGGAAAAGGCAAAGTGAGCAGAAGCTCCTTGGGAGCATCCAAGTCCTCTAAGAGGAACACACTGAGAAAAAAAATATCTCACCACTCTCTCATCTCTCTCTCTCTCTTAAGCCACCCTTATCTCAGTGGCTTAAGCTGTGGTGTGTGCCCAGCTGCTACAACCTCCACACTGCTCCGCCATCCCTGAACACACCCGAATACGTGCAGTCATAGCAGGACATTGGGGCAGCATTCGCACAGAGGCAGGCTAATCCCACATCCACCTGCTGCCTGTGTATCCACCCCCAAGGCTTGTGGTCAGCCTGTACCCAGCACTGGAGCAGAGAGGCAGCGTGGAGAGAGAGTGAGGGAGAGGACGGGAGATGGACCGGTGGGAGAGCATAGATGCTGCAGGACACGACAAGCTGCGGGCGGTCGGGGGAATCTCTGTCCTGGCCAGACAGTTTGGCAGCACCAGTGCTGAAGGACGGTCCCAGCGGGGCCAAGAAAAGTCATTTTAAGGTGTCATCAGCGTTCTTGAACATGAGGATGGCATTGTAGATCTTGAGTGCTGGGCCCAGCTTAACACTCATAATCTTGACGATGTCAGTCTGAGTCAGCAAGAGGAATGCTTCGCCATCAATCATCTGGAGTGGAGAGCAGGGACAGAGGCATTCACCAACAATCCAGACTGTGATCTCCCAGAGACAGACAGCGCAGTTATTTTCTGGGAACATGCACATCTATATTCACAACCCTTGGTGAGCTGCCACAGCAGCACTCCTGTTCACAGGGAGCAAGGCAGAGGCCACCCACGGTGCTCCCACACTGCCCCAGATAAGCCAGAACTCATGCACCCGGAATCGGGGCAGGGATAGGGAAAGGCCCGTCCAGGGGCTGGCCCAGGCTTTGGGAACAGGACAGCCAACAGGCAAGCCACTCCAGGCAAACACCAAGGCATTCCCTGCTCCAGGCCCCAGCATGGATAGAGGCTGCCCCCAGCTTGGCTTTGCATGCTGAGCACCCTTAAAGCACAGGGGCCCTTTATTAACAGGCTAGGACATTTGCTGTACCCAGCATGTCTGTGATCAGCCTTCCCTAGGTGTATAGCACATGCTAGAAGCCGTTCCCTTTGTGTGTCTGTCCACAGAGGGGTCTAAAAATCATGAACCTCTTTGATGGACAGCAGCGTTGCCAAACTGATGTGTTGGTGAGAGAATGCAGGAGGGGAAAGAAGCATGGATGTGGATTAAGCAGTTTCCCTCAGGAGGCAATGATGCTACCGAGACTGCAGCACCATGCTCCCTACTACCCCATCGCAGCCTCCTCAGAGGGTTCATCCCTCACCCATGCAGCACAGAACATGGTAGCAGGAGTTACAGGTCAGAATCTCCCTCCTGTTACCCTCTGCACAGGCAGACAGCTACACACTGGAATGCAGCATGGGAATCGCTGCCAGGTGGGGGACATGCTCTAATCATCTAGTGGCAGAGCTGCTGAAGGAAACAGCACTGGCCAGTTCTTCCCTCCCCTGTTGGCAAACAGCTGTCATTGGCTGCCTGCACTCATGCTCCAGCCCTTCTCACCTCATCCTTGAAGAGTTTGGCTTGGTCCTCACAACCTGTCAGAGTCTGAACAAAGCTAAAAACCTGGAATAAACAGAGAGAAATGTCAAGATGGAAGCAATGTTTCTGGCTGCAGACACCCTACAAGCCCACATCCTCATTTCCACAGAAGCATTTTTGGCTCCTGCAAGGTAACATGTACCTGTTAGGGCAAAGTGCTGCAGTTGCAGCACTCTCCCATGCCTAGAGATCGCTCTTGGACCAAGGCATGGGTGTCAGCTTTCTCCAGCCCCAGAGTAGCAAACGTTACAGCCGTTTTATCTCCAGTAAGCCATCTTTAGCACAGCAAGATGATTCCAGCAGAGGGGCTGGATGCACACAGAAGGTTAAAATGGAAGTTAGGCAGTCTGCTGGGGCTGCCTCTCCAATGCCAGAGGTCAGCTACACAGGCCTCAAGAACAGCTGTTACAGATGCCAAAGAAAGTGAATGAAAGTGACAAGAAAGAATCAGATGTAAAGATTTCTTCAGAGGAGACACAGGAAAGTGACTCCTTATTTGCAGTCTACAGTTTTGCATTGTTGCTATTTTACTTAGAAAAGATGAAACTGACTTCTTTGTAAAACTGCATGATGCTAAAGGAAGAGACTGCTGTTTACTTTCACCTGCCTGCCCTGCTAATGTCACATTGAAGTCAAGCTAGAATCTGGTAGTTGTGCATGTACTCCCAGCAGCTGCCTTAAGGGCAGGTGACTGGCAGCTGTCCACACTGTATGACACAAGGGGCACTGTCTTGATAGCCTAGGGAAGAGGCCACTAAAGCCCTTCTGTGCCTGGTACATGTACCATGGCACTGCATAGCCATCTGGAGTGCTCCCAGTCATGCCAGTGGTTTAGAAACCAGCACGCAGCCTCCAAAACTGCCTTACCTCATCGATGGTCCACTTGGCCACTGTGGTTGCTGTGATGCCAGCCACCCCTGGCAGGAGTTTGCAATGCTGTTCCCAGCAGAGTGACAGAGAGCGGTCAGGATGGGCAGACAGGGCAGACATGAAGAGCGACTGGTGCATATTGTCTGAAGAAATAGCTGGCAATAAAAATGCAAGGTGTGACAAAAGGAAAAGTAATGAGAACATCCCATCCTATTCTACGAGCCTTGGAGAGGACTGTTCAGGGACAGGCCTGGGGCTAGGAGCAGATGGTCTCACGGGTCTAAGTTATCAAGAGCTAGTGGTTGTCCCTTGAATTAACAGGAGAGTAATGCATCAAAGGCTTCAGTTTGGTGGGATTGCGGATGGTAAGGGAAGAAGTTCAGCAACAACAAGCTTGACTTTGCCTTGTTCTCACCACTTTCACTCTGTTTTCTGTACTGTACTAAATTTCCAAGCTAAATTTCACATCAGAATGCCATCCCTTGTCATTCAGACGATTTCAGGTTTTTAACAAAGCTATAAGCCCTTGTCTCTGCTCCAGTGAACCAATGACAACTTCCAAGAGATCTTAATTCAATCCCAGTACTAGGGTAAACACCAGGCTAGCCCATGGTAAAGCTGATACTGGCTAGAAGAAGTAACTTTCCACCTGAGAGCCATTTACCGTCTTACGTTGATCATCAGAACTAAATATCAAACAAGTACTGTTCATCAACGGTTTCTGTACTGTAGCAGTAATGTGGCACCTCACACTGAGGTTCTGGGGTACAGCATCCATAGGATGAAGGCACAGGTCTGGATAAGACAAAGTGCCGAGAAAAATGCACTGCCACAGAGAGAGGGTCCTAATTCCCTATCCTATAGCACTCAAAGATTCACAGATATAAATCAAGAGAAGTGACAAGGTACCCAGCAGAACTCTGGTAAGAGGCATGGACATCCCTTCTCAGATGGTTGGCTTTGAAACCATGAGCTCTACACAGCCTCTCAGCTTTGTGCTGACCTCTGCAAGGTCTGACTGAGTGAGCCAAGGAGAGACCTGCCTCTGCTAGCCACCACCTTGTCTCCCCTAGTCTCACTTTTGCTCTGAGAAGACACAGTGGCAGAGGAACACACTTACTTTGGAAGTCTTCCTGCTGGATCTTCCGGTACTTTGGAGGTCGCCCTCTAAAGAGACAGGAAAACTGATTTCCATCTGTGTTGGGACTGGCCCAAGTGCCCTTCTCCACACTGCACAGAGCAATGCCTTGGCAGTAGGAGTAAGGATTACCTCTCAGACTCTGGTAAAAAGGGTTGACAGCCAGTAACACAAAATGTGTTACAAAAAATGAGGAGAGGTGCCTGAGGTGACCCAAGAGAGCTGCAATAACAAATGCCAGCTGTCTACAAGCATGCTGCCCCACAGGCAAGGAGCCTCTCCAGTTCAGCCATCCATCCTAGGGATGCCAAGTGTAGCACAGGTGCCCCGCACTGCTGCACAGGGCTTGCCAGGCGTGGCCCTACCTCCCGTGGTGCCGGGATTTCTTCCGCTGAGGGAAGCCCATCAGGTTCCTCTTGCGAGCTGAGGCCTCAGTGTCAGACAAGTCTGCCTTGAGTCTGCCCTGGTTCTTCTCTGCCAGTGGGCACCCTGAGAGGCAGTAGTGGGCTGTGAATCTTCCAGTCACATGTCCTGACCCATCACAGCCTGGTGTGGGGCACTTCCTAGGGAGCAGACAGGGAGGCAAGAGTGGGCATGGGGCAGGGCAGGGGTGAAGCCACCTGGTGGTAGGGCCACACTTCCACCCTCAGCCGCAGGAAGCCATAGTCCAGGCCGTACAGACAAGTGTAGTACAGACTTGCTGAACAAATTCCCTAGTCTAGGGTGCGATGTGCACTGGCTCACAGGGAGGGCAAACCTAGCTCCTCCAGGTACAAACACCTGTCCTAACATCTCTGCTGCCATCACAGCCACCCTGTACAAGTCACCAGAATGCTGATCAAGTAGGTCAATGGGGTTTATAAGATTTTCCATCCTCCCTTCCTTGCCCCCACAGGCATCCAGACTAGCCTCAGAGTAAGGACGAAGCATGTGTTATGACTGTGGACAGTAGAGAAACCCTCAGGAGCCAGATCTGCCTCTCTAATCCTCAAGTACTCTCTGCTGTAGTCACTCCCCTGCTCTGATGCCAGCCTGCCATGCTGGGATCAGCATTACATCAGTCCCAATTTCCCCTGAAAAGGGTCATGCAAGCAACTGACAAAGCCCTGAGGGATATGCAACATCCCCTCTCAGTACTTCCCAGCTTACAACCTCACAGAGAAAGGGTATCCATGAGGGCTGGGATGAATATCATCCTCAAAGCCATGTTCATCCATCAATGTTCATCCATCCATGAACAGTGTCTTAAAAGTATGTAGGGGCTGTCCCCTACAAGGCCTATATGACCCCTTGGCAGATGGGCATGAAAAATGTCCCCAGGAGCTATAGGGGAACATAGGGCATGCACAGGTGGGGATGCACCAGTTAGTCAGTAGTTCCCCTGGTAGCAGGCTCCTGACTGTTTCACAGGCTTGGCCCGGAGAAAGCAAGAGCCGGCTCCAAGCTGGAGGCAGAGCCAAGCATGGGCTGGGTGCAGGGGCTGGTTGCTGACAGTTGCAGGGGTGCGTGGGTGCAGGGGAGCAGAGGAAGGCCCAGGCACAGGGCTGGCATGGGAGCCCTGCCCCTCTGAGCTGAGTTGGGGAGCTCACCTGTGGTGAAAGCTGTATTTGGAGCTCTTGGTATGAGGCATGTTCTTGCAGCCCAGGGTTGGGCAGCCCCCATGGGAAGAGGAGGCTGGTTCCTTTGGCCCTAGACCAGAAGGAGAACAGGGAACACACTGTTGTGGCCATAACCCCAGGCAGAGCCAGGGCTCTGGGCTCCCTGCCTGTGCCACACAGGAAGGATTTTCCCAACCCTGCAGTAATAGCCCTTCCTCCCTGCCCACCCTTGGCTAGCACCACGACTGCACCCTCCCTTTTCTGCATATGGACAGGTGATGGTGACAGTGGGGATCTGGCACACTTGGGCCCTTGTATGAGGGGATGCCCAGGCCCAGAACTTACTAAGAGGAGGCTGCAGTGGGTGCCCAGTTTTTGAGCACCAGCCTATGGGGTGGATGTCCGGATGATCTGCATCAATCCAGAAATCATACACATGGCTCCAGCCGTCAAAATGGATCTGGGGAGATAAGTAGAGAGGTCACCCTTCAAACTTCAGGGCACCTCTCTGAGGAGCTCTGGAGCCTTCCAAGCTGACAGCAAGAAGCAGAGCAAAGCTGAACTGCAACACAAGACTGCTCCGCTCCTGGAACCAGGCACTGGGACCTGCCATCTTACACACTGCGTGCTTCCACAGACCTCTATACAAATTGCCATTGTAGCTGGCAGTGAGTGGGGAAGGCCAGGAGCAAGCCAGCACAGTGCCTGGACACAGGCACTTGAGACTCAGACATTGAATCTCCAGAACCCACCTTTATCCTATGATCTTCCACATCCTCCACACTAGCCACTCGGATGAAGGAAGGAGTTCTTCTGTCCACTGCCTCCAGCTTCATATTGACCAGGAAGCCATGGGGTGGGCGCTGGGACAAAGAAAAGCCCAGGTCAGCAGGTTCCATGCTCCAGGTTCACGTGACTCTCAGAGGCTGATTTGGTTTCCCAGTAGCAAATGTGTTCCTAAAGCCTAGCTCCTAGCCCTGTCCCTTGTTCTGTCCAGGTAAGAGCCACTCATGGTGAACACCAGGAGAGAGTGAGGACAGCCCTCTGTGATCTGAGCTATGTTTTTAACAAGATGGGAAATCTTTGCCCCAGGGAAGAACGCCTTCAAGAGACACATTTGGGGCATTTATAGCACAGCTGCACTTGGCTGGATACATCTGCTGTTGCAGCAATTGGAGACAACTATCAAGCAACCTCAAATGATTTCCTACCACAGAGCTTCTGTCTAGCAAGGGTGATGGTCATATTTCCCATTTTTCTCAGTTTTGAACTATTTGCCCAGGATAGCTCTGACTTCTGAACTTAGACTGTATATCCAGATCCCAGGCCCCTGTGGCAGGAGAATACTAAATATCATTTTACTTTTCATAAAAGTGAAGACCTGACAATGGAGAAAACCTGAATTCCTGCCCAGGCACAATGGAGCAGACAATGTGGTACTCACCACTTTAAATGCCCAAGCTGGAACAGCAGATGCTCCAGTTTCTTTTAAGTACTTTTCCCAGATGAAGTTGTCAGGGTCAGGATAATCTAGAAAGGGGAAGGTGTAGAAGGTGAGACACAAACTAGAAGACATCAAGTATCCCAGAATGTACTACTGCCTCAAAGGACCAACCAAGCCTGTGTCAGGCATGTGGGAATCTGAGAGACATTGAGATGTGCTACTATTTCCTCGTGGACCATAAAACCCAGGATGAAGGAAAGCAGAAACATTTGGGCCTGCATATATAGCTTGTCTCTTCCTGCCCTCTCCTTGTGGCCTGACACAAACACCATGCTGTACCTGAACACACGTACAAGAACCTCAGCTGTGACTTTGCTGAAGGAAACTGCCCGGGCCTTGCAGGCAAGCACAGACCACAGGGTTTGAGCCCCCAGGCACTCTGTCCCACCCTAGAAGGCCCATCTCTGAGATGATGCACCAGTGAAGTCTGCATTCCCCAGCCATCAGCTCACCTTGAGGAGGTGTGAGGGGTTTGCCATGCTCCTGACACCATCCGACCGGGTGGATGTATGGACTGCTTGGGTCACACCTAGAAGACATACCTGAACTCTTATACAGGACTGAAATACCTGGCTCACCACTGCCAGACCGTGCAGGCTTCCAGGGTCCTGAGCAGGCCAGCCAGCAGCACAGCCAAGACCTACACCACCAGCAAAAGCCCCTGCAGAAACGAAGGCTTTGTACAGCACCCTTACCACTGAATGACCCAGGCCCTAGCAGAGGGCTATTGTGGGAGTACACAAGCTCACTGGAGCAGGACACAAATGCACCCTGGGTGCAAGCCCTGCATCAGAGCTACCCAGAGAAAGCAATCCCATGGGAGGGGGAGATATGCCATGCCTTTCAGAGGTCAGAGCAGTTGCATCTGGGCAACCTGGGAGGCTCACACCCTGGTCACAGCTTCAAGTACACCACAGAACACTCGAGGACATAGCATTCAGCAGACATTGCTTGTGCCCCACACCAGTGAGCAAGGAGCAGTCACAGACAGAAACTGCTGCAGCCTCACATCTCCTTGTACTGCAAAGTTAGAGAGAATATCAGATAGCTTCAGCCACAAAGCAGGAAGCAGAACTGTTCTCACCCCTTCTTGTGCTACTTGACCTTAATTGGCCTCAACTGGGACACCTCCCCACTCACACACACCAAGTCAAACAATTACCCATCCATCAGCCCATGGCTTGTGATCAGGCCTGTCTTATCCCCGTGTTAACCAGAAGACCATGGCAATGGCCCAGAAGGTGACACTGGATAGGTGAAATTTGTACCCCAGCATAGGTGGGTAACCCCCTGCCTCACAGTCTCATAATGTTCTCAAGTTGTGCCAGGAGAGGTTTAGATTGAATATTAAGAATTTCTTCATGGAGAAGGGGTTTAGAGGGCATTCGAACAGGCTGCCCAGTTAAGTCATGGAGTCCCCATCCCAGGACGTGGTTTAGTGACAGGGCTAGGTAGGTCAGGTTGATGGGTGAACTTGATGATCTTAAAGGTCTTTTCCAAACTACATGATTCTATGATTCTAACTAGGTCACTGGTAGCCTGTCAGCAGCAGCATGCTTGTGGTATCAACATATGCTTTCTAGAGCACCTCATCACTCTTGCTGAAGCAGCAGCATGGTGTCTCCCTGGCACTGGAACCCCAGAAGCCTCTGTGCACTTACCAGTAGTCGTAAGTATCATCCCAGTTGTCAAAGTGCACCAAAAAGCGATTGTCCACCACATCAGTCACTGTGGCAACACAGATCAGGGAAGGATTCATGCGGTCCACAGCCTCAAGCTTCATGCCCACCTCAAAGCCTGGAGGAGCCTCGTGCTGGGAGGAGAGAGGGGCAGGTTTCTTTCACAACCTAGATTGCAGCGCACTTGTTACTGCTTACCTTGCCCACTGCAAAAGGGCACATGCCCCAGACCAGATCTCTGGCTTCCAGGAAGGCCCAGGACCACCCAGGGTCCCAGAAGAGCAGTGCCCTCCTGGGCACACAAGAAAACAGGCAGAGGGTAAGTAACTCAGCCTGGTGATAAAAATAAAGAGGAAAAAGGTCTTCAGACCCCCAGGATCTCCTATAAACAAAGAGAAAAGCAGCCTCCAACTTACACTGATTCAGATTTAGCATTACATTTGTAGTCATGCTCCCCCAGTGGTAGCAGTTACTAATGCCCTAGGCTTTGCAGGAAGAGGTGGGACAGTGCCCTGCATCCTACCTTACCTTTAATACTTGGATCCAAAACCTGTGCAAAACACTATCATGCATGCTAGTGGGATTGTTGCAGCAAATATATCCCCACCTTCCAAGGAACCCATTGGTCAAGGAGGAGGATTTAGACACAGTAAATAACTTGAACAGACTGATTTATCAGGAGGCTGTTTCCTCTGCAGCTGACAAAGAAACCATCAGGATTTTGCATTCCACTGTACTCTCACTTCCCTTACCCAGGCTGCCATATGAAAAAAAGGTAGAGACAGAGATAATGAAGACAGAAAACAGTGGCAAAATAATTATACTTATGGAACATTAACTGTTTTTGTTTTGGTTTTCTTTGGCAAAATAATTGTTGAGAGTAATGGCTCTCATTGGCCCAAACCAATACCTTTGTGACAGATGTAACTGTCCATGAGATTGACCTAGATGAAACAGCGAATCAGATCAGTTCCAATTCTGGGCACACCAAACTAGTGTCCAAGTTACAGATCCTCAGCAGCAAAGCATGCCACATCTCGATAAGCAATGCAAGCAGTGCACTCTCCTGGCCCTCTGCACTGTGGGTTTGAGAAGTGTGGGGTGGACAGAGAAAAGCCCAGCACTCGGTCAGAGGGGAACCTGAAGGTTCTGGCAGGAACGAGAAGCTGCCACTCACGGTATTTCGGATCACGAAGAGTTGCTTAGGAGCTGCTTGAGACTTTGTTATCTTCAGGTAGTTTGTCCAGCTGAATTCTTCCTCCTTATAACCTAAAACCCCTCATGAAGAGAAATGAGAGCAGCAAGTTCACAGGGAGACAGAAAGAAGGCCATGTGGCTGAGCTCAGCCATACTAATACATCCAGCCCTCACCCTGCCAAGTGTGCCCAGCTGAAGGTGGATGGGGTTTTGAACAGCCCTTGATTGCCCACAGCCCATGGTTTAAGGCAATAGATGACTTCTAATTGCTATGAAATGTTAGTAATGGAGTGGACAAACAGAGCTCAGCTCCTCCCCGGAGAGCACTGGTCCTACCTGCCCCAGGGTGCACCATACCCAGGTCAGGGCAGCACAGCCACCAGGCTCCGGCCTGGCACTGGGAAATCCAGGGTAAAGGGGTTTTGACCCAGAATGGGAATGAGCAGAGAAGTTTAGTCATGATAGGTACCTGAAGAGGTGTCATGGGGCAACCCCCAGCATAGTATCATCCCTCTTGGTACCCATGGAGCCACCCTGTCCCCATTTCTGACTCTTTGACTGGGGACCTATTATTCACCCCCCTCCTTCAACATGGCCTGCTGACTGAGACTCTCCAACTCCTTACCTTTTGGAGGCTGGAGTTTATGTCCTGTCTCCTCAAACCAGCCTGCAGGGTGGATGTCAGGGGAGTCAGCATTCAGCCAGAAATCATGACACTCAGAGTAGCCATCAAAGTGGAGGCGCATCCGGTAACCACACACCTACCCACAGGGAGAGCAGGAGAAGGAAAGGACCATGGAAACCTACTGCTGTCTCTCGTTGGGTGTGCCACACACCACTCCTCCCACACACCATTTCAGCATAGCACTTAAGAAAGCTAAGCACTTAAGAGCCACAATCAAATGCCAATGCACAAATCAGGAGGCACATGCCAGTCCCAAGACGTGTCTGACATGAAGCAAGGCAAGTGCAAGGCCTCCACAAGCCATCTCTAAGCAGAAGGGTTCAGGCTGGTACTTAAGATTCCATGGTGGGTCACTTTTGTATTCACTGCATCTGATGGATCCAGCATGTGCAAAGATTCTCTTTTCTGCACCTGGGAAGGTGCTCACACAGAGGTTTTGGCTAAACACCATGTTGATTTTGTGAAATCTCTAGCAACAAGAACATTGGCTCATCTCCCTAGCTGCCTATGGGCCCGTGGAGCATTGCAACGCAAGGCTGTTTTGGGGGCATGCCATGAGGCCACATGGAGAGCCCTGGAGACAGAGGGCCTCCATGGACACAAGAAAGGGCAATGAGGCATCTTCACATCTTTCATCTCCAGGGCTCAGACCTGTCTGATTGGCATCAACTCAAAAGTAAAACACTGTTGCCATCACCACCATTTCTTCCCCCATTGCTCTGCTGTGTCAGGGTGGTGGAGAGATTAATGAGGCTGGGGTATGGCAGCTGCTCCACTGTACTGTCTCCTGCCCATACAAACTAGAAGGAAACATGACTGAGGTGCTGGAGTGCCAGCTCATCTCATGTGGTGCTGGCAGCAGCATGCAGGCGAGGGCCCTCCACCAGCAGTCCCAAGGGACTGCCTCTGCTGTAGAGCCTCCTGCTGGGCAGGCATGAGGAGCCTGTGGAGGGACTGGGGGATGGAGGAAACCAAAAGCGCCTTACCTCAGCCACTGTCAGGATAAAGTACATGGATGGGTGTTGTGGGTCGATTCCCTCCAGCTTCATCCCCACTTTAAAGCCATTCTTGTGCTGGGAAGCTACTTGGTACTGGAAACAAAAATTAAGCTACAGTGTAAAAAAATGACAGATGTACATGAGTCTAGAACCATCAAGCTACGGGAGCTGCTGGGCCCAGGAGACTGTGAGCAACAGGTTATGTTGTCAGCTAAATTGAAGTTCCTTTTACACAGAAAAACACCTTCTTCCACCTCCTTGCAGATTTGTGTCTTGCTGCTGGCAGGGCAGGGTGTCCCAGGGCTGACAGGGAGTGGGGTACAGGGCTTGGGCTCTTCTTGCACCCTGGGGAGCAGGGGTGCAGCACCCAGCATGGCCTCAGGAGAGCCCAGGCCTGGACTTCAGGAAGGACTGGAAGGGATCCACCAACCTGCCAGAACCACAGGCAGACCATGGGGTGCTTGGGATGGGGGACAGCAACCTGATGGGGAGTGGGACTTGGGGCAAATCAAAACTGGAGGCTGACTGGTCACCTTCAGGTGAAGATGGGTGTGCTTGCTTATCCCTCAAAGCCCCACAAAACAGGGAAGCAAGGAAGAGAGGAGAAAGAGGAGGGATGGGAAAAAAAAAAGGGGGAAAGAAAAGAGAAGACCAAAGAGGGGAAAAAGACAGGAAAAACCCAACTCACATCCTGGAAGAGATCTAAAGGGGCAGCGACAGCTTTCTGCTCCTCCAGGTACGACGCCCAAGACCAGCCTTCTTTCTTCTCCTCGCTGGCACCTGAGCGCAGCACAAACGCACACACAAGAGGCGCTGCTGAGGGTCCGCTCCAGCCTCAGTCCCTGCCTGCCTCGGGGCAGGTGAGCGCGTGGGTCCTGCTGAGGCCACATCCTGCTCTCACACACAGTCCTGCATCCCTGCAGAGCCGAGCACTGTCCTACCAGAGCCCCTTCTCCAACAAACCTAGCCAGCTGTCCAAAAATGGACAGAGACAACAGTTCTCTCTCTCTCACAGGTCTCTGTGACCAAAATGTCTTTCGTCACTGTACAAAACTCTAGGAAGGCATGCAAGGCCCCTGAAGAACAAGCCATCTTGTGCAAAACCATCAGGATACCTCTGCAACCAGTTCTCCAGCCAGTACATCCAAAATGGCCACAGAGCTGACAGATTTGGGACAGCCAGCACAATTCATCTAGAGGTCTGGGAATACAAGGAGCTCCCAGACATCAAACTAGCAGCAGGTTCACCTCCCACTTCCACTCCGGAGGCACCAGCTCTGCTATCCTCTGCTCTGAGACATTCAGCTGAGTCTCCCTCAGCATACCAGGACCACTTTGATGCCGTAGAGATGCATTTATCCTTATAACACTCATTTAAAGAAGACAGCATTGTCTCTTTGTAGGCGGGGAGGTGACCCTTCATGCTGTCAACCCCTTGAGCAAGTCCACAAACACCTTGTCCGAGGCACAGAAGATACAACCCAAGTTTCTTGCCCTCTATCTATTTTTTCTCCCTGCTTCAAAGCACCTGAACGGACTCCAGGAGTGCAGTCCTTAGTCCAGCACTAAGTAATTCACATTTGCAGGTCAGCCTTGGCAGACTGTCTTCTGTAGGACAGGCCAGAAATGCAGGAAAAAGACAGACCTATTCCTTCCTCCCTTGGGCTTAGAGGCAGTGGAGACAGAATAAGTGGGAACTTGCAGACAAAATTGAAGAAGAGCTTCGATGAGCAAGGTTACTAACACAGATATTTCATTTAATTATTAAGACAAATACCCTTATTACTGTTTATGACAGAAAAAAAGCAGCAAAATATGTTCAGGGAATCCCTAAGTACAAATTCTATGCTTCTGGGGAACGATGAATACAACCAGAGACAGTGTACACCTACTCTGTTGCATGGAAGTATCCAGGTGTGTAGTTTGTCTACTGATGTACTTCTAAAATAGGAGAAAATAAAATGTTGAAAGTAACAAGGTTCAGCACTGCTTACTTGTAAGCAGCAGGGAAGATTACATGTTCAGAGCTCATACTGTAGAGAAAAGGACCTGGTAAGCAAATATGACCCCTCTTTTCAATAGCGTTTAACTCATAGTAAAATCAGGGAAGTATGGAGGGGAGTATGAAGCTGGAACAGTTTCATTAAAAAATGACTTTATCTATGACCTTTCACTACTCAAAGAAAAAAAAATCCATAAATGTTTACTTCCAGTACTTTTTCAAGTTTTCCTTTTTCATCCCCATCACACTCTAGGGAAAAAAAAAAAGCAACACTGCATCTTTCAGCTTGTCTAACTTCCCTCAGTGCTAACAGCTCTGTATTTGAGTTTTCCTCTGATTTGGTCCAGGAATAGATCCCTGTGAGATGAGACAACCCCAGATCACTCAGTTCCAGAGGCACCAGACCTACAAGAGCAGCTCCCAAACTTGTGAGCTCCTGATCACAAGAGAGAAGTTCCCTGTGAGACCATCCAAAGGGAAAGCCCAACACGGCACAGAGTCACATTACTGCTCAGGACAGCACCTCTCAGAGCACAGCATCCACAAGTGAGGGTAGATTCCCAAAGGGAAGGACCAGAAAGCACTCTACAGTACGGCACAGCTCCTGAAGAAGACAGCTGTAGCTGTAAGGGTGCGCCTGTCCCATGAGGAGAAAAAGAAGAAAGGAGAGAAAGGGAAAGAGACAGAGAGAGCAGGATCAAGCAAGCAGAGAAGTTTAAAAGCCTTCGGGAATATGTACCAGCGCATGGAACTGAGTGCTTGACTCTGCTGCAGCACCACAATGAAGGCCCAGCCCCACAGGACCACAGCAGAACCCCTCAGCCTCTGCCACGCAGCTCCACTCCCAGCCACGCAGATGTGCCAGAAGATCGCTCACCCCACCGCCACCTGGCCCCTCCGTACCGTGCTGGCTCCCATTCCATGTGTCAGCCTCTGGATTGCTGATGGCAGAGTCTCCCACAGAGTTCTTCGTCTCTTCCTGCTTTTCCTCCTAGACACAAGGGCAGAAAAAAGTGCTGGAGATCTGGAGCAGAGGTTTGTGCAACATGTTGTACACTCATGCCAGCACCAAGGGCCATAATGGGCCTCCAACAACGTCTAAGATTTGACTGGTACTTGGCCCAGAAATGGGAAGCTAACAGGATCTGATGATGGGAACCCGATGGGGAAATATTGGTACCGTGTGGTAGCAATCACACTTGGTATGGATCAGCTACAGTCCGGGCTGGCAAGGAGAGCTTCTTTGCCTTGTCAGAGTCGCTCCCCCTTCCCCAGGACATATATCACACATATAGGTAGGTGCTCTCTTCAACACTTACTTTTGAGTGGCTTAGACTCAAGAGAGTAGCTGAGAGCATTCAGTACCTACAGCCCAATCAGGATGTGTTCAACACTGCACAATCTGAGGTACTCAGCAGCCAAATGTCTAGAAGCTATGATGCTCCACACATTCAAGTATTTTGGGCATTAACAGCTTCTGGCTACCCCTTCAACATAGAGCTGACATGGCACTGAAAAGCACCAATGAGAGCTACACATATCAACAGGGCGTACAAAGGTGGCCCAGGAGCCACTCTTGACATTGGCATGGGCATATATATGCTCTTCCTGCTCACTTCGTACCATTTGCTCAGATTCATATTCTTCCTCTGAAGGGCTCTGGTAGTCCTTCCTCTTTCTTTTCTTAACAGGCTTGAGGATTTCAGTGGTGTTGGTGCTGCTGGCAGAGTTTTCCACAATGACAGACCTGTGCAGAGGAAGGAAAAGTAAACCACTGTGGCATGATACGTGGCAGTGACTGGGATGTTGCTAAGGGAGTCATTGCTGGAGAATCACTGTCATCCCACTTCCTACTCACATACCTCCCATCCCTCCTGACTAATGTACACACTCCTCCTAGTGATAAAGTTGGCAAGAGGCTAGAACCAGGATACAAACAAGAACCACCCTCATGCACTGTGTCAGAAACCTGAACTAAGCAATGCATCAAAAGTGATCTGGTTTTGTAGCAGGGCTCTAACCTACATCAGTCAAACAGATGTTAGAAAACAAGTCCTGGGAGCCACATGTCAGTAAGCAGAGGGGCTGGAAATGCCCTTGTGACCCACACTTCCCATTGCTGCCCACAGCAGCAGCCTCCCATAGCAGTCTTGCCCCACAGACACGCACAATTTGTGAGGCCACAAACTGGGCATGAGAAAACCTGTCTTCTTGCACCTCCTGTTGCCTCCTGGAACAAGTTTTCATCTACCCCACATTGTACCTAGGGTACCCTGCCTACAGGAAAGAGGGAAACAAGTGAAGTCCCCATCATGTGCCAGAGACAGATGCACTTGCATCTCTTGCTGGAGCATACAGACCAGGGAAGAAGGGCAGATGGATGGATTTGGCTCTGCACGGAGCAAACTCCCCTTCCTTTACCTTTCTTTGAACTGCTGGTGACAGTGCTCACTGCAGAATCCCCTGCCTTCCCGGACTCCATCTGACACGTGTCTCCGGCCACATGTGTCACAGTGGCACATGCTTTCTGGTGTTGGCAGCTTGGGCTGTTCTGACACATCTGAGTTGGAGAGAAGAGGAGTAGTGAGGGCCAGGGAGCAGCAAAGAAAGGAGAGCAGAAAGCAAGAAATATTTGCCTTGCTTATGTCCTAAGCCAGACAGCACCTACAGAGTGATGTTACCCACACCAGAAGTACCACAGTGGTGCCCTTACCCTGAGCAGGAGTAGGATTGTCCCTGCTAGTTGGTGCCACCTCTGAGTCCCCATCTTTCTCTGTGTGGCCCTCCTTTATAGCTTCCAATGGAGGCATCTTATCAGCACTCACCACCTTCAGTGTCCCATACTCATTTATTTGAAACTATGACATTGAACCAAAAAAACAGAAGGAAAAATGTTAACAATGAGGATAGAAACATAACTTGAAAGCTAGTTGGTGTATGGGAATTCTGAGAATGACAGGGACATGGTTTGGTGATTAGTGTATCCAGAAAGAGGACATCTCTTCCAGTGATGGGGGTGAGCACAGCTCTGAAGTCAACTGTGCTGCTGCTCCTGCAGATGAGCCTGCCAGGCTGGTGCACTGCAGGACAATACATGGCTCAAGGAGGGAAAGAACACAGGAGCAGCTCTAGTCCTAGCCCTCCTCTGCCTTGTCTGCACTTGGGTGCAATCAGTACCAGTTGATAGCACTAATCAGGCAAGCATGACGTGGTGCTCTGGGGCTGAATAAAAGCTGAGAAGTCCATCCACTTTGTGCAAGCTCCTTCATGCTACTCAGTAGCCTCAGCACACTTACAGGTAGGTACCTGCTGTCTGATGAGTGCCAGGCTGCTGTTTCCAGGATGACTGCAGGAGTTGGTTGAGAGCCAACACCACAGCACAGCTTGGAAAGCAAAAATGCCCTGCCCAGCAAGTAGGGGCATCCTTCTGCCTCCCCACACAGGGCAGGTCTGCTGCAGCCCCACACACACTGTGCACGTGCTCTTCACTAAGCTCACAACACAGTGCAAGGTTCCTGTAGGGATGGGGCACAAGCAGCCTTGCAGAATGGTAACAGCTGAGGGATTCTCCAGCTGGGCCACAGGTACTTCCAGGACCCCACATCACATTCCAGTGGTCCCAGCCTGGCACAGGGGGGAGGAGGGCAAGTGTAGTGGCCCATTGTTACACTTACCCGCAGGTTACTTCCAGGCAAAGTGGCCACCCCATCCTTCCACTCCAGCACACGGACTGCGTTGCAGGTCTGTACCCCGCTGATCTGGGGGATGACAGTAGCTGTGATGGGTTCACTCCCTGCTCCCCTCTCTGGCCTCTCAGCCCCTGTGCTTCTCTGTGGCTCCCTCGGGAATCGCTGAATTTCTAAGGTGCTTGCAGGAAGGTTGATGGTAGCGGCATTTGCTTAAAAGGGGAAAAAAAGAAACAATCAACCAGAGACATACATGGAACACTTCATTGATGCAAACAAGTCTTAAAAGAACCACAGTGGCCTTAGACAGCACAAAATGACAGAGAGGACATAATCTTCCTGCCAAGGGCTCAGTGTTGTGGTCTAAAGTACTCATAAGCAGGCAGCAGGACCCAACAGGATCTATAGCCAGGGATGGATGGTACTAGGAGGCTGCATCCACACTATCCACTTTCAGGGGTTCTTACTTCAGCCTAACCTCATCCTGTACCCATGACCAGAATGCTACCACCTGCTGTGGCAGGATTGTGCCAGTGAGCTCCCAGATTGCACAATGAATGCACTATATAATCCAGGGCCTTTCCACAGTGGGAACTGAGACATCAGGAGCAGGAACAACTGGGAGATTTGCTTTTAATGCACACCCCTAATCTCACCGAATGCACATCCTCTTGAAAGATGCTGGTCAGCTGGGCTAGACAGAGCAGTCATCCAGGCACACTGCACTGCACTGGCACAGAACCCTAGAGACCAGGGCTTCAGTTCAAAAGTTAAGAGATTTTGATCAGCCACAAACTATTCCAGTGATGTGGGATAGCCACAGAGAATCTCTAAGACAGTAACAGCAACACAGCTTTGCCTCCCAAGGCTTGCATGCACAGACATACAAGAAGTGTGAGAGGTATCAATGTGTAGTGAGAAAGCTGAGGAACTACCTGTTAGACAGAACAATCCCACATACCTGGTATGATGAAGGCAGTCGTTGGCAGGTGAGTGCTCTGCACAGTGCTCTCAGTGGTAACCACATGGACACTGACCTCCCCAGCAGCACTCCCCTTTGTGCTTCTCACAACCTCCATCTCTGCTCTGCTGTCCATCACCTTGTGTGGGCACAGACCAAGACACTGGAAGCCAGCAAGAAAAATCAAGTTGGTAGTACGAACACAAGGAAGTGAGAAAGAGACAGTGGAGGATGGTCCCTCCCTTTCCACCATCTCCCAGCAGACATCCCTGTAAGATGTATTAAAGGTCAATTGAACCCATGAGAATAGAGAATGAAAGCCACAGCTGGTACCAACATGACTTAGTAAAATGTTGTGAGATCACAGCACAGAGCCTGCAAACACCAAAGGTTTTTTTTTACCTGGGACCACCATAAGATGGTATGAGCACAGCAGGTCCACCACAAGCAAGGGTTGCTCCTGGCTCCACTCTGGTCCTATACCTCTCAGATGCAGACTGTGACTGAGATTTGGCAAACCCTACCCTGGAAAAGAAAGAGGTCCCTGAAGTTCATCTTTCAGTTCTTCATCTGTGCAGTGACTCTTGATTTTCTTCTAACTGGCTATGAGAGAGAATTTCACAAACAACATGGCTTAATCGGGAGGAAGGCATGAAGTTCATTGGATGCAACCGAATTTCTCACAGATCAGCGATGTTTAACCTGTTTAGCTGTGAATTTCAAGGAGTAGGCAAGAGGGGATCTGAGAACCCTGAGAGCACTGCTGTGCCTTACTGGCCCTGACCAGGCTCTGCTGGGACCCCCACCAATGGGCCCAGAAGCCCCTTTTCAACACAGCCTCTGCCCATGCCACACTTTAGCAGTGCTGGTATCCAGCCCTGCTGATCTGGAGCATGGCTTGACTTCAGCTCTGTATGGCAGTCATGGGACCTGGCCTGCAGATGGGTCTCCTGGTTATCTCACACCTTGCCTCGTAATCTGGGTTCTCACTTGGATTTGGCTACAAGGCTGGGTCCCTACTCCCTTTCCTGGGTAAAAGAGGCCAGGCCCCAGCCAGCAGGCACTGTTCTGCCAACCACCTCACCCATGTCCTGGGGCAGCAGCTGGCCCTGCTGTGCCCTGGAGGACAGGACAGGATCCATACACGAGTGTCTCCAGACCAGGCTCTGTCTGCAAAGGGGGGACAAGAACAGCGTTATAACCCAGTGGCCAGAGGGCATCAGCAAGGGAGGGCTTTCAGTGCTGCTCTTACCTAATGAAAAATGCAGTACAAATACAGAATTAAAAGCAAAACCAGCAGTATCACTGGATGTATCTGGAAGTATCACTTCACAGAAGATCTCTCCATACCTATTGAAAATGATGCTCTAGATGTACCAGACTGCTGGAAACTGAGAGCACAGGGCCAGAGGATTTTGGACTTGCCCTGTGTCCTGCACCCTCCCTGAAGCACCAGCCAGCTGCCCTTGGAAATGGGATGGAGGCAAGACTACTCTAGGGTCTAATCTATGGGACTGTGCCATGTCTTGGTTGCTTCTGATGCAACTTGAATTTGAAAGAAAAGATGAATGGGTAGGAAGGGGGATCATTTCACAGAAGGTCCAGTAAATAAGAATATCACTACATAAGGCAACATCTGGAATTTTATACCTTCAGACAAAGGTGTTACAACCAGAGGCTAAAGAGTGGGCTGGTGTACTCATGTTAGGAGATTTACTTCTACCTTTCTCTTGCAGTGCTGTCAGATTTGTGATCAGAAATATCTCATATTCAACTGACAGAAGACACTGACGTTTCATACCTTCCAGGTCCAATGACAGAAGGACATTATTAAGTATCAGAAGAACTGAAGGAATTGAGTAACTCAACTGGACACCTTGCTCCAGCTGAAAGCCAAAATGTACTTGGCACCCAATCTGGCTGCTTCCTAATATCTACCAGAAACCTATCTGCTTTTCTTGCCATTTAAATCCAGTACTTATCCTTGATTCATCACTTGGGCCCAATGTTTCAAGGACTGATATTTCATTTTGTGTCAGTTGTTGGCTTTTTTATTATTATTATTTAAATAGAACTTGAGACTGAAAATGACTAGAATAAAAATAACTAGTTCCAGTGCTGGGTGATACACAAACTCAACTCTTTACAGCAGTCTATTACACTGTCAGCATTTTGGTTGGGATACAGTTAATTTTCTTTGTAGAGGCTCACACAATGCTGTGTGTTGGATTTTTGATGAAAATGATGGTGATAACACACTGATGTTTTCAGTTGTTGCAGAGCAGTGCTTACACAGAGTCAAGGAATTCTCAGCTTCTCACACTGCCCTGCCAACTGGGAGAGGTTGCAGCTGGGACAGCTGACCCAAACTGACAAAGAGATATTCCAACCAAATGATGTCGTGGTCAGCAATACAAGCTGAGTAAAGAAGGAGGAAGTGTGGGGATGATCAGAGCAATGGCATTTGTCTTCCCAAGGAACCCTTACATGTGGGGAGGCCTGCTCTCCTGGGGGTGGCTGAACACCTGCCTGCCAGTGGGAAGCAGCAAATGATTCCTTGTTTGGCTTTGCTGGTGCATGTGGCTTCTGTTTACCTAGCACACCATCTTTATCTCAACCCATGAGTTCTTGCACTTTTCCTTCTCCAGTTCCCTCCCTCATCCCACCTGGGTGAGTGAGCGGCTGAGTGGTGCTGAGCTGCCTGTTAGGGTTACACCACAACAATTGGTTTTGGTGTCCAATGTGGCACCCAGAGAGTTCGAGATGATGACAGATTTGCTTGCAGGGAGGAGTATGCTAAACAAAATTTATAGATATTACAGCTGTTCAGCTGCTAATTGTCAGGCTCCTGTGCTTGCTGCTGGGCTTGCTTGCTTTAATGTGTGTAGAATGCAGTGTTTTTTAGGGGCTGCTTCTGCTTCTGCCATTTCCTCTACTCTTTATCATTGTGCTTTGCTGTGCCTGGGTGCACTCTGACAATGGCAATGGCCCATCCACCTGGGCTAGCATCACTGCTGTCCCTGTGCTGCTGTACTGGCAGGCTGGAACTGCAGGCTGAACTCAGGTCTGACACACTATGACCTGCCGATGAGTCCACTAGGAGCACCTACACCATGAAGCGTTCATGGCCACAGGTAAGTCCACTGCATAGCAACTGCAGCTCAAAGCACCTGTGGCCACAGAGAAGTCTTTGCCACGGCAGGTAGATCTTGCAGTGTCTGTGGATAAGGTCATGCCAGAATACCTCAAAGTCTCTGTAGCTGTGGATGAGACCACGACAAATCAACTGTCCAAAGAGACCTCTGAAGGGACTGTGGCCAATAGAAAGGGACACACCAGAGCAGGTACACCGCAAAGCATCTGTGACCATAGATAAGCCCATGACACAGCAGGCTCTTCAAAGTCTTTTCAAAGTCTCTTTGAAGAGACTTTGGCTCACAGAGAAGGCCGTGCTGGAGCAGGTACACCCCTAAGGGACTCTGACTAATACACAAGCCCAGGCTGGGGTATCAGCAAGGGGAGTTCACTGTAATGTTAAACCCTATGATCTGGTCCAAATGGACAAAGGGTGGAGATTGTAATGGAAGTCAGAAGTCACATTAAAGGGCTAGCAATAAAACTGGGGGAAGTTGGCTGGAGTGGGCTGCCAGTGCTTGGGGACTGGCAGGGCATCAGTTGGCTGGTGGTGAGCAATTGCATTTGTGCAATCACCTGTTTTGTGTATTTTATTTTCCTCTTTTTTTTTTTTTTCCTATTAAATGGTATTCATCTCAACCCAAAGTTTTACTCAACTCAAAAGTTTTCTTTTTTTCCCCCCCCCATTCTCTTTTCCTTCCTACTGTGGGGGAAGCAAGCAAAAGGCTGTGTGGTGCTTGTCTGCCTGACAGGTTAAGCCACAACAGTCATTTTTAGCATCCAATGTGGGGCATGAAGGGTTGAGATAACAACAGATCTGACCGGTGTGTGTTAGATCAAATTTGTTAATAATTTTTTAAGTATTACATTAATTTAATATTTGCTGGTCACAACATTGATTTATTTGCTTTCAAAGTTTATTTATTTGTTCGCAATGTTCTTTTATGTAATGCTGGCTTGCTGTTTCTCACTTCTGAGGACTGTCTTAAGGTTGCTTTTGGTTTCCTCAGTTTATATATAATATTCACTTATGTTACACTGGCCATGAGCCTAATCTTACATTTGTATTCAGCACTGCTGTCATCCTTGTACTTTGGGAACTATTTAATGGAAATTATTATTAAGCACACTTTTTACCTTTTCTCCACAGGAAGCCAATCTGTGGAGGACACCTTCCCCTTCTCCTCCAGGCTATTTTCAATGTGTCTTCAAAATTTTAAATATCTTCAAGATGTTCAAACAAGCATATTCCTACTGCTATACCTCCTGAATGTGTTACAGGTTTTGTCTAAGGTTAAACAACTATTTAAGAACGCCACCCAGAGGTCTGTCCTGAAGCAGGAAAGCTGAGTGTCAGGGAATGTGGGAGGATACAAGCAGCAGAAGAATAGTGCTACAGTGCTTTGGAACTTCACCCCTGAACAAATGCAGAACACTGAAAAACTGGTAAAAACGTTGTTGTTGCCCTGGCAAATCCAAAGAGACACAAATCACTGCAACGTGCTGGGGCTTGGTCTATGCCTACCAAGCCACACTCAACACTAATCCAGCTCCCCCCAGAGATGCTGCAGCTAATTCAACCCCAGTAACAGACACTGCAGCTAATCCATCTCCAGCAACAGACACTGTGGCTAATCTAACTTCTGCTACAAGCACTGCAGCTCCTCACACTCCCACCACAAACACTGTGGCTGAAGCAGAGAGCTAACCCACAATGGTATCAGCCACCCCTGTAGTCAAGAAGAAACAACAGCAATGGAAATCAGCTCATATGGTATGGGAAGAAGCAGTGTCTCCTCGGAGGTACCAGGAGGAAGAACTGGAGGAGGCAGGACCATCACAAGAACAGAATGGGGAAGAGACAGAACTCATAAACGAGTAAGAAACCACCCGATCCTGATCCCTGAGAGAACTGTGAGATATACAAAAGGATTTCAGCCCTCATCCAGGTGAGCACATTGTCACCTGGCCACTCTGATTTTGTCATAATGAGGGCAGTAGCCTGGAATTAGAGGGCAGGGAAGCCAAGCAGCTGGGATCCCTCTCTAGGGAAGGAGGAATTAACAAAGTGATAGGAAAGGGGGCAGAAGTCCTCAGCTTCTGGAGACAACTCCTGTCAGGCATCAAGGAAAGGCATCCTTTCAAGGAAAATGCTATATGTCACCCAGGTAAGTGGACCACCGTGGAGAAAGGTATCCAGTACCTGAGGTGCTGAAGGTGATTTATAGTGACCTGGATAACAAGTAGGGAAACAAAGATCCAGACCAAGTCCAGTGCACATGGTCAACGAGGCAGAAGTTTGTACAGAGTGCACCATCATTGTGTGCCAATACACAGGCAATGACAACTGGAAAGACGGAGACTAACCCACAGTGGGTGTAGTGGTCAGC